CTGGCTGGCTGCTGGATAGGTGGTTTATTTTCCAGTTTATTGCAGGGCCAGCTGAGCCACCTGCTCACCGTTTGATTGACATCTGTTTTTGTAGAATCCACCTGACGCTATCTCTGCCTGAGGCTGCGTCCCTTGCTAATGGCTAACCTAAGACTGGTTTTCGCAATGTGAAATGTTGAGAAGTATGGTAAGTCTCTATTTCCTAGCCAACATAAGCAATGCCACTAATGAAGAACATGGATTGACATCTGCCTACACTACCTCCCTAGTCTTAACATCTGGAAATAAAAGATGTTGCAAATGCAAGTGCAATCTGAAAGGAATATTTTGTAGTCAAGTTTGCGAAGGTGATTATGCTGCAAGCTGGCTCCTCTGTTTACTCCAATGGTTGGAGCACAGATCTAGATCTGTTTCAGTGGTCCTAACCATCTACCATTAGGTAGAGAGATGCACCTACCTCAAGCAGATCATGATGGGTGTCATGAAAAGGCAGCAAATGGTTTATTATTTTTATTGTACTTTTTTATTGTTGGAGAGTAGATTGGAGAGGTGCTTGTGAGGTCTTCTGTCTCATATGCCAAAATAACTTGGCTGTCCTTGGACGCTATGCACATTGATTGCTAGGGTGGTGCTCTGTCTCAGGCTGCAAAGTGTTTTGGACTGCCCTTGTTGTCTTGGCAGTTAAAGCGAACAGTGTGTTTGTGTGTGAGAGAGAGCTCCATATCCACAAAGGCACCTAAGAATCTGCTACTAGCTGAATCAATGCATAAACTATAGTCTATTATCCCCTCAATAACTGAACAGGCAGGCCATCGTTTTGTATATGGGTAACATATGAGTCTGGCAGATGGTAACTGACCTAAGACAACCGTGTCTGTAGCCGAAATGTTAGCATAGATTTGTCAAACACCACAACCGTTTGGGCCAGCTTAATGTAGCCATGGGAGCCTGGCTCTGCAGAAGACCATTGTTGTTTTGACCGGATAGCAAAGATTTCTGAGCAACTTTCAATCCTCTTTCAGGGCCAAAGTAAAGGTAGGAGGAGCGGAAAGTGTGTGAATCTCCCTCTGGCCAGCTCATAAGGTTTATGTTTCTAAAGGCAGTTTTATTTAACTTCTTCCATCTCATAGAGTCATTTAATAATCCTAGAACAATAACATTATTGAGGCTGGAAGGGCAAAAATCCAAGACTGGTATCTCTTGTGACTGAACAAAAGGCACATGCACGCTGTCCCACACAGTTGAGCAACAAAGAGTATCAAGCGGTAAGAAAGAGTGTTTAATTATTTGTAGACCGTTTTAAAAGTTCTTAAAGAATACAATCTCTTTTTGGGTCAATATATAGATTGGCATCTCTGTACTTAAGAAAGACTGTAAATAGTAATATAATATTTATACCATTGTAGAAATTCACAGCATTGAGTGATTAATGCAGGTAATAAGCAAGGAAGTGTTGGTGTGTACAGGGCATGATTCTGTGCCCTAAAAATTCCTTTCTGAGACAACTTGCCTACTGAGCTTCAGGCCACTGGCTGAAGTAGTAATTCCTCTGCTTGAGGAATATGCACGGCCATGATTTCATGATCAGATTTCAGCAACTGATTATACAGTGGCACCTCGGGTTACAAACACTTTGGGTTACAGACTCTGCTAACCCAGAAACAGTACCTCGGGTTAAGAACTTTACCTCAGGATAAGAACAGAAATTGTGTCGTGGCGCTGCGGTGGCAGCGGGAAGCCCGATTAGCTAAAGTGGTACCTCAGGGTAAGAACAGTTGCAGGTTAAGAACGGACCTCCAGAACGAATTAAGTTCGTAACCAGAGGTACCACTGTAATAGGGTTCCAAAATGGTGTAGAATCATAGACTACAAGGAGACCAAACAGGCCAATTAATTCCACTCCCTGTCACTAGGCAATATAAAATAAACCACCTGGACCACAGTGCGCACCCCCCGCAAAAGCAAAGAGCAGGTGCGTTGCAGCAAGAAACATAACAGAGCAACCACAACAAAGGGAGAGACACTGATGTGAGAGAAAATTGTTGGGTGGACTGATGGTGTCAGGCAGCACTGTGTGAGAGTATGGGGTGCAGGCAGAATAATGGATGTCTGAATGGTGTACCCTTAATCTTGAGGTCATGGGTTTGAGCCCCACATTGGGCAAAGTATTCTTGCATTGCAGGGAGTTATACAATCCTATGTTTTCCTGCCCTAACTGGACAATGGACAGGTAGCACTGCTTGAGCTCCACTTCAGACAGCAAAATGTATTGGGCCTGCACAACCTTGTAACAATTAAGATTTCCCTCTATAAGTCCGTTTTCATGTAGTGTTTGGACAGATCCCTGACCCAGTAGCAACTTGAAGCTAAGTTCCCCTGATGTGCACGTACCTCTGTTAATCAGACAAGAAGCTAGGGTATTGCAAACGTGATGGGTATGGCTTGTAATACCTTGCAAAATTTCTCAATCTCTCTCTCTCTGTAGTTGTGTATATAAATGACAGTATTCCCAATGCCACAACCACCTTTTTCTAGTCACAACGACTTGGGAGACCCTGTGTAAAACAACATGTGGGCTAGGAAAGGTCACAAGTTCCTGAAGATGCAGGTATTATTATTTCTTCCAGTTTTTTAGATTTCTTACCTGCCATTTACCCTAAGTCCCAGGGCAGGTTACAACAGTAAAGCAGATAGTTATAAAACAAATAAAAGACTGAAACCATAAAACAAGAAAAGCATTTAAAAAACCCAATCAGAAACAGATCCATATATAAAACAATTTAAAACAATTCCACATAGAAAGAGTTAAAATAGTTACATTACAGATGCAGATTGGGGTAAAGAGTTAATACTGGCTATCCTGCATATGCTTTTTAAATTTCCGAACAGTGTCTTAACCGTACAATCATATACTGGACAAAATATTCCCGCATTGCAGGGGGCTGGACTAAATGATCCTTGTGGTCCTTTCCAGCTCTACAGTTCTATGATTCTATTTCTGCACCTGGCAGAAATGCTGTGAAAGGATAAAAATGTCATTTGTACCTTCAAGGTGAATTCCTGCTTTGGATCTAACTAGCACTGGAAGCTGTTTGGTGTTTTGTTTTTGTTTTTAATGTTTATTTACATCTTCCTCTGCAAGTGCTAAAGGAACAATTGGAACAGTTCATACCTATTAGCATGTTCTAAATTAGTTGCTACTATGCAGAGGTGAAAATCACTGCAGGGCTCATTATGAACAGTACAAGGATAGGGAACAGTAGAGCTGATAGTTTTCTTTCAGAAACAAGAAAATAATGCAAATATTTTAATGCCACTCTGCAATTAGACAAGATGAATTCATCTTGCATACTACACCCAATATGCATCTTTCCCTTTCTATCCATGTTAAGAGTAGCGAGCTGAACATTTTGAAATATGCTATGGTACGCTTTGAATGCACAAGAACCATAGCCGTTTATCAAGGCAGTGCATTTCATATCTCTCCCCCCCCCCTAATTACTGGCCAACATGAAGTCTTGCAGATAAAGCTGAACTGAGAACAAGACTTGAGACAGCTGAGCGGCCCCAATCCCGCTCCTATTTGCCTGCTCCTACCTGTGGGGTTTCAGCTGGGAAGGGAGGGCTTCCGCTTCCCAGCTGAGCAGCCCTGCTCCTGCTCCTACTCTTGTGCAAGCAGGAGCGGGTGCGGGACTCTCTTGGCTGGGGAGGGGGAGCACTTTAACACAGCCCCCATCCTGCCACTGGTTTCTGTGAGCTGGTGGTGGGTCAGGGGGCTCTGTAAAACTGCTTTTGGGGGGGTCTGTGTGTGTGTTTTAAAACTTCATATAAGGACCTACTGAGTAAACATGTATAGGATTGCCATTTAAGCCACACAGAAATAAGAAGGAACTTCAGGCAATCCTAGCTAATTTTCATGGGTCTATATACTTAAAAGTAAGTCCCACATTGTTCAGCAGCACTTGCTTGCTTTTTCATTACCTTATTTATTGATACTTATTCATAGATATATAAAATACATACCCATGACAAAGTATATTTTTTATAATATACTAAAACAACTATTTAGTCTAAAAAAGAACAAATTCAGAAAGAAGAAAAGACAAGAAAGGGAGAGACCCAAAGAAAAAGAAAAAGAAAAAACTAAAGATAGAAAAGGATAAAAGGGCTTCCATCTCTCTGTCCTGCAGCTACATGTGATATTCATTCCTTAAAATCCAACCATTCTATAAACCAGTATTTTTTTCCATCTTCAGATCCCGATATTTCAAGCTCATTTCCTCTTTCATGTGAAAAGTCTGTAAGAAACTTCCAATTCTTAACAGTTCTACCCAAGCTTACCCCACACGCTGCAATGCTAACCTTGCCTACTTGGAAGAAAGTCCCATGTAATTCAATGAGGCTTACTCCCAGATAAGCACAGTTAAAGGCTATATCCCACTGAGCCCCAATGGCAATTAATTACTTTTACTGTTCACACAGTAAAAAAACAAAACAGTAATACTCCAGTTACTATGAAGGATAAATTCACTAGGAGTAGATTCCAGGACAACTCATGCAGGTATTCATTTCACAGCTTGCACCCCATCAGGACAGTAGCTCATTGCTTTTTTATATGTACATAGTTTTAATTCTGTTCATGTTTCATTGTTTTTAATGGTTTATATGTCGCCCCCCATGTGTTGTGATTCTTGTTTTGTTTTTTTATCTATAAGCCGCCTTGAGTCCCATAAGGGGACAAGGCGGGGTAAAACCAAATGAAGAAGAAGAAGAATTTTACCACAAAAACCTGGTGCTGGGTTCTGGCCACTCCCCACCCCCGCAAAAAAACCCAAACCCCTGATGTACCACTTGAACGCCCGGGGGCGTTTAGTACTTTAACATACTAGAATAAATTCACCATTTCAACTGGAGGCAAATCCCCCCCCACACCTCTCCTCGAAGATGGACTGCGCCAACCGTCCCTCGTGCTCTCTGGGCGTTTCAACTTTCCCGCTTTCATATGCGGTTGCTGCCCTGCGTCCCCGTCCTTCTGCGCCTGCGCGTTAGAGGGTGGCGTGGGGATTTGAAAAACAGAAACCCGCGTTATTTTTTAACGGCGCGGTCGCCGTCGAGTGAGAGGAGGCGGCGGAGGAAGGATGGCTAGCGGCGCTTTCTCCCTCGCGGTGCCAGCCGGAGAAGAGAGCAGCGAGAGCGACGACGACGGCTGGGTCGTCGGGTCCGCCGAGGCGACGCCTCAGAAGCACGTAAGGAAGGCCTGGGCCTGAGGCGCTTCCAGGAGGCACAATTTCCTACTCAAAAGGCCCTTTGGGGTCGGTTCCCTTGCGTCCCTCTTACAGTCATTTTATTATATTCAGGTGTTTTGTGACCTGAAGCGCTCGAGGCAGAGCCCTTTTCTTTTGCCCCCCTTTGTAACTCGCACAACAGCCCTGTGAGGTAGGTTGTGTGGAGAGTTTCATGGCCGAGGGCATCTATTTTGAGTGCCCAGAGTTTGCCACGGTGTTATTTGGGGGGGCGGGGGGGTCACAAGCAGTTGCAATTCGGAGTAGATAGGGCCAGTGGATATTACATTTTTTAAAAAATGGGTTTTATTGGATTTTCAAAATGTAAGTAACAGAGGCTAGAACATGGGCGTCGCCTCTTAAATCCTCCAAAAGTATTTAAAAGCAATAGAAACACTTAACAAGCTGAGGTTCTGTCCCTGCCCCCTCAGCAGAGACTTCCAGGTATAGGGTGGTGTATAAATTCAATAAATATATAATAATGAAATAATAAAGCCTGCCCCGCCCCAACCAAAGTCTTTGGTTTTTTGTTTTACATATTAAAGGAAACGTCTGCGACCTTCCAAAAAAACTTATAAAATGTGACGTCCCACGCCGCCCCCCCCCCCAAATCCTAGCTACGCCCATGGGCTACAATAGAGGAATCATAAAGCAAGAGATACAGAATACAGCTGTCGAGAAAAGTGGGCAAATGGGTGCCACAACACAATCAACAGAGTGCCCTTTATATTTCTCATTTATTTGCTTCAGTTGTGTCGAGGCAATTCCATTTAATAAGCCTCCAAGGTGTAGTGTGCTGCTCTTTGAAATTTGGTGTAGAGCCAGGTGTGCTTTACAAAAGAGAAAGAAAAAAAGTCATTTTTATTGGATTTTCAAATTATAAGAATAGAGGAATTGTAAACCAAGAGTTCACAGATTACAGTGGTACCTCAGGTTACATACGCTTCAGGTTACAGACTCTGCTAACGCAGAAATAGTGCTTCAGGTTAAGAACTTTGCTTCAGGATAAGAACAGAAATCGGGCTCCGGCGGCACGGCAGCAGCAGGAGGCCCCATTAGCTAAAGTGATGCTTCAGGTTAAGAACAGTTTCAGGTTAAGAATGGACCTCCGGAACAAATTAAGTACTTAACCTGAGGTAGCACTGTATAGTACAGTGGTACCTCTGGATGCAAATGGGATCGGTTCCGGAGCCCCATTTGCATCCTGAAGCAAATGCCACCCGCGCATGCGTGATTAGCCGCTTCTGCACATGCACGTGGCGTCATTTTGAGCATATGTGCGAGCGCTCCGTTACTTCTGGGTCGCCACAGAGCGCAACCCGAAAACGCTCAACCTGAAGCAACTTCAACCGGAGGTATGACTGTACAGTTAGCAAGAAAAGTGGGAATGGATGCTGTGACACAATTCAACAGGGTGGGTGCACTTTACATTTTTCACATTTATTTGCTTCTGATGTGTCACATAATTCCATATAATAAGCCTCCAAGGTGGACTGTGAGAATAAAATGGTAGTAGTGGGGTAAAGGTACCCTGCTCTTACGGGCCATTCGTGTCCGACTCTAGGGTTGCGCGCTCATCTCGCTCAAGAGACCGTGAGCCAGCGCTGTCCGGAGACACTTCCGGGTCACGTGGCCAGCGTGACGAAGCTGCTCTGGCGAGCCAGCACCAGCGCAGCACACGGAAACGCCGTTTACCTTCCCGCTATAAAGCGGTACCTATTTATCTACTTGCACTTAGGGGTGCTTTCGAACTGCTAGGTGGGCAGGAGCTGGGACCGAAAGATGGGAGCTCATCCTGCCGCGGGGATTCGAACCGCCGACCATACGATCGGCAAGTCCTAGGCACTGAGGTTTTACCCACAGCGCCACCCGCGTCCCTCTGTAGTGGGGAGAATGTATTATATTGTAAACGGCCCTGTTATCCTCAGATGAAGGGCAGTACAGTCATACCTCAGGTTACAGTGGTGCCCCGCAAGACGAAAAACTCGCTAGACGAAAGAGTTTTCCGTTTTTTGAGTCGTTCCACAAGACGAATTTCCCTATGGGCTTGCTTCGCAAGACGAAACGTCTTGCGAGTTCTTGCGAGTTTGTTTCCTTTTTCTTAAAGCCGCTAAGCCGTTAATAGCCGCTAAGCACTTAATAGCCGCTAAGCCGCTAATAGCCGTGCTTCGCAAGACGAAAAAACCGCAAGACGAAGAGACTCATGGAACGGATTAATTTCGTCTTGCGAGGCACCACTGTACAGCCGCTTCAGGTTGCATTTTTTCGGGATATGCACCTGCCAAAACCCAGAAGTACTGGAACAGGTTACTTCCGGGTTTCAGCGGTCGCGCATGCGCAGAGGCGCCAAATCGCACTTTGTGCGTGCGCAGACACTCCACTGTGGGTTGCGAACGCTGCGGGTTGCGAACGTGCATCCCACACTAATCATGTTCACAACCCGAGCATCCACTATATAGAAATTTAATAAATATTGTGTGCAGTCTTGAACTTGTTGTAGGGAGAACTTTGGAAAAAAGGTTGAATATAAGTGTAAAATAACTAAATATTTAATCACTAAACCAATGTAGTAATTTTCCTGTTTAGCAACTGGATGACATATTGCAGTCAAATGACAAAGATGAAGCATTGAAGAAAGCATTGCTGGCTGGAAACTTGCCTGCTATTGAAGAGCTTTTAAATTCAGGTAAGAGTAATGGATTGTCTGTTTTAATTTGATGTGTGTATATAAAATAGATTTTGAAAGGTTTTCTGATAAGTTGTTTTTACTATAAGGTAAATCTTTATTCTTCACATAGGTACGTAGAGGAATCTTATGAGCTCCTTTGAGTAAATGTAAGGTCTTGCAAAAGTGCACTGGCGTTGCTCGCCTTTCTTTTAACCAAGAGCAATTCCTCTTGAGTTCTACTGCTTCTCATAGTCTCTTGACTTTTATTGGTAGCCTGTTGGCCATCATGGCAGGCTGCTGTCAAAAGCAGGAATGTGGAAACTTTTCGTTGCACGTGTAGCTCACCTGATGTTTTATGGATTGGAACTAGAACAAATTTCTTGACCAATGGCTGAAAGTTATTGGATTTGCTGTTTACATGTTGAAGGTTCCAGCTATGTTCATAATACAGCACTTTAGAAAATACTTTGAAAGCAAATGATTTGAAAAATCTAGACTTAGCTATTTAATTAACAGAGATTTTGAAATATTATATTGGGAATGGAAGCTGTAAAATGGGTGGAGAACCTCTAGCCTTAAGCTCACCAGGCCTCTTTATTTGAGCCATGAGGCCATTTTGGTCAAGCTATGCCCACCTGTCCATTATATATGATGTCAGGTGTGGAGCGGGTAAAGATTTGATTAAAGGTGGTTTGGAGGCACCTGGCAATCATTTGCAAAGCATTCCACAAGGCCTGCCTATTGGCTGACAGTTGGCACTTCTTCTGCACAGTTTGGTTTCAAATTGTGCAGGCAGAAAAGGGCCACCTGGCATCACTGTGATGTCTGGTGATTAGCAGGTGGGCAATTCCACTCATCAATTCTGGCCCACATGTGTGGAATTGAATGCTCTGTCCCGTTGACAGATTCAGTTCCCCACTCCTGCCACAAAAAATAATTTTGAGCTATCAGGTTAAAATAACCTGACTTCAGGAAATACTTTTTTAAAAAAGTCATTGAACGTGTTTCAAGTGCTGAGTGCTTTGCCTATGTGCCATGGGCACGCACATTAGTAAGCTACAGGTGGCAATGGATTTCCATTATGTGTGGTGAAATAGACATACATACTTATTGATCTAGTAGGGTACATGCAGTTTTCTGCATAAATGTGATAGTCATTGTGATAGCCAAGTGGTGTTCCATCTCTGGGACGCTACTTTATACAAACTAGAATTATGAAAAACTGTAGTAAAGATGGTTAGATAGATTTATAGAATTTCCAAAAATGTTACTACTGCTACTCATATATTTAAATACATTTTCAAAATGTAGTCAGTTTCTTGCTTTCTCTTTATCTCCTCCTCTGTCTTGAATAGGCTGCAGTCTATGCTTGCTTATTTGGGACTTGTTTCTGAATAGATATGCATAGAACTGGACTGTAAAAGTATCAAGTACTGATTTTACCAAGTTACTCGGTTTTTGAAGACAAAGCCCCACAAAAATTTTAAAAATACTGGGGCATGATTGCTGTTGATATGTGTGTTTTCTTTATTGTGAATCAAGATTACATTGTAGAAATTAACACACCAGCAAATGCTGAGAAGTCTTCGTAATTCTGAATTGCTAATGACTGAATCCAGTAATTCTGGGGTATTGCAACATAAGTTAGGAATGATGTATTAACCTGTTATCATACTTCTTCCCAAGTGTCAAAAATGTTGAAATATTCTAAGATAAGAGTTTTTTTCATGGAACTTTATCTTAATCTCCTAAGGTACTACTTCACCTTTTCAACTTGAGGGCTTTCTATCCATAAAAATAGCAGCTTTCTTGTAAGTAATGACTTCTCAGCCAATAAATACTCTTAGTCCAATAAGAGAAGATAAAGAGATTACGTAACTTTCTCCTCTTCTATGCTGACTTCAAGCTTTATTTGTGGACCATTTTCTTCATAGCGTCAAAGCCTAGCTAGTCAAACAAAAGATGCTGGTACATTTTGGAACACGACTATTATTTCTACTAGCTTGTAGAAATAACATGAAGAGAGCAAAGGTTCTCAAGGAGCTCAGCAACTTTCTAGTGATTGTCCAAATGATTGTGAAATATGAGTGCATATGACTATGTGCAAGTGGCCTAGGGCACTAGTCCTCAACTAGTGCGTCAAGACCCAGTACTGGGCCTTAGCCTGACCTAATGTGAATCACAGAAGCAGCACTGCCACCAAACAAATCCCCAAATGCACATTGGGTTACAGGTGGGTCTCTGGTCTGAAAAAGCTGAAGTTCTTCAGCTGTTGGTCCTCAGATGTTGTCAAAGAACAATGCCCATTATTCCCAACTGGCTGAGCAACAATGGTCAGGGTTGATGGAAATTGTAGTCTAACAACATCTGGGGACCAAAGGTTGAAGAAAGCTGGTTTAGAATCACCTTGTATATCAAACTAGAAAAGTTGCTTCCATGATTTATCTGTCTTATTTATTTATCTATCTGTCTATCTAATTGCGTTCTACTAAGCTGGCCGATGGATGAGGGACAAAAGAGTTTTGCCTCTGCTGGTCTGCTTCATTTCTGTGCTAGCCATGGAGGTGGGCATATTGCTTCTTGCATGGTCATCCTGGAAACCAGGGAGGTTTGATGAGGAGAGACAGGGTCTGTCACCTGCTACCCCTTGTGCTCACCTTCATGGAATTAGAATAGAGATACAAGGATGATCCAGAGAAAATAGCTATAGATCTCTGTACCTAAACCCCTTAGTAAAAGTGATTTAAAGATTATTTTTTGTTAAGTTTTATGTGGAGGATTCCATGTGGCTAAAATGTTATTTTTGCTGGTTCCTGCAGGTAATTAGTATTTAACATTTATAAAGTATCTGTAATTTTCTAAGTGATTATAAATGAGTAAATAAAAAATAAGAGAGTGTCTGCTTCCACAGTCACAGTGTAAATGCACAATGCAAAAAGGAATGGATGGAAGAAAGCTAGCATTGGAGCAGGTTCTTCTACATTAGCTGATTGGTGCGGCCAGAGTGATCTCCCCCTTACCATGCTGATCTTCGTAGGAGACAGGATGTGCTGCCCAGATCACCTGACTGGTGGCAGAATCCAGACAATGTCTCAAATTCTATTGTGCCAGGCAATGTAATCTGATGAGTTGAATTTTAATAACACCTTGAGAGATCTAGAATACCAAGTGCTGCCAGTGATATAAAAATGTGACTTTGTTTTCATACTTGCAATAGCGGAGATGGGTAAGGTCAGATCCTGGGGGCACTCTCACCTGAGCTTTTGTCAGGTGTTCTTGCTGCTATTGCTCTGGGCAAAGGGTAGAGTTCTGAGACAGTGGAGTAGATAATGATGCATAACAGGGGTGGGGAACCTCTAGCCCTCCAGTTGTTGTTCTCCAGGTCCCACCAACCCTAGCCAGCATTGCTAGTGGTCAGGGTTGAAGAGAGTTGTAGTCCAGCAAAATGTGAGAGAGGGCACAGGTTCTAATACATAAAGTCTTTTCCCCAGCCTTCTTGATAATAGTATTAGGAAAGGCAAAATATTGGGGCCAGATATTCTTCAGAGTACTTTCCCTGCTCCAACAGGTATTTCAACCACCTCTACTGCCATTGATCTCTGCATCTAAAGACTGCATACTGAATGGCTTTTGCCGAGCTCTGGAATTTGTATCTAAAGTCTCTGAAGAGAGTAGTACAATGTATGAGTCTCTGTTTTATTAACTGTGTATACTCTTGCATATATAAAATCATTGCAGGTGTAAGTGTGGATTCTACTTTTAAGTTTGGATGGACTCCTCTGATGTATGCTGCAAGTGTCTCAAATGTGGAACTCATGCAAATCCTTCTGAACAGAGGTTCAAATGCAAGCTTTGATAAGGGTAAGCCTTAGTAAATCAGCTATTCTTATAAGCATTTGTTTTAGGACTTCAGGTATGCAGGTGGAAATCCAGCAGGAGTGTGGGGGCTATCCAGTGTATTGTACAGAATGTTACATGTATGTTACATCTGTCTGCCGGACAGAAACTCTGGGTGTGTGCTCGGTACAATGAGCGCCTCATTTTTTGTTCTTTTGAGGCCAAAGGCAGAGAGGTTGGTGGATGAGGCCTTCAGAGACATGATAGTGATATCCCACTCCCAGGGTTGACACTTCCTCCACTGTCATGGTGAGTGAGACTGGAAACCCAGTCAGATGAGTGGGGTACAAATAATAAAATTGTATTATATTTCAGGGAAGGAGGGAATCTAGTTCCAATATGGGATGAGGGTGAAAAAGTTTGATTGCCCAAATGGGGAAAGGGCAGAAGTAGGCATTGAAAATGACAGCAGTTCAAGGAGTCTGGAGTGCTGTAACTTAAAAACACACATATCAGAAATATTTGGAAAATTTCATTTCATTAGGAAGGGGTGTTGAAAAACCAGCCAAAGCTGGAAAGAGGCACCTCTCGACACTGATGCTACCTGCTTATCTGACAAGTGCCATATAATGGAGTACCCTCTAAGCTATAAATCTGATTTTATCCAAAACTGGTTGTAAACACAAGGACAAAAAACTATATGGAGTATTTTAACATATTTATGGTTGTTCAGGTACAATAAAAGAACATAGTTTTAAGTAAGTATTAAATCTAGCAACCTGTAGTTGAGTTTAAATATGCATTTAAAGTTTACACTTTACATTTCAAATTGAGACCAGTAGGAAATTTCCCTTGAAATTTAAACAAATTTAATGTTATGAATTCTCCATTTCCAATTAAATGCAGTTGGTGCTTTCTGTGTGTTGTGCTTGTAACGAGCATTGGTCTTTGCACATTTTTTTTACCGTGTCTGGTTATTGTGTTTTATTATAGGAATCATTGATTCTTTGTATAATTTACATTTAGATCAATATACAGTATTGATGGCTGCATGTACAGCACATACTTCAGAAGAGCAGATTTTAAAGTGTGTAGAACTGCTTCTCTCAAGAAATGCTAACCCTAATGCTGCTTGTAGGTAAGCAAACAACATTGTCTCCAAATTTCTGACTTATAGTCATTTTTAATTGAACTTGTTCTGTCATGTTTACTACCAATAGATAACTTTTGAGTAGGTCTTTGGCCTTCACTCTCTGATATGTACTACCAATGTTTCTGTTTGCTGACAGCGCCTTATGTGGGTACTGTTTTCTCCTAAACCTTTTCTCCTCTTCTGAAGTAGCCCTCCAAATGGTTTTGTAATATTTGTTAACTATTTGCATTGAGAAACTCGATAAAAGATTTGAACTTACTTCATTGTATTGGCTAAACTTTGCTGTTGATCCAGTAAGCAAACTAATTTTTCAGCATGCAGTGTTTTGCTGCAGAAGAACAGGTTTGATTGAGGACTAGAAGCTCAATGTATTTTGAATGTTACATCCACTTACAATGTTCGTTGTGTGGAAGATATTTCTTTCAGAGCTGCTGCTTTCTAGTTTCTCAAATACTATAAAAACACTATCTTGTGCAATTTTCCACTCCTCTTGAAAAGTAAACTATTTTCCTAAGCTAAATAGTTATAACATTGGCAGTGACAATATCTTAGACCTGAGGAGTGAACATTTTCTATAACTGTTCCACTAAAGCAGAAATAGCGCTCCAGATGTTTTTGTACCAAAACTCCCCTCATCCTTGACTGCTGGCTGATGGGGGTTGGAGTCCAGCAACATCTGGACAGCTACCCCTGTTTTAAAGCCTTCCATGACTCACCACTGTATTTTGAAAAGAATCTTACATTTACTTAACAGTGGTACCTCGGGTTACATACGCTTCAGGTTACATACACTTCAGGTTACAGACTCCGCTAACCCAGAAATAGTGCTTCAGGTTAAGAACTTTGCTTCAGGATAAGAACAGAAATCATGCTCTGGCGGCGTGGCGGCAGCAGGAGGCCCCATTAGCTAAAGTGGTGCTTCAGGTTAAGAACAGTTTCAGGTTAAGAACGGACCTCCGGAACGAATTAAGTACTTAACCCAAGGTACCACTGTATTAATTTCCACTAGTTTTCAGGCATCTTGGAGACTGTTGTCAGGCAGGATATAAATATTAGTGTATTTGTTTGGTATGGAAATCTCCCATCTGTTCAGAGCTTATCTCTTGCTGGACACAGCCAATTCGCTCGCCTTGCAAGAAAGTCCACTAATGTTATGAGACTTCAAGATTGCACTAACCTTTCTGCCCACATGTACACATGTACTGTCATTTGCAGTGAGTCAGAAGTGAGGAAGGTGGAGAGACAATTTTTTCCCTTCCAATTTATAAATATTTCCCTGCCTACTTTCATGACAGTGATACCTCCTTATCACAGCTTACCAGGCAATTGACTAGTTCTTGGTGTTAACAAGCCCTCATTCACACTGACCCACATTGGTACAATGGTACCTCGGGTTACAAATGCTTCAGGTTACAGACTCCGCTAACCCAGAAACAGTACCTCGGGTTAAGAACTTTACTTCAGGATGAGAACAAACATTGCTGCGCAGTGGGAGGCCCCATTAGCTAAAGTGGTACCTCAGGTTAAGAACAGTTTCAGGTCAAGAACGGACCTCCAGAACGAATTATGTTCTTAACCAGAGGTACCACTGTAGTTGATTATCTGTAACACTGTTTTATTATCTACCCACTGCTGAGGAGAACTTTACACAATCAGAAATCCAAGGGAGCAAGGGAATAGTAAAATTCTTTCTACTCTGTGGATGGACAATACAGGTGACCATGTGGTTATGTGCTTACTATAGTAAACAGTTACCTTTTGTTAAATGCTCTTTTTTCGCCCCAATCCCCCAAACCACAGAGGCTTATTCTCTTGGCTGTTCAGTGGCTTCTGGGCAGTGATAGATTTCCTTTGGGAAAAAGTACCCCAGCCCGCTGAGACCTTTAATGCCCACCCATCACCACCTGGACTCCACCCTAATATTAGCATTGCCAGACCTCTCCAAGAGCACCTTTTTGTTGCTGGTAAGATTCTCTGTAAGCAGTAGGTTTGGTAACTGGTCATGGACGGTTTGGGTATCGAGGCCTAACTTGCCTTCCCTCCGTTGTTGTCTCCTCTTTGAACTTGAGGAGCATGCACTCAGAGTCTCTGTCTTCATTTTCCCCTGAAAGAGCCTCAAGTAGTGGCTGTTTTACTTAGGGCATCTTTGGCATTGTAGATACTTTATTGGTCCAAATATAAGCCACACTTTTTTCCCCAAATTCTGACCATGAAAAGTTAAAGTGCGGCTTAAATTCATGACCTGACAAAAATGGGCTTTTACGATATCGCTCCCGTCTCGTCCACAGCTCCCCCAGCCTCCCCCAAAGCTGGTTAGGAAAGAACGTGGGGGAGGGGGAAGACCGCTGGCACCGTAGCACGGTTTCCCCTCAGCCCGTGATGCTGCCAGGAATGCGGGGAAGCAGCCCCTGCCCACAGCTTCCCCACCCTTCCCCCTCCGGCCGGGAAAGGGAGGAAGCAGGGAAGGGGGAAGGCTCCCCCCCTGCCCAGTATGCAGCCAGGAGCACAAGACAAACACACTAGGAGCATGGGAAAGCAGTGCTTGCCCCGCGCATAGTCCTCCGTCCTCTCCCCCAAGGCTAGGAAGGAGGAAGCCATCAGCAACGCAGCGCCCGCCCGCCCAGAATGCAGCCGGGGGTGTGGGCAAACTGCCAGGAGTGTGGGGAAGCAGCGCCCGCCCTGCATGCAGTCCCTAGTCCTCTCTCCCCAGGTTGGGAAGGGGGAAAACCACCAGCAACGCTGTGTGGCTCCCCCTGCCCAGCATGCAGCCAGGAGCGTGGCAAGCGGCACCAGGAGCGTGGTGAAGCGGCGCCCGTCCTACCCGAGGGACATACTACGGGTCCTCTTTACTTTAGTACCCGTAGGATTTTCTTCTACATTTGCCATTTACCGATGTGGTTGCCTGTGAAATTTTAAGGGAGCGCCTTCGGGTATTCCCCCCCCCCCCTGAATTTTAAAGCTGCTGCTTATTTGCGGGTGCAGCTTATATTTGGGCCAATATGGTAGCTGTTGTCTGGCCTTAGCACCATTTCTCATTGCTCAGGTGCACCATCCAAGATGCATCTGGGGAGCCCCAAAGTGTGCTGCACCCTTTCCAGCTTCACTCCCATGACCAGAAAACAGGCATTGTTCGGTCCCTGCTCCTGCCAACCTAGCAGTACTCTGTATTTTCAGTGCAAATTTCAAGTAAATGGGTAATGGGGACCGTGTATGGCTTTTTGTTGTTGTTGATAGCTTGGTTAATGTTTGAGATTTTTATCTAGTTACTTAACACATTAAAATTTAACAGAATATATTTATTGTTGCTGATAGTATCATGCCAGCTCTACTGTGTTATTTCAGTGGCCTTGGTTTTATTATATGATAGTTAACTTTGTTTAATGACACATCTAACTACATCTATATAGCCTGGGAAAAGTGTTGCATTTATCTTTTAGGTAATAAATCCTACTATCAATGACACCAAAGCAGAAATACAGAACAGTTATCATAGTATACGTCTTTAATCTGCTCCCTAGAAGAAAAATATCAGCCATAAGTTTGAAGGGTTTAAACAATACTACATGTATTTAATCTTGTTACCTTTTTAGAGTTCCTTATTCATGATATGTAACCTCTGGAATCAATACATAAATTCTTAAATCCATTCGATGTACATAAATGTCATGTGGGAGAGAATTCTAACGTGTTCTCCCTCCCTATTGAACTTGAGTCAACCCATATTACTCAAGAGTCAACCCCCCTTTTAGAGGGTGACTAATTGCAGAATTAGTCCCCTCCTGGCAAATAGAAGGGGAAGAAATTGAGGCAGTGAGAGATTTTACTTTCTTGGGCTCCATGATCACTGCAGATGGTGACAGCAGTCATGAAATTAAAAGACGCCTGCTTCTTGGGAGAAAAGCAGTGACAAACCTAGACAGCATCTTAAAAAGCAGAGACATATAGCCTGGGAAAAGTGCATATACCTTGCCGACAAAGATCCGTATAGTTAAAGCTATGGTTTTCCCAGTAGTGATGTATGGAAGTGAGAGCTGGACCGTAAAGAAAGCTGATCGCCAAAGAAGTGATGCTTTTGAATTCTGGTGCTGGAGGAGACTCTTGAGAGTCCCATGGACTGCAAGAAGATCAAACCTATCCATTCTTAATGAAATCAGTCCTGAGTGCTCGCTGGAAGAACAGATCCTGAAGCTGAGGCTCCAATACTTTGACCACCCCAGGAGAAGAGAAGATTCCCTGGAAAAGACCCTGATGTTGGGAAAGATGGAGGGCACAAGGAGAAGGGGATGACAGAGGACGAGATGGTTGGACAGTGTTCTTGAAGCTATGAACATGAGTTTGACCAAGCTGCGGGAGGCAGTGGAGGACAGGAGTGCCTGGCGTGCTCTGGTCCATGGGGTCACGAAGAGTCGGACACGATTAAACGACTAAACAACAACAAATTGCAAAATAAAAATGCTTTGCAGACAGATTCTGCAAGGATCCTCACTGCCTAATGCCACACCCTGATTGGGCCCCCAATATTGTTTCCTTAATGCTTAACTTAGATGCTCATCAGGCTCTCAGCCTTCATAAAGCTACATTACAGCACCTGATAGGAGCCCTCCTCTATACAGTATAGTACTTTGAGTCAGAATGAATTCATAGAGAACGGGCAGAGCACAGCACATATCTGAGTGGCAGTACTATAAAACAATGGCTATTGATATCAATGAAACTTGGTACATTATTTGCAGGGATCTCTTGTGCCATCTTAGTTCTTTTGAGTTCGCAAAGAAAACATTTCTTTTTGTGTAGTTTCCATTGCTTTATTGATAATGCTGAACTATTTTATCACTGGAGCTGAGCCAATAACACTTAACTGTTGGAACCTTTGGGCTTAGTATTGAACTTGAAAGAGTGTTAATCCTCTTCGGTTATAGGTTACAAGTTCTCCAAAAAGGGAGCTTCCTTTCTTCTTCGCTTTCAGATTGTGCATCTACTTCACATGCAGAAGCAATTCAAAGGGAAAAGGGAGACAGACAGACAGACAAACTACAAAGTATGTGGTATAGTGATATTTGGCTTGTTGTCTTGATTGAGCCTAAAAGAAATTCTTGTGTGTTTGTTCGCAGTTAAGTGTCAATTAAATATTTTCCTTTAAATTGCTTCTTTGTAACTTTGAAAGCTGTTCTACTGCATAGTTATTTTTCACCTTTCTTGAACATACAGTAAATGGGGTCTGCACTGAGAGACATCCCAGGCATAATACGTGATGACTTCAAAGTTGAAAAGAAGAGGTTTCTTTTTTTTGTCAACCTGGAAATCATCTGTGATGTGAGATAAATTTTACCTAGCAATAAAACATTTATCATAGATGTGTAAATTCTATTGTAATAACAATAGACATTTAATACATTACCTTCATTCCTGAAGACCCCTAATCAATCCATGAATAGCTACCTAAATTTGAGATTGAAATCTTGTCGCTCATAACTTTTTTTCTTACTTTTTAAGATCAGTGACCCAGTTAGTATGTAAAAATAAGCCAAACCACGGCTAAGTATGAACACACAAGTGTGCAGGTTCTCACAACAAAAAGTGTGACCGCTTCATTCCTCCCCTAGTCTTGCTTCTGGCACGCTACCCAGAGCTAAGCCATGGATTAGTGTATTGCTACATATGAACCCAGACAAACCACAATCAATAAGCCAAGAACAAAATAGTTCATGATTTGTCTGGAGCAAGAAAATCACAAACCCTCGTTCAGATGTAATGCTGAAGCCAAACCATGTGTATGTCAATTTGCAAGTCACCCAGGAAACTCTCATTAAAATTCAAACAAAACAGGGAAGTCAGTGGAACCTACTCACAAACTAAACTTGAGTTGGATTGTCTTTAAAAGGAGGCCCATGAAATTTGTGAGTAGACTTGAATGGGACCTCCCTGCTCCATTTGGTTTTTGTGTCTTCCAGGTGAAGTGCAAACTTACTTATTACAAACTTCCATTTGTAATAGTTGCCTGGTTGCCAGACTGAAAAGTCCTGTAGTAATCTACTAAATTACTTAGCTTCAGGAATACATTTTAGAAATTGTCCCAAATGTGAAAAATGAAAAGTTGCAGAACATTCTGCAAAATTTGCTACCATACTTGTCTAGCATCTGTTGCCATCTTGTGGTGGAACTGTTAACTCTCTACAGAATGAAAATATTCTGAGGGTAAAAAAATGCACCCCTCCCCAGTGCTTGACCTAAATCTGCTTGCCTTTGGAGGCCATTGTCCTTTACCAACGTTCAGTGGATACATGGATGGTTGTGTTCCATCTTTCTTGAAATTCTAGTTAATATTTGAAAGCTCATAGTTTGCATTGGTTTTCTTTGTACATAGTTCCTTTGAGTCGCTTCAAGGTTCTCTTCCTTTGACTATGGTACCAACAAGTGATACAATGCCTTATCAGATGACGTTTTATACTATCTTCAAGTAGACTAGTATTACATCCCACTGTTGGGATGGTGAGTCATTCCTATGCGTAACAGTTCCTATTGTTTATTGTTCAGCTTCATTTTATTGTTAGTAGCTGACGTCTCAAGTATATTGCAGCAGCTTAAAAGGCTTACTAAGAGCATAAAACCTGCTGGATCAGACTAAAGGTTTTATCAGTACATAACATCCTGTTTTCTTTAGTGGTTAGCCACATTAGCCATATTTATGGGAAACCTATTTTTCATGACTTGGCTAATCTTATTTTAAAGCAATTTAACCCTGTTTCCCTCTACATCATATGGCAGTGAATTCCATAAGGTGATTATATGCTTGCATGAAAAAGTACTTTGTATGCTGAATGTACAAATCTGCCTTAGACTAAGTCAGACTACTCACTCTCCCACCTAGCTCTGTATTTACTAATGTACAGGCACCTTCCCATTTGTGCACTGTCAACATATGTGCGGCCTCTGACATGTGCAGCATTTTTGACAAAGAAAAACATAAGCAATACCACACCTTGTATGCCAAATCCATGCGATCTCTAATAATGAGAAAGGTTTCACATAATATAGTACAGCTGAACGTTCGAAGCCAACATAAGACCACAACTGTGTTGGTACTCCAGAATCAAATAGGGATCATTTTGGGTTGAGATCATGCCACAGCATTATTGGAATTGTATTATATAAAATACCAACTTGGTGGCTACCTATGGGGTTACTGCAGAGACAAAAGATCAAGGAAAAACTACAGTCTGAAAATTATTGTTTGTTTAATACAAATGCCACTCCTGAGGGCATTGTAGGAAGGAAGCTGTCATTTAAAACATCAATGTTGTTTAGTCGTTTAATCGTGTCTGACTCTTCGTGACCCCATGGACCAGAGCACGCCAGGCACTTCTGTCTTCCACTGCCTCCCGCAGCTTGGTCAAACTCATGCTGGAAGCTTCACGAACACTATCCAACCATCTCGTGTGGTGTAGTGGTTAAGAGCGGTAGTCTCCTAATCTGGGGAACCGGGTTCGCGTCTCCGCTCCTCCACATGCAGCTGCTGGGTGACCTTGGGCCAGTCACACTTCTTTGAAGTCTCTCAGCCCCACTCACCTCACAGAGTGTTTGTTGTGGGGGAGGAAAGGAAAGGAGAATGTTAGCCGCTTTGAGACTCCTGAAGGGGAGTGAAAGGCGGGATATCAAATCCAAACTCTTCTTCTTCGTCCTCTGTCGTCCCCTTCTCCTTGTGCCTTCCATCTTTCCCAACATCAGGGTCTTTTCCAGGGAGTCTTCTCTTCTCATGGGGTGGCCAAAGTATTGGAGCCTCAGCTTCAGGATCTGTCCTTCCAGTGGGCACTCAGGGCTGATTTCCTTAAGAATGGATAGGTTTGATCTTCTTGCAGTCCATGGGACTCTCAAGAGTCTCCTCCAGCACCATAATTCAAAAGCATCAATTCTTTGGCGATCAGCCTTCTTTATGGTCCAGCTCTCTCCATACATCAATTCCAAAACATCAATAGTGGTGAGGTAAAACAAAACTGAATCAGGAAGTGGTCGTGTTGGATTGATAACCTAAAAATGTAAGAAGCCCACAAGTGTATAAAGATCTGTTGCGTAAGTAGGTACCAAGCATTAGATTTAGAATAAATCTGCACTGCTATGTCCTGAACAAGTAGAGTGTATCATGAGTTTGGAAATAAGTTTTCTAGGCTTATGGCTAGAAAAGCGAGCGTAATCAAGTGGCTAGAATAGTAGATGACAAAGGTGGGATTCATTATGACTCAAATCTCCAATGACTGCTCCTTTGTCTCCATCCTACATTGTTTCATGTTTCAGACTTCATGATAGATCACTAAATCACAATGTTTAGCTGGTGATATATCACGATGCTGAGAACCAGATATCACCTAGTCCTAGGTGCTTTCCTAAGGTAAATAATATTGGGGAAGTGACATTAATATTGAGACTTGTTTTGTACTTCGGGAAACTGGTGGTGACTGGAGTGGATTAGGGATGGGGTACTGGATCTAGCTGTTCGCCCATGCTCAGCAGGTCATTTTGACAAGTGAGTTGAAACGTATGCCCCCTTTTTTTTCCTTTGTAGCTATCTAGGTGATTCACTTTTCCTTTGTAATTAGAAAGGAAGCTCCAAGCCCAGCCAAGTGGTTACTGTTGATCAGTACTGATGTCAGGGTCTAGTTTTGCAGGGATTGGCTGTACTGCTGAGTTCTCCAGTGACCTTGGTTAGCACCTATTAGGTGACAGGCAGTACCTTCAAGCCCCACATTCTGCTGAACTTGGCTATGCTACAGAATCCCCTGGGGAACTGATACCAACTGATTGGTGGTGACAGCAAGCTTCTCTTGCCAGTGCACAATCCAAAATACACCTTAAGGCTCATAATTATACCTTAGCAGTGATGTGTCTCGCATAGGCCATCAGGTGTGGGGCATGTGGGAAAAGTTTTGGGGAAACAACCTTGTGGACGAAATCGGGAGCTTCTCTGGACCTGATTTGGCCTACAAACCGAAGGTACACCATACTTGGGCTAGACAATTTTTAAGTGCCTTGTAGTATGTGCGGTGATGTGGGTTTTGTGGAGATTTTTGAACTGGAAAATTTTGCAGAACATTTTCTTGCACAGTGTTCTTAAATTGCTCTGGAGAGTCATCTAATTTATCGTATTCATCTTCCTTCTGTTTAGTTAACAAAGATAAAATTTTGAAATGGCCAAACTTTCATAATGCATCATTTGAAATGACAACCCATGCCTTCATTGTTAATGAACTTAGGAAATGGCTATTTCCTCAAAGCATTTGTGTATTTCAAATGTACTTGAAGGTACATTTGATCCAGCCAAGATCCAAACTTACATTGGTGTAATCCTATTTATTTTTAACAATGAGATGATATCATTGTAACTGATGAGGGGTCATTTTGAATTCTTACGACAAATGCTATGGTTCAACTATTTGCTCTTCTGTGGATAAGCGTTTTCTTTTTCTGTGGTACATGTTTTGATAAATCAAGAATAGGATTGTGACCTTTTCCCTATTTTCTCTTATAAATGTTACCTGGGAATGAAGACTTGAGCAAGTCCATTTGATAGCATTTTTGAAAGAAGTGCAGCCTCTAGTGGTTTGTAAGATGGTTAACAAGCCATGCTGTGTTTTTTTATATGTAATTCCATGAAAATGTTAATATACAGACCCATTTTTCATTGTCATATATAATTAACCTATACTATATTATTTTAAATATAATTTCCCATAGTTTCATTATCTGGCAACAGTCTTCCAAAATAGCATTCTACACACAAGAAAACCAAACAAAAGCATGGCACACAATATGACTCAGAATTTCTCTTATTTCCCCCCCTAAAGTTCAATTAAAGACCTTTCCAAGAAAATAGACAATAGGTTAATGACCTTTATTGTATTGATAGTTGACAAGAAATTTTACATTAGGAATAAAAGCAGATGAGCTTAGGATAATAAAACTCAAATGTGTTACATTGGTCACAAAAACACACACTCCCCTTCCCCACATAAATGAAAAGAAAAACTCTATATGTTTTAAGTTTATTCTCCTTTTTGATGATCTTAACATTAAGAAAACGTGATTATATGTTACTTTAAATGTATTTTGCATGCAACATTTATTGTGATCATTGTAACACTGCAATGTGCAACTTGCATAATATCAGCAGATGTGGGGCGGGGATTGATTGTTTAGCACTGGGTCCCTGTGTTGTGCAAGGCTCCTGACAACCAGCTGGTTGTTGTGTGCTTTTGTAGCTGCACAAAACAGTTTTGGTCAAGCCCTGCTCTTACTTGCATGATATCAGGTGTTGAGTGGGTAACCCTGGCTTCATAGGACAAATGTGGATGCCTGGCAGGCCAAGATTGGCCCATGGGCTAGAGCAGTGATGGCGAACCTTTTAGAGACAGAGTGCCCACACTGCAACCCCAAACCCACTTTTTTATCGCAAAGTGCCAGCACGGCAATTTAACCTGTATATCTCATTTTTTTCTGCGTGTTTCATGTTTCTTCTTTATGACTGCTGTTGTAATAAATAGTCATTCGTAAAAGTTATTGCATTACATTTTTCATTAAATTATCTTTCCATTGGTAAATAATTTTATGGTATAACTGCTTTTTTAAAAAAAAAAAAGTTTAGGGGTATTCTCATTTTGACTCAAGAAAATCACCGGGGCGGGGGGGAAGAAATACAGTTCAAATTGGGGAAAATAAATACAGTTAATTTCTTCTGTGAAATTCACAAAACGTTTAGGAGTATGCGTACCCCTGCATCCCCACAGAAAAAAAAGCACTGGTATTACTCCAAAACAAAGCAGTGTTAGGAGCTATCAAACCTCGGAAATACGTTTTTTCCAGAAGGTTCCACAATTCTGGCCATTGGTGTACACTGGCGGGTTGTACTAAGAGCCACCCTCCCAATTTTTAATATGAGATAAGAATGATTGCGTGCGCACATACAAATACAGTGGTACCTCTGGATGCGAACGGGATCCGTTCTGGAGCCCCGTTTGCATCCTGAGCAGAACACAACCCATGTGCGCAGGTCGCGATGCGCTACTTCTGCACATGCACGTGACGTCATTTTGAGCGTCTGAGCATGTGCGAGTGGTGAAACCCAGAAGTAACCCGTCCTATTACTTCCGGATCGCCGCAGAATGCAACCTGAAAATGCTCAACTTGAAACTACTTTAACCCGAGGTATAACTGTAAATATAAATAAATAAATAAACCTAGCCAGATGGACGGGGTATAAATATTATTATTATTATTATTATTATTATTATTATTATTATTACTATTACTATTATTATTATTACCCGTTTCTTTGGCTGCTGTTTGATCTCAGCCTCCACAGAATGAATTTCTCCGTTGGCTTCCACGGGAAAGCCCAGCGAACATGTAAACCCAGCAGCCCCTTCTTAGGTTGCTGTCTTTATATGATTACTGACCTGGGAGTTAAACCCTGCTGAACTCAAAACAGCTTACTCCTGATTAGGAAAAACAGACTGGCAGGAGGCCCTGGCGTATCAAAAGTCAATGCCTGCTCAGCCCCTCACTCGCTTGCTTGCCAGGCCCTGGTGCCGCAGGTTTTGGATGATGCAAGAGCCCTCCTCTCCTCCTCCCCCACCCCTGGCACAGAAACGACAGCCCTGCTGGGGCGACAGCACGAGTGCCCTCTCTGGCACAATGTGCCATAGCTTCGCCAGCACTGAGCTAGAGGTTTCCCTCCCGTACTCTAGAGCCGTGGTTCCTAACAGGGGGCACATGCCCCACAGGGGGCAATTTGATTTTTAAGGGGAGCAATTCGAGAATGAAATGACTTTTTGGACTTCCTCCATGTGAATAGGAGTTTGCTTTTTGAATAATAAGAATTATACGTCATCAGGATTTTAGATGATTTTAGAGATGCCTAGGTGGGGTATGACCAAAAAACAAAAGGTTGGGAACAACTGTTCTAGAGACACAAAAATTCCTCTCCGGAACTGGTCTCTTGCCTCACCTCAGGGAACAGTATAACCATGTAAAAGGGTGAAGTGTAAATGACCGTTTAACAAAATTTAAAATGAGTACCACAAACAAAGAAAATAATGTCTCTATGGGAAATGTGATTATTCTGAAATAAAATGCAGAAGCAGTAACAGCCCCTGAAAGTCAGTTGGCAACTTGGTTATTGTTGAGTTTAAGATTGAGAAATTGAAAAGAAAATTCGTTGGTGATGCTGTAAGATATTTATCAGTATGAAATCCTTTTCATAAAAAGGGCTTCTGTGACATTTGTCTTACCTGCAAATGGTGATAAATGTTAGATTGAAAATAAACAAATCAGAGTGTTGCTACAGCTAAGTGTAACTTGCTTTGAACTTTACAACTTCCCACGTGGACTTGATGCTGACCTGCAACTTGTGAATGCATAGTAAAGTGCTATGTGCACAGGGTCTTGTTTTGGTGGCATTTGTTTGTGGGTGTCTATTAATGAATTGTCACAATATACTTTAACGATGTACTTTGATCACAGGTCATTTGCCAGAAAACTTTTCCCCATTCAGTTTACAGTAAACATAACCATAAGTTTGACACTTGCCCATGAAACATTAGCTCTTTGTATATATTGCCGCAGGTGGATTTTTAAAACATTCATACTTTTAGAGAAAATGCTTATCCAAGTTACAGATAAATTCTTGAGGTTGCAAAACTGTTACATTAGTAACATATTTTAAAATGCAATAAAAAGAAAACATTTAAACTACCATTTGTATATTTTTTGATTATATTTGTAGGGAAGATCAAGCCGGTTAACACACAAATATTTTAATGTTAATTGGACTTACAACTAATATTAGCTGAAACACAAAATATTAGGTAAAGAAGCTTACAAATGTTACATTGGTCACTATGGAATTACCCATAGGGTTTTCTTCAAGCAGGACAGCTATGCCAACCAGCACACTGTGTATACTTTAGCATGTGTTGAGGCATTCCAAATATTAACCCTTTGTCCTCTGCAAAGCCAAGAGTCTGCAGTGAAATGCAACAAGCAAAGTTTCTTTCTCTGGTTGTGCTTTCAGCATTGTTTCCATTATTTGTTGTTTCAAGGCCTAATGTGTGGCAGTTCACCATTTATTACTGAATAAGTTTTACTAAGGCTTTTGCACATGAGAAACATTATATGAAATATTAACAGAATAAATAGTGTTTGGATTAAGAACACAAAAGCTGCTTTAATGGATATTTAATGGATTTTTCCTTAGGAAGAAAATGACTCCATTAATGTATGCAGCCCGTGATGGCCATCCTCAAGTTGTAACTCTTCTTGCTGCTCATGGATCAGAAATAAATGCCCAGGATGAACGTGGTTACACAGTAAGTGAGCTTTATTCTAAGCAACAAGACGGACTTTACTTATTTCTGAAATGTGCTTAATCTTGCATCATTCACAATTTTCTCCCCCCCCCCCCCCGTTTTTTCATTTGCTTTTGGAGGAGAGAAGGAAAAATACTTTACTAAAATGAGGGAGTGCCCGTGACACAATCAGATTATTTCACATACATTAAGTTTTTTCTCTTTTTTAAAAAATTATTTTTATTGAGATTTTCAGTTAAACAGAAAACAAACCGAAACAAACAATCAAAAACTAAAACAAACACTTTTAACGTTCATTCTTTGGTACCATCATCTTATTTACATTGCGTTGGATCACGCCTCGACTTCCTTCCTATCCCGTTGCGGTTTTCTTGGTATACTTCTACTCTTACAGTTTCTGTTCCAATTATGTACACGTCACAAGGTTTATGTTAAGTCTCCTGTAGTTTTTCAATTTCTACAATTACTTTCAATATATGTCACAAATTTACTCCATTCTTCAATAAACTTTGTACCTTCTTGGTGTCTAATTTTATGTATCATTCTTGCTAATTCTGTGTATTCAAATAATTTTACTTGCCAATCCATAACCGTAGGGATCTCTGTTGATTTCCATTTTTGAGCTATCAATACCCTGGCCGCCACCGTCGCATATTGAAACAATCGCTGATCTTCCTTTTTAATTTCGTCATCTATTATTCCTAACAAAAATGCCTCCGGTTTTTTTGAAAAAGTATATCTGAAAATTTTCTTTAATTCGTTATATATAAGCTCCCAAAATTTTTTCATTTCCTCACAAACCCACCACATATGGTAAAGGTCCCCATCCTTCTGCTTACATTTCCAGCATGCTTTGTTTCCAATTTTATACATTTTCCCCAATTTTACCGGTGTGATGTACCATCGGTACATCATTTTCTCCAGATTTTCCCTTAATGTGACGCATGCCATGAACTTCATTCCTTTATTCCATAGCCTCACCCACTTGTCGTACTCTGTTATATCCAAAATCAATTGCCCATTTTACCATCACCTCCTTTATCAACTCATCTTTTGTATCCCATTCTAACAAAAAATTATACATCTTAGATAAAAGTTTGGTTTTTCCTTCTAGAATTTCTATCTGATATTTAGATTTTTTCTCATTCATCCCCAATTTTTTATCTTCATTCCAAAGTGCATTTATCTGGTGATATTGTAGCCAACCTGTCAATCTATCTTTCAATTCCTCATAAGTTCTAATCTTCCAACCTTTTTCTGTTTTTACCAATAAATCTTTGTATGTTAACCTTTTCCCCTCCATGTTCAGTTTTTTTATTGTTAAAATATCTACCGGGGATAACCACCAGGGGGTGTTTCTTTCTAGAAGTTTTTTGTTTTGTCTCCCAAACTTCGTACAGGGCTCCTTTAAAAATATGTTTTGAAAAACCTTTGTGAACCTTTTCTTTTTTGAGCCACAAGTAAGCATGCCAGCCATATCTATTATTAAAGCCTTCTAAGTCCAACAAGTCCGAATTTTCTAAAACAATCCACTCTTTAAGCCAACATAAACAGGAAGCTTCATAGTATAATCTTAGATTTGGCACGGAAAACCTGCCTCTTTCTCTCCGGTCTGTAAGTAGTTGATATTTAATTCTTGGCCTCTTTCCCTGCCATATGAATTTTGAAAGAATTTTTTGCCATTCCTTAAATATCGAAGGCCCCCTGATTATCGGAATAGTCTGAAATAGGAACAACATTTTTGGGAGAATATTCATCTTGATTGCTGCCATTCTTCCAGACAATGAAAGCTTTAACCTATTCCATATATCCAAATGCTTTTTAATCTCTTTCCATGTAGGTATATAATTATCACTGATTAAATTAATATTTTTCGATGTCAACCGGATACCTAGATACTTTACTTTTTTATGACTTTAATTCCATATTTTTGTTCTAATTGCTCTCTTATACTCCTATCCATATTTTTAACCAGCATTTTAGTCTTTATTTTGTTTAATTTGAAACCTGATAATTTGGCGAATTCCTCTAATTGTTCCAAAACCTTACCGACGCTTGTTTGTGGTTCTTCTAAGGATAACACCAAGTCATCCGCATATGCCTTCAACTTGTACTCCTTGGTACCAATTTTAACCCCCCGTATCTCATCCTGTTTGCTATTACCTCTAACACCATTATGAATAGTAAAGGGGATAGAGGGAAGCCTTGTCTTGTTCCCTTCATAATATTAAATGAATCTGTCAGATTCATTTAAGTTTTTTCTCAGTTATGAAGAATTCACGTGTAGTCAGGATCCAAAGAAGGGATATACAACAGAAACCACATATAAAATAGATTTGCTTATGTTTTTTTCTTTTTCTGAAGTAATAAGCTGTTGCTGTTTTTTTATTGGACCCTGGCTTTCTCTTCAGCCCTGGAAACTCCATGCTGACACAGATGGTTGATTGATGCATGATTTTTTTCCACCTTACTCTGAAGTAGTCTATTGATTTCAGGAATTAAAACAGTTTCATTATGCTGATGCTAGATCGGGGTGAATGATATAATCTAACTGAAGAACAGTATAGTAAAATTCAGCTAATCTAGCTGAATTCCATGTAAGGAAGAACACATACTGGTGTGAATGTTAACTTTTGCAATCGCAGCTCTGCTCATGGTTGGACTTTCTCATCTCTCTTCCTGCCAGTTTCCTATGGCTCCTGAAAATCCACCCCATTTCAAGGATTGGAGACCCTCCAGAGTAGCTTGAGGTGTGGTACAAGGGACTGTAGCTGAAAGGGGGAATCAGTCATGTTTGACTAAGAACTTGTACAGGACAACTCTAGATTCAAGCCACAGAGCTTTCACTTATTTATTTGGAAGAGTAGAAGAGAACAAACAAACAAACAAACAGTATGTTAAGCTTGAATAGCAGGCAGGATTGAACCAAATGAGACATTGATTCAGTGGTAATTTATGTTGCAATTGCTTTCCTTATCCAGTTTTAAAGTACATACTACCTAATACAGACAACTTAATGCCTTGTTACAGGCATTAACGTGGGCAGCACGCCAAGGTCATAAAAAAGTAGTCTTCAAGTTGCTCGAATTGGGAGCTGATAAATCAATACAGACCAAAGATGGACTGACAGCAGGAGAGATTGCAAAGAGCAACAAGCATTCAGAGGTACTATTTTGTGTATGGTGTCAAGACTTGAGTTGAAATGCTTGTATTCATAGGTTGCTTAGCTACATTAGAGGCATAGTAAACATTAGAGCTGGTATAATAATTCAGTGATAAAAAGCCTTCTAGTCTGTGAAGAGTTAAAGCTATTCATGTTGGCTCATGCACCACAAAGCCAGGAAGTTGGAAACCAAAGCTGATGCCTTAACGTGTGCTCTGAGATCAGCAACAGTATTATGCAATATTGTACATTGTGGTTGCTTACGCCTTGCTCTCTCTGGATCCACACATTTTCCTGGTCTTTCAGACCCCATTCCAGATGGGGACCACGGGGTGCCTGGGGCTAACAAAAAATTCCCACCCCGCCATGATCCTGCATTTTGTTTGCTATTCTGAATTTGGTACGGCAACATGAAGAGATTTCTACCACCGGGCATTCTGCAAGAAATCTAGGGTTGCTTTGTAACCTGAGATGCTGGGTGATAAAATATGCTGGGTGCTATGGTATTGCAATTGAAAAGAATTGTCAAGTGGAAGGGTTAAACAGCCTCTTCTAGCACACAACTTTTGTTTGCTTCACATTGCACTTTCCCAACACTATTAAACAACAGAAAAAATGTGAGGGCTCATGTTTGTGAGCTCAGTTGTCTGCCTTGATGTTCTATGTAAGTCCTTGTGATTACCTTTTCGGGGCAAAAGGAGGAGTGACATTGGCCTACAAATGCACTGACATGCAAGCAGTGAATTAATTCCTACCTGTTCAGATTCAATATGTTCATCACCTCCACACTGCCAAAATTGCACCTTTTCTTGATGCTTCTGTATCTATGAAACGGGATTATTTTCAAAACCTTTTCTCAGTTTTATGTGCACATGATCTCTCACTCTACATTCTGCACTGCACTCTAGAATGTTACGACAGTTACATGCAGCAAATTTTAAAGTGAAGTTTATGTTGAGACTTGAGTTCACTTCCCTTCTATCGGGCACACAGTCGGCATGCACTCGTGTTGCCTCTTACTAAGTAAAGCTCTTCTGATTTTCTGTTTAAAAAGATGGTTCGATTCTTAGGTTCATAGAATTGTAGAATTGGAAGGGACCTCAACCCTCTGCAATGCAGTATAATACAGGATGCGTCTTTTAAACGAGGCTCCGTGGAACATGTGTACTCTGTATCCACAGAGCCTCTTTTAAAGGACTAAGCCTATATAAAAGTGGCAAGGTTTGAACCATGCCCCTTTAATTTAATATTAGTATGGTGCAAGTAGTCATACAGTGCATGTAGTTGCATTTCAGCAACATCATCTGTAAGACAGACCTTGCTGGTTCTTCTGCCTTCTGTTTTTTAAACATGCTCTGCCACTTAGTAGTAATTTCTGAAATTGCTGTATATCTTCATTCAGATTTATGCTTGAGTAATATTTCTACCTGTGACAATCTGAATTTATTTCTACTGATGTGCTAATTTGGAAAAAGAAACTAGGGTCAACTGCCACAACACAAAGAGGAACAACATTTGAAGCTGAACATACTTAGAAGATTAATACTGAAAACATACTGTACACACTTGATAGAAAAGTGACTTGCTCCATTTAAAGTAAAATAAGGCAGCTGAGGGACAGCACACATCATTGTCAGTAAAAAAGACTTAGGAGCAAGCAAAAGGAGATCAGGCGGGGATGAGGGAAGAAGCAGTCACGGAGATCAGGCAGGTGGGGTGTGTGCAGATCAGGTGTGGAGATGAGGGAAGGAGCAGCCGCTGAGGTAGGATGGGTGAGGGGAGGAGAGGAAGCAGACTCACCATTGCATGGTTTAGGTGAGAGGGGTTGGGGGGATGCATCAAGCCACTGTCAGTAGGACAGCCAGTGGTGGCAGCCAACAAAGATGTATGTCCCCTGCTGACTGAAAAGAGCTGCTCTGTCTCAGTGCCAGGGGAGCGTAGTGCCATGGGGCCTTGAAGTGAGGGCAATCAGCTGCCCTGTTCTCTGTCAGCATGAGGGGAAGGCAGCGCCTTGCAATTAGCTGCCCTGTTTTCCCTCAGCATGAGGGAAGGCAGCTCAGATCAGCAGCGTTATCACAGAGGTCACTGTGTGGTATGAGCAGCGCCTTGAAATCGGCTGCCTTGTTCCCCTTCACATGAGGAGCAATGCATTGCTGTGTATTGCCATGTCAAAATCATCATTGCAGTGTAATTTCAAAACTGTTTTTGGCTAATATATTGAAAAATTGCACAGCACTAAAACAGACCATAAAATTTGTGATATTACCATTCAAAAATGGCAAAAATTTAGTTGGGGAGGCAAGGGATGGGACTGTGAACCCCCAGGTGCGTTCTGTGGACCCCCAAGAGTCCCCAGACCCCTAATTGGGAACCGCTGGAGTCTTAACAAGATAGCCGAGTAGAAAATTTTCTGCACATTCTCACTATTTTATATCTGAATTTCCAGTTGGACTTAACAGTGTAACAGACCTATTAGTAGTAGTTATAGGTAGGTAGCCGTGTTGGTCTGCCGTAGTCGAAACAAAATAACATAAATAAATAAAAAATTCCCTCCAGTAGCACCTTAGAGACCAACTAAGTTAGTTATTGGCATGAGCTTTCGTATCTGAAGAAGTGTGCATGCCCACGAAAGCTCATACCAATAACTAACTTAGTTGGTCTCTAAGCTGCTACTGGAAGGAATTTTTGTTTTGTTTTGTTTTGTTTAGACCTATTAGTAAACATGAAGAACAATCTGTCCCTTGATATAATATTAACAATTTATTTTTAATTATTCTCTTAGCTTTTTAGCTTACTTTCATTGAGTAAACACCCTTTCCAAGAAAGATTCAACAACCTGACTAAAGAAGAGGCTATTCACAAACTTCTGAAAGCAGTTCCCAATACATTTAAAAGCCAGAAAACCAGGTAAAAAATAGTGAATACTAATGTATTTAACTTTGAAAGTATTCTGCAATGAAAACTTTGTCCATTGGACAGTTTAAACACAGTACAGTACACCGTTTAAACACTTAATTTAGTTCCCTTTAAAAGCACTTCCATTTAAAACACATACTAAAATTCAAGCTGCAGTCTCTTAGAGCTGCTCTGTTGTTAGAGAGAAGTTCCAGCAGTTATATAGCCATTTGTATGCCCATAAAATGTTTCAGGGTCATAGATGTACACTGTTGGTGGGATGGGTATCTTTGGCGGGGAGGGGGAGAGGAATGATTGATTCAAGGGCAAGCTTGGCTCTGCAAGATCCAAGGCCCCTTCATTCCCCCAACACCTTCCCCTCTCAAAAAGTACGGAAATTGTTGGAAATTGCATAGCTGTTGTCAATTGGGAGGGAAATGTGGCTGGAAATTAGAATGTAGGTGATGGGAAACCACCCTAGCTGCTTTGAACTGGCAGGGCATAGATTGCCACCATGGATTTTGTTTCTTCCGCTGACCTTCCCAAGAGTGCTCTGCTAGTTGAACTTTTTTATCTGTAGGATACTGTAAGGTATTTGTGTATTGGACTTAGAGTTCACTCATTCCTTTGCCTCTAAGCAGCTATAAAAACCAGCTGATCAGGAAAATATTTTTATTCTTTTAGCAGAGATATAAATAATAACATGTATTTGCTTTTTAAAACTTATGGTGCGATTAAAAAGACCCATTGCATGAAGGATGCGCAAATTAGCTATTGATAAGGGGTTTTTTTGCCTCTGCATTTTTATACTAGAACTGAATTTAAATCAATATTTTTAATCAATATTTGAAAGGCAGCAACAGAATATGTGTCATTTTATTTCTTAGATTTGCTCCTGTTATTTATACTTTTATAATAATCAACCAATATATTTATAGTTCTTATTCAGCCTTTGGTGACCTGGAGGTGTTTTTACAAGGCCTTGAGCTTGAACACTTAACAGAGGTCCTGAAGGTAAGCTTTGAAAGCTCTGAAAACGTATATGGATAATGGCCTTGGATCTAATAGCGTCACGGGGCCTCTGGATTGGGTACTGACTCCAGGTTGATTGTGAGATAGGAGCAAGGAAAATGGGCAATTAGATTTTTGCTCCTGATTGACCAAAGCAGTCATGTCAACTTTAGCTCTCATTCTTCCTACTTCTACTCAGGGTAGTTTCTTGCATTTTATTAAAGCTATGAGATATGAGGTGGTGTCCAGTTGGGTTGTGTCTCCCTGACAGAAGGTACCAGTCAACAGAATGAAAAAGGATGCAATTTTTGGCTATTTCCCCCACCCACTTGCTCCCTCTTCAGAGCAGGTTTGGGGTGGGGGAGAGTGTGAGGTTGCAAGGGGAGGAAGAAATAGCCAAAAAAGTCTTCCTCTCTGTTGTCCTATTTTGGAGAATGTGCATTTAGGCTTCAGTACTACAGTGGTGCCCCGCAAGACGAACGCCTCGCAAGACGGAAAACCCGCTAGACGAAAGGGTTTTCCGTTTTGGAGGCGCTTCGCAAAACGAATTTCCCTATGGGCTTGCTTCGCAAGACGAAAGCCCATAGGGAAATCTCCGGGACCTCTTTTAAATGCTAGCGGTGGGGAGCAAAGCCTTCCCCCCTCCGGCCTTCAGAAGAGGTCCAGGAAGGCTGGCGGGGGCCGAAGGCTTTGCTCCCCACCGCCAGCATTTTAAAAGCAGTCCGGGATAGCAGGGAGCGCTTCCCGCTATCCCGGACGGCTTTTGAAGGCAGGAGAGGTCCGCGAAGCCTGGGCGCGCTGATCTCAGCGCGCGCAGGCTTCGGCATGCCGGCAACTCGCCGCAAGCAGCGGCAGCGCTGCCGCTGCTCGCGGAGAGGTCCGCGAAGCCTGGGCGCGCTGATCTCAGCGCGCGCAGGCTTCGGCATGCCGGCAACTCTCCGCAAGCAGCGGCAGCGCTGCCGCGGCTCGCGGAGAGGTCCGCGAAGCCGGGGCGCGCTGATCTCAGCGCGCGCAGGCTTCGGCATGCCGGCCACTCTCCGCCAGCAGCGGCAGTGCTGCCGCTGCTTGCGGAGAGGTCCGCGAAGCCTTGGCTGGACAGCTTTGGGAAGGCAGGCAGGGGGGACAAAGACTTTTGCCCCCCGCCAGCCTTCAGAAGAGGTCCAGGACCTCTTCTGAAGGCTGGCGGGGGCAAAAGTCTTTGTCCCCCTGCCTGCCTTCCCAGGGGCTTTAAATTGCCCCGGACAGCGGAGAAGTCCTCCGCTGTCCCGGGCAATCTTAGAATGCCGCCCGCCAGCATTTTAAGATCGCCCCGGACAGCGGAGAAGCCCTCCGCTGTCCCGGGTTTTTAAATGCTGGGGTGGAGTGGGAAGAAAAGCCCTTGTCCCCCCAGCCTTCAGAAGAGGTCGGGGGACAGACTGTCCCCGGACCTGGTCTGAAGTCGGTTTCCTAGGAACGCATTAATTGATTTTCAATGCATTCCTATGGGAAACCGTGCATCGCAAGACGAAAAACTCGCAAGAAGAAAAAACTTGCGGAACGAATTAATTTCGTCTTGCGAGGCACCACTGTACACCCACTTGAGGCACATTGAACTTATGACTGAAAAGATACGTTGTAGGATTGTGCAGAATATTAACCTAGATTTGTGCTTTATGTTTTATCCACTGTAAATATCCTTAAAAGGTTTTGATATTTTGTTGGGTTTATTGACCTGGGTGAAGGCATATGGGAGGGTGGATTATTACATTCTGATTTACAGTGTTTCCTCTGATAAAATATTTTTGTTTCATACAGGAGGGAGAAATTGGTTTAAGGGAGCTTTTGACCATGGAAAACAAGGACTTTACACAGGTTGGCTTAATGCAGATGTTTCTAATTTTTCACATCACACATTTTTAATATTGATGTACATTTTAATTCGTGAGAATAGTGATGGTGCAGAAACTGCCTTCTTGTCTGATGGACCCATTATTGGTCTCATCTACACAATCTGCCGGAGCCTGTCTTCTCATGTAGTGGGAATTCCTAACTCACCTAGGGTTTGAGACCCATCAGCTTGCCTCATCTGGTTTAGCTGGCCAGTCGAAGCCGCTTCAGGGGTGTGGCTGCTGTCGCATGTTAGCAGCTTGTAGGAGCCACAGGTGAGAGCTGAGTGCAGGGTAGGGACCAAAGCTACCCCAGAAGGAGAGCGATGTGGTCCCCCTCTAGAGGTACCACCCTTCCCCTTATACCCCATACACCCCAAGGGAAGTGGGGGCATATGAGGCTTGTCAACCTGGGAAGGTAGCCCATCTAGGAGAAGGAAAACTCTGATCCTAAACCTCCGCTGTCTTGTGTGATACCTTTGGGTTTAGAAAAATTCTAAGGAGTAAACCCTACCCAAATATGTAGTGGAGTCCCTAAGAAGGTTGGATGGTGTCTTGTATGCTTCTTTCCGGCAACTCCTGTAGCCAAGCTGGTGCTTTCCTTTGGACCACATCAGCGAGCCTGATAGGAAGGTCATTGCCTGGGCAGCCCAGGACCTCCATACACACTGCCTAGGCTTGCACCCCAGGGAGGTCACTTCAGTGCTGCTAATGCAGCCGTTTGACCTCACCCCCTCCATTGTCTCTCGGGGCAGATGGATGCCAACATCAAATGTGATGGCATTTGTGCAAGGAGGTACTTTGAATTCCTTTTTGGTGTTCCCTTCAGGGAAGAAATCATCTTGTCTACATGGTGTAACATAAATCAGTACAGTGGTACCTCGGGTTAAGTACTTAATTCGTTCTGGAGGTCCGTTCTTAACCTGAAACTGTTCTTAACCCATGGTACCTCGGGTTACATACGCTTCAGGTTACAGACTCTGCTAACCCAGAAATATTACCTCGGGTTAAGAACTTTGCTTCAGGATGAGAACAGAAATCGTGCTGCAGCAGCGTGGCGGCAGCAGGAGGCCCCATTAGCTAAAGTGGTGCTTCAGGTTAAGAACAGTTTCAGGTTAAGAACAGACCTCCGGAACAAATTAAGTACTTAACCCGAGGTACCACTGTATTAGCGCATAACCATGTGCTTAAGTGTTCATCTATAAACAATTTTATAACTACAAGGTTATAAAGCTCTCTGTTAATTGTTTGGAAATAATATGAGCTGAATGGTGAATATGAATTCAACCAAGGAATTTCAGGTGTTACCTGGAAAAGAGGCTTAGGGAGCAATCCAACCCCCCATTGACAAGTTTGGTGTGGAGTGGTTGGATTAGTCAGACACTAACGTCACTGCAAAGGCAGAGCTCGCCTTCTGCCTGCCAAACATACAAGGGGGTAGAAGTGCTTTAGGTAGGATCCTCAGCAGCAGAAAGCCCCCAAATAGGGTGTTCCGAGGGGGAGTGGCTAGACCAGTCCTGCTGCTACATCGTGTGACTTCATCAAGGCTAATGTGGGCCCGAATGCTGTACCAGCCGCAGGCATGCCCACCTACTCACTATGGCCTCTGTGCACAGCAGGGCTGCAGGTGTATTGGTCCTGTCTCCGGCCAGCCAAATCCACCAACCAGGCACAAAGAGGGTTTGGATTCCAGTGCCTTTTACAAAAAGATTCCCCCCCCAATCAAATCACTTCATCAAAAGACCAAGCAGATGCTTCTTGTTTTGTGTAGTAGTTGAGTTTTTTCTTTGGAAATTAGTTGAAGTTTTAACTTACAGCTTGAAATTACAAATAAATACCTTGGAAGATATGGATTTGCCCTATATGTATAACATTTATTGAACCTAGCTTGGTGAGATTGTAATACAGTTAGAGGATGCTCAGCCCTAAGATACTGAAACTTGTTCTTCCATGATGTAGCCTTCATCGACTTAATACCAAGCTTTTTTAGTTTTTAAAATCCTGTTTTATTCTAAATTTCTCTGTTTAGATATTGTGATTTTTTTTTTGTTTTAGCTTGGAATTACAAATACCAGAGATCAGCAGAAAATCTTAGGTGCTGTTAAAGAAGTGCAGATAGAAAAAGTAAAGTTGGAAGAGTTGTCCAGAGTCGTGAATTTGGAACTCAGGTAAAGCAGATTGATGGAAATACAAACACACACACTCTTTCGTAGTAGTACAGGCGACAAGCATGTGTTGTGTTCCAGAACCCTGCTCACATAAGTGAAAATTGCGTAAGTGGGGAGCACTCTCTAAACACCCTTTAAATGCCCTCTATGTAGCATTCTGTCCAATTCAGATAGTAAATACCGTACAAAAAATATCCATAACTAGAATTGAAGCGGGCAGGCAGGAGGCTGGAGGACATGCAGGAAAGCAGTTGCTGCTGCTGTGATACTGCACGCACCAGCTGTTATTTGGGGAAGCTGCGCAGCCTGAACAAAGCCTCCCTGCGCCTTCAGTCTCTTCCCTGCCCTCACTGAAGTCCTCTTCAGACTCTGGAGTGTCTCCTTGCGAGCCATGAAGACTCTTTAGCTCTCTCCCTCCATTTCTTGGTGTGGATTACATTATTTAATTCTTTCCCAGCACTGCGCATATGTGCAGTTGCACACATGGGTGTGTGTGTGCCTGTAGTTGATTGGTTTTATTTTTCTGTGGCACCATGGCCATTACAAAACATACTGCTGGGACAAATACCTACAAACACAAATGAGTAGTGAATCTAAACTCCTGCTGGGACAGACACAAGGTGAGCGAAATATAGGAGGGTGGAAACACATCAAAATCCTTGCTGTGGGTGTGGGAAATGTAATATTACAGCCCCCCAGATTTGTACAGTTGTAAAGTTCCCCAGCGGCAGCCATAGAATGATGAGTTTGGTCATATAGTTATTCCTCATTTTAAGAGCAAATCTACTGTTTGCATACCTGTTTCACCTTACTTCTGTTTTTAAAATTACTACGTGTTAGAGCAGGGATGAGGAGCCTCAAGCCCAGTAACTCTATCCAGCCCTCGGGATTCTTTCTTTGGGAAAAGGCTGTGCCCATCTGGTTACCTTCCCTTTGCTCAGGCCATGTCTCTAACCAGCCTTGCTGTGATCACACCTCATATGCTTTTTTTAAAATAAGTTTTTATTGATTTTCTTTTCTATCATTACAAACACCTCATGTGCTTTTTGGCTGGCTAGAATGCATCCTTGAACTGTGAGAGATGTGTGGGTTTAGGATGTAGAGCGTTTTGTGTGTGTATGGAAACCTCTGGCTTGTGTGGCTAGAATATAACCTTTACAAAGGGTAAGAGTTATGCCCCCTTTTTGCCTCTGGCTATACCCACTGCCAGCATGTGGCCCCCTAGAGGCACCTATGAGGGAGTGTGGCCCTTGGGCTAAAAAGTGTTCCCCACCCCTGAAATAGAGTATTAACTGTTTCTGTATAACTGAGTATGTAACTATTGTCTCACTTCATTTTTACAGTGGTGACGAGTTTCTTTCTTTCCTTGTGAAACTAAACAAACAGTGTATGCACCTTACAGCTGCTGTGCAGAGTGCGGTTAATCAGTTCCCTACAGATGCTCACAAGGTGAGCATATGGTACTGTTAATATTTTTTTAATATAAAATAGCAAACATATGCTTACAGTATATGTGACCAAAATGGATCTATAATATATTGAAGGTCCACTTTAGATTTAAGCCTGACATAATTATAGTCCTCTTTAAACAAGCCCTCTTCTGTTTAAAGCAATGAAACACAGTTAGAGAAGCAACTTTCTCTTTTTACGTTTGGTGCTGGAGGTATCCCGCAGTGGGTCAATGCCCCTTCATCTAGCCCATAATACGAAGTTCTAATACTTAACTCCAAGAGTTGCAGCGCTCGTGGGAGCAGCACACTTACTGTACTTGGCTCTTCCTAGTTAAAGAGCTTCACCTACTGCTTGACTTCCATTCTCACTTTAAATTATTCCTTAGAGGAGCCAGCATGCTAAACCAACACATATAACAGCTTTCCCTTACTGGAATCTGCATAGTCATTTGAACAGCTGAGGACTCTAATACTGAGACTCATATCCCTAAAGATAGAGTTCCTGGTGGCCATCAAATCAGCCAGAAGGGTATTGGAATTCACCTTTCCCAGCTATGCAATTGAACCCTTCTTTTATCTCCTAGATCAGGCATCCCCAACCTGCGGCCCTCTAGATGTTTTGGCCTACAACTCCCATGATCCCTAGCTAACAGGAGCAGTGGTCTGGGATAGTGGGAATTGTAGTCCAAAACATCTGGAGGGGCGAAGGTTGGGGATGCCTGTCCTAGATAAAGGCCCTATTTCATAGGTTACAGGAGTTAAGCTCTTGTTCCAAGTCTTCCCATCCCTCTGAGCAGGCTGGACTTGTATAGAGAGCGTATTAAACGTATTGTTTGTTTCAGACACTGCAACCTTACATATTTTCACTCCAAATCCCCAAGAGAAAAGAGTTGCCCATACATAACACCTGCCAACACTGCTACATATCATAGCTCACTTCTCCAGAGCAATAGGGACATCCACAGCTCTTTCCGCAATCACCTCTGTCAGAGGTATGTCAGCCCACCACAGTGGTTCACAGCTAGTACATTTAGTGAGCAGTACAAAATACTGTAGACTGCACCATGGCAGACTTTGGGAGGAGAGTGTTCCAGCATGTTCTCCCAACTTCCTAAATCAGCTGCTTCCCCCTTAGAATGCAGCTAGGAATCAACCAAATGTTTAATATCTCCTATGACAAACATAGAATGGAGCATTGGCTACTCACCAAGATGGTTCTTTCTGGTTTGACATATGGAAGTATCCAAGATTAGTCTATGTTCTCAGTGGCTGATATAAACAAAACACGACACTGGTATTGGGCCTAACCTGGCACTATTTTTAACACATTCATAGGGCCAGCATTGATTTACCCATTGCAGTTTGCAGCATTAGACTTCTTTTGAGGGTCACTTGATTCCTTGTCTTCCTGAGCCAGTGCAAATATATTAATCCATACTAAGTCATTGCTGGAATACCTCTGTACACATCAGAGAACTCTTGTAGGGCACAACCAATTTTCCATTCCATATTTGTTCAAATAATTGTTAATTTACTGTTTTGCCATTATAACAGACAGATGGTATTAAGATATGTTCGCAATGATACCAGTAAACGCCCCCCCCCGAAAACCAACTAACAAAAAACATGCTTTGTGTAGCTGATCAGAAAAATGCTGCTCTAGTTGTGTATAAACTACATTTCAGATAAGTAATGTTATATTTCTTGTTAGTTGGTTCTTGAATGGAGTCCACCTCAGAAGCTTGCTAATGTTTGTGGGAAGCTTGTTTCCAGTGCTGAGGATCTGACTGGAGAAGCTACCAAACTGAAAAGCCTCATGGAAAAGGTATGCATGTTGTAAGACACATAATGCATTCAAAACCATTACCAAAATATGGGCAACTTTTCTAGTACATGTTGATTCACGCAGTGTGATAAACCATAAGATTGCCATTGAATAGTATATTTGAATTGTAGATCAAATGTTTGTCAATCCCAATCATCAATATAGGAGGGGGGGGAATAGTGGAAAGGGATAGAAATGAGGGTCATTATTACCATATTTTTTGCTCTATAAGATGCACCAGACCATAAGACGCACCTAGTTTTTGGAGGAGGAAAACAAGAAAAAAAAAATTCTGAATCTCAGAAGCCAGAACAGCAAGAGGGATAGCTGTGCAGTGAAAGCAGCAATCCCTCTTGCTGTTCTGGCTTCTGGGATAGCTGTGCAGCCTGCATTCACTCCATAAGACGCACACACATTTCCCCTTACTTTTTAGAAGGGGAAAAGTGAGTCCTATAAAGCAAAAAATACGGTAAATATAATTGGCTTATTTTGAAATCTGGAAGTTTCACAAACCTGTGCTCTGAATTGCTGGAGGGCTGCTCATAGCAAAAGTCCATTATCGTATAGTTCCCGTTGTGCGCCTTGAATTGATAATTTGGTTTATATTTTATAGGTCCCTTAAAGCACAAATTGTTAATTACATGAGGGTTTAATCAGCAAAATTTTAATGCTGTTTGGAGGGGGGGACTTTTGAAAGCTTTCTCTTTCGGTTTTAGTTCATTAAGGTTTGTCCTGCTATTGGTTGTGACAAATTGCCTATTAGTGTTTAAACTCAAATTTCCAACAAGCCAAAACATGATTCTTGAAGAAAGTTGGTGTGTAGGTGGGTAGAAGTGGAAGCATGTGGAAGTTGGAAGCTAAGTGCATCTTTTTACCCCTCCATCCTGCCAGGTTGTTTTGGTTTTTCATTTGAGAATTGAGACTGAGAAAGTTGTTCCTATGGCTTCAGTATCTGCAGAGCAAACTTAAAACTATCTAAAGAGCAGATGGAACTGCATTAGCATGATAGTAGTTTAGATGGCATGAGTGGACAAATCCCACAAGAAGGGAAGAAATAGTTTGGTTACTGAATGGTTCTTTTTGCCTGGACTCTGGCATTTTGTGTATTGTATGTTTGCTTATTCTCTCTTGGTTGTTTGTAATTATTTAATTTGCTGTAATTATCGGAGGTGATTTTGTTTTATTGTTTTGTTATCATGTAGCAACATGTGAAAATGGTTTGTGAAGTTTTGTTAATTTGTTTTTAGTTGTACTTTGAATTGTTACATAATGGCAAGGCTGTAATTTTGCCATTACTATGGGTTGTAAATTTCTGAGTACAGCAGAGCTTTCCAAACTTTTCATGTTGGTGACACGCTTTTTAGACGTGCATCATTTCGCAGCACAGTTTTACTAGCAAATTGGAGGTTAAACTAACCCTTCCAGCCCTGGGAGCAGCGTGGGGAGTGTTCATGCGACACACCTACACACTGCAACTGACATACTAATGTGTCGTGACACAGTTTGGAAAGCTCTGGAGTACAGTAATGTAGGAATACAATATTCAAATAAAAAATGAATTGGTTGTAACCACAATTCTGGGTCCAAACAACATAGCAAACTGGGGCAAGCGAGACCCAAGAGTAAAAGTCAAGAGTAATCTTCTGGCTGCTCCAGGGAGGGGAACACCCAAACCCAAGGCTCACTGCATCTTGGGTTTGTTGCAGTAAGTTATTGTTTAGATTTGAGAGCAGCCTCTGCATATATATGCACTGCTATTGTTTAAACCACATTCTTAGAAGTATAAATTTCTAAATTTAAAGTATAGTGTACTGTGGTGTAGACATCTAACATTCTCTTTTCACCCAACTCCATGTATTTTATCAGCTTCATGACGGACAGAAAGATGATCCTTGCCGAATACAACCTTGGGTGGAAAAACGCTGGTGGAAGAAGCCTTTTGTTAAAATAGTAGCAGTAACGTTGGTTGGGTCTGGTTGTGCCATCTTTATCATGAAGTTAACTTTAAGGAAGAGCTGAGCTGGGAGTCATACATAAAACAACTTTTAAATATATTTTCCAACATCTTGAAGTACAGCTAAATCTGTTATTTGTATTAACTTTCATGGTTTCAGGAGTGTCAGTTTTATAATAGTAAAAGCATTGTAATTTCCATATATTTGCTTCATTGTTTTTTTTTTTAATTATAGAATCTCTTCTCCTTGGCTCCATTTCTGTCTCCTTTTCAGATACCAATCAGGAAACTATGCTCTTCTTTATTGCCAGTTTATAGCATGTTCTCCTTCACAGGACAGCCAGAGATGTGCAGCAAGGGCTTCCCTTAACAGGGATAGATAACCTGCTGGCTGCAAGCAACTGATATTTCTCCTCCTATTTTGTGAATGATGAGAGAGACCGTTGTTGCTTTGGCCACCAGGCAGCCAGTTCTGTGAGGAGTTCTCAAAGGGGGAGTTTCCCAACTGGTCCCCATATCATGGGTGCTGGCTGGCATTATAGGAGATCCCTCCAAAGGAGGTTGCAGCTATGTTGGGTGGAGTTGCTGGAACTCCCCTGCACAATTTCTGTGTTTTCTCTTGCTGAGGGACATTATAACAGATTCTGTTATTAATTATTTAATTTGCTGTAATTTTCGGAGGTGATTTTGTTTTATTGTTTTGTTATCAAGTAGCAACATGTGAAATGGTTTGTGAAGTTTTGTTAATTTGTTTTTAGTTGTACTTTGAATTGTTACATAATGGCAAGGCTGTAATTTTGCCATTACTATGGGTTGTAAATTTCTGAGTACAGCAGAGCTTTCCAAACTTTTCATGTTGGTGACACACTTTTTAGACGTGCATCATTTCGCAGCACAGTAAATAGAAGGCTATGTCTGTGGCGTGCTGAACTCTCGCTGAGTGTTGGCCAAAGTGGAACTGGAGAGACATGGTAGGCAGGAAGGTGGAAATGGTCTCTTCCTTCTCTGAAACACCTCAATGACTGCCAAAAGTAAGGTGCTTCATGTGAGGGGCTCAAAGAGGCAGCCTTGCTACTCTGTCTCATGTCCATTCCTTTAGCAGGAGGCATGCAGAGTGGAGGACCAAAGGGTATTAGGGTCTATCACTATCTTTTAAAAAAATAGCCTATAGCTCAGGAAGAAAAGCTACCCGGCTCTTCGCTACAAGGCAGAGCCCAAACCTGGAAGGTGCTTTCTCTCCAGAAAGGACATAATTCTCTCCCCCCTGCCCCCCGCTTGATTGGCTGTCTTCTTTCTGTTCCACTGTCTTGCTGACCAAGAACCAATTGGCTTCTGTCCTTTGTAAATTTAATTTATTTTTATGTCAAAAAAATCTTGGTTCTTATATGTGCCTATTTGGATTCAATTTATTTTTGTAAAAGCATGGTTTTAATTAAAAAGTACTGCATATTCCTAAATTCCTGGGGGTTGGACTCGGTAATCCTCAGGTTCCCTTCCAACTCTTTGATATGATATTACATACACGCCCTACATCCTGATTCCTAAGTAGCATTTTTCCTCTATTGAAATACTTATTTGGACCTGAAGGTTTGTACTGGGTGCTAGATCAGAGAGACAGTGGAGATTCTGCTGGTAGCCCATCCACCTTGGTGCCGTCACAGAGAAGGCAGTTTGCATCATGGTATGGAAAACCTCAGAACATTCCTTCTTTGGGATGTCATTTCCCAAGCAGAAGCTGCCTTGATTGGACCTGCTTGGGATTTCCTGGTTGTCATGATAGTCATGGGGCTGGCTCAGAAGTCACAGAGCCCAACACACATATCAGGTCATACCTTAGATCTGCGTTTTTCAACTGGTTGGTGGTTCAGTAGGAGGTTGTAGTGGAAAATATCATGGGCAGACCATGAGCAAGGTTTGAAATGCTGATGACAATGCCACCTGCAGCAACGTAGGACTCATTGAGCCCTTGGGACTTAGGGAATCTGATGAATTAATTAATGCTATGTGGGATCTTCTGACTGACGTGGCTGCTGCTTGTCTTGGAGTCCTGGTACTGCTGGGGAACAGTGAGATAAAGAAGGCTACCTGCACAGTTGCTCCTGAATACCCACTCTGGAGCAGTAGACCTCAGCCCTGTGGTTCATGGAAGAGCTCCTACTGGCTAAAGTGGACCCAGTGACAACTAGAATGCAGTCTCATACGGAACACAACAGAAAGCAGGTAAGAACACAGTATCATGCCTTTTGTCCTAAAACAGTTTTACAGGGTGATGAAGGAGCTAGTAGGATCATCTCCAAAAAGATATAGTATTGAGCCCTTGTGACAAATGTGCATAGGGCAAAATCTCAGTTGGGCTTTACTTGAAACATCCAGCAATGTTAGCCTGGATGATGGGGAACCTCCAGCCCATGGCAAAATTTGACCCTGCACAGGTCACAATTTGTCCCTCGTCACCATCTGCCAACCCCCCAAGAAAACCACACCTTATACAATGCCAGGTGTGAGGCAGGTAGGGACACAGCTGGTTTGGCTGCATAACTTGAGTTTCCCACTGGGAATTGGATTGCTCAGCTGTCCCTGCAGAAACCAGGGGTGGTGGTGAGTTAAAGTTTGCTGGTTCAACTACACAACAGAGTTCCCCCACGGGGAGCTCCTATTGTGCAGCCATTTGATTGAGAATGCAGCTTTGCCGGCCCTGTGCCCAGCCAACTGATGGTCAGGAATTTGAGAAATGCTGTGCAGTAACTGGCCAGAGGCAAGCATGAAATGTGAAAGTGGAGCCAAATACTGCCTTGCCTCATCTGATGGACTTTCATCACCATCTCTCTGCTCTAGGACAGATGTGGACTGAAGCGCTCCCAAAAAGCTTTAGGGATTGGTTTTCGGTTTGATCCCCATAAAATGGTTTTAGTGTCAGAAACCCCTTCTTTCATCTCCACTTTATGAAGTTCCTGACATTCAATGCATGTAAGAAGGAATCCAAACTTATTCAAGCAACAGACTTGGGAAACAGCTGCCTTCATATGGGCAGCTAAATCCTTCCCTTTTTTGATCCTCTCATGTTTCTGCCATGTGCAAATGTACAAAATAAACAAGGTATGTTTTACATTTGTATTAGAGGCCATTTTGGAGAAAAGCTGGTTTAAGCCTCAGGTATGAAAAACTTCCCAATGTATCTGTTACCCAGTCTCATGCCTGGTGTGATGTGCTTTTTTTTACATAGCTATGGAGCTGCCTTGTTTCTCTAAATTCAAGTATGCCAACATATTTTTTATGTGTAAGTAAAACAGTATGACAGATTTAGTTTAGGTTTAGCTTACGTATCTTTATAAACCTTGCTTTTCTATTTGAAAAGAAAGTGCCATAAAATAAAATGGCATTTAAAATTTACTAAATCTGCCTCAATTAAAGAAAAGAATGTGCTGCAGCTGTGCCAAGGGACTGGTATACAAAAAGAGGCCTGTGCCTCATCATGTACATTTGTCACTTTGAGACAACCTTTGGTGTTTGTTTCCTTCAAATAAACAAATGGAGTGGTTGGACAGTGTCAACCTTTCGGCTCTCTCTTGCAAATAACCCTAAACCACAGAGCCTAGGGCTTGCCAATCAGAAGGTCGGCGGTTTGAATCCTCGCAACAGGGTGAGCTCCCGTTGTTCGGTCTCTGCTCCTGCCAACCTAGCAGTTTGAAAGCACGTCAAAGTACAAGTAGATAAATAGGTACCGCTCCAGCGGGAAGGTAAACTGCATTTCCGTGTGTTGCTCTGGTTTGCCAGAAGTGGCTTAGTCATGCTGGCCACATGACCCGGAAGCTGTACACCGGCTCCCTCGGCCAGTAAAGCGAGATGAGCGCCGCAACCCCAGAGTCATCTGCGACTGGACTTAATGGTCAGGGGTACCTTTACCTTTACCTTTTATCCAACTTCCAGTCCTCTTGCTGAAAGAAATATTTCACAGTGAATGTGGATATCACATACATAATTATTAATTTCTCGCTGGAGCTGCCTTTAATTATAGGCATCTCGTTTGTCCTTTTTTTTCTCCAAGGTGCTTGTTTTATTCCATATCATCTTCATTCACACTTTGGCCAATCCTTGTTTCCCTTACAGCTTTGCCCAAATCCCGCTTCCCCTCACAATTCACCAATACCACCCCTCCACTTACAGTTCACCAGTCTCCCCTTCATCCTCATCACCTACCCACCCCCCACTGATGTAGGAAGGAAAGAGGGAAAAAATACGCCATTTAAAATGTTGAGGCTGAAATTGTGGCAGGTTGAGGTGTAGAGCTACAGTGGTGCAGAGTGGTTGCTGGGAAGTTTCCAAGCCTGTCCTGGCTGTTCTCTGCTGCTTGCCTGGGCTTGCCCGGCTCTGTTCAGTCACCTGCCTGGGCCACCTACCTGGTCTGTTGTCATGCTGCACCGACAGCAATCTTACAAGTCCTATTATATGCTAAGAAATGCTGAGATGGTAAAACGTACCCCTTCCCCAAAAGTGGTAGGCAGAATGCATTTCACTTCGGCAGACCTGAGACAACCAGCTCTTCATAGTAGTATGAAATCCGTTAAAGCAAGTCGGGCAGCTATCCGCAAACTCCTTGGGTATCTCATACTGAGGCTAATTACCATAAGTGCATTTTAATGAACCTTTTTCTTCTCAAGAAAGTGCATTATGTACTTCAAGTAGTGTGTAGAGCAATGCCTTTCATGTTAATTACATTAAGGCATTTTGGATTTCTTTGTGGTTTATCTGGTCTGTGGATCAACCCTCAGCCACTTCCTGATGATAAACAAAAATTGCAACATTGGGGGCTTCTAGGGATGGAAGCTGTGCTCATTAAAGGAAACAAACCTGCCAGGAAAATCAAGTCCATCACCTGTAGATTTTGGATCCTTGCAGTGCTTTGACAGACCTCATGTTCTCCTTTACCAGCATGGATATATCCTTAGATAAAGATTAATGAGGACACGTAGCAGGGCCTTCTCAGCGATGCCTGACAAGAGTTCCTCTGCTCATAATCTTTCAGATAGTTGTGACCTTATTTCAGCAGCCATTTTGAGGTCACAGCCAGTGGATATTTAAATAACTGCACCTTTGTCCTGCACTTGGTGTTTCTTTTTTCCTTTTTAACGTGTTGCAAATTTGTAATCTTTTGCAGACACTTTGTCATCCACCCTGAAAGTCCTTTCAAGTTATGGGATGTGATATACATTTAAATAGAACAAATTTAACATCGGCTAGCAGAGATGTGGAACAAGACTTTAAAGTCCAAATTATCTTTGAAAATGGTGGGTTGGATCCAGAAATCAATTAGACTGAGGTGCAACTAACAGTCTGAATCTATCCCCATAGGTACGGTGTAGCCTTATGCATGCCTACTCACAAGTTAACTCCATGGAGTTGAATGGTACTTGCTCCCAAATAAGTGAGTACAGAATTGCCACCTTAAAAATGCAGACTAAACATTGACCCTTGATGCACATATTAATATTTTGTATGTGAGTATGCATCTGAAACACCCAAAATATTTTAGAATTATGTTTGGTAAATGGTTAACTGGTGTCCAGTTTTAACTTCATGTGTTTTTTTATTGTACAGTTTTGTGTTTTATTGCTGTAAACTGGTTAGATTTTTTTGAATGACAGAGCAGTATAAAAATGTCTTAAGAAACAAATTGATTAAATAAAAGGATACCCCTAACCAGGTAGGACCCGCTTTTCTGTGTCTCCTCTCCTCCTGAGGTAGCATTTACATGATCCAGTTATGCCAACAGGGGCAGAATTACCCTCCTTAATGGAATGGCATAGTTGGGACTTACCTGGTCAGCCCCTGCCACAAGTTTAGGTTATTTAAATATCCCAGCAGCATGGGAGCAGCTCAGAAAAGCAGATAGGGCAATAAGTAAAGAGTTCTGATGTGAGAATTTTTTTACAAAGGCCTAACTCATTCATATTTCCAAAAACACTTTTGAATGTGGAGTTGAGATGGCAATTGCCGAGTGATTGATTGTCTATCCCAGGCTTGTTTCCCTTTCAGAAATAGTTGTCACTAAGGGCTGAGACGGATTAGTATTGTAGGTACGTGGGAGAGGAGTTGGACCCTCTCCACCCATGCCATTTTCCTCTCAATGCTACTACACCTGCTATATCCAAAAGTGGAATGAGACTATTTGACCCCCTCCCTGCCCCCCAGCTTGACTACCTCGTTACAGTTTTTACTAATATTTCCTGGACATTGCAATAGAAGAGAGTATTGCTGCCATTAGCTGTAATGCAGGTGTACAAATATTGATCCTTTGTCCTGCTTACAAATACCTGTAATTACTAGCAGCACAGGGGTCTAATGCACTGAATCAATATGGTTAATTAGCACTTCCTCATCGACGGAGCCTAATAGTGCTTTAAAATATTAAAAGGGGGGTTCCACTCAGGATTAAAATGGAAGCACATTGAGGAGCTTAGTGGTAGGAAATGTGAACAAAACAGTATTAAGACTATATTGCTGCAATACACAAAATTTATTTTCCCCCCAAAGTTTTTCCCCCTTTTGTTTTCTGAAAGCAAAATAGAATAGAACCAAACATCAATGTATTTTGTACAACAACAAAAATTATAACAGACAACCCATGAAGAGCTGAAAACTGCTTCCCTTTTTAAAAAAATCATGCTTTCTGGTCAGCAACAGTAAGTTGGCACAGAAAATGTCATGGCAGTCATTTCGGACTATTTTCCTTCAGATCCTTGTCAGCTGATGCCAGAGACTGGAGGGCAGGATGCTTTCCACTTTTTCCATCACAAAGTTCAAGGGGGCAAAGAGAGTGCTAAGAAACTGCAAAGCAAAAAAGAGTGATCATTTGTTGAGGAGGAGAAGATAAAGTAGTTTTCTTAATACACATCAACTTTATGTGGGCTATGAGAGAGATCAGCTTTCTGATTTGTATGCAAATGTCTTTTTCTCTGCCTTCTATTTAGTCACTGGTTTTGATAATGTCTGTCCTTGTTCTAACCTGGGTTTTTGTTTGCTTTCTCATTGTTTTCCCAAGATTCTGGTTTTTTCCTATTCTCATAGCATCTGTCATGCTATGTTGTCTCACACTGATGGAATTCACTTCCCTCTCTTTCTGCCCCTTTACTGTTCTCATCCCGATCTCTACTTCTTGGAAAGCTACTTTACCGGGCATGCTTCATTGTACATTTTAATTATGTGTGGGTATGTTTTTATATTTCAGTCATTCTTGCCTCTGTCTTGGTACTGGGAAAGTCACAGTAGTTGGTATCTGGTTTTTAACACTGTGATATATCAGTAAATCATGGTATTTATCTGTTGCTGTAGCACGATGTCTGAAATGTACCTCAGCCACTGCTTCCTTCTCACCTTAAGTGAGGAAGAAGCAGCCAAGATACATCGCCCAACCCCATACTTGCTTGTGCAAGCAAGAGTGCTTGATCAGCTTTCTGCATGCCTCAGCATCAAGCCTCCTGCCCTGGCTTGTACAAGCCAGAGAGACCCTTAAACCACTCAGCTAATGGGTGGAAAGTAGGCTTGGGCGATGTATCAATGCATGGGCCAGAGCACAATAGCGGCTTCGCTTGGGGGTATATTGTAAGGTTACCTGATTTTCTTCAATGAATCCGGGGACGCTTTTCAACTTCAATGGATTTTGTAATGGGGCTGATTTGTAAATCCGTCCCGGGGACATCTGGTAACCTTAATATATTGCATGTGAAACTGCCGCTGCTCCTGACTCCCTCTACAACCAGCACCCAGCAGGCTGACGGAGAAACAAGCTGCAACTGGGCATTGGTGGTAGAGAGATTTGGGAGCAGCAGCAGTTTCACTCCCAATATACTGCCATCATGGGACCATACAACTGGGACCAATAGTTTGTTCTTTCCTCAGCTGCCTGGGCAGGAAGCTCGTTTAAACTTCTCATGGGGCGCGCAGCTGCCGATCCCTTAGCGGAGAAGTCCCGGCCTCATGAGCTGGGGGTGTGGGTTCTGTTAGACGACTTCACTAAGGGGAAGGTAGCCTGCCTGACACTCCCCCCCCCCAAAGTGGCTGAGGCAGGCCCATATGCGCCTCTCATCTGCTGCCTTTGGAGGGTGGTGGGGTCAGGCAGGCTACCTCTTCCTTCCAGGAGAAAAAGGTAGCCCAGTAAATGAAGCCTGACACTGTGCTTTCGCCTGAGAGGGTGGGCTGCATCTTTTCTCCTAGGGTGGTTGGCCACTCCAGGCGTAAAGACGCAGTGTGCCCGCTCGGGCAAAAGCAAGCAGGAACCTTTGAGAAAGCCCATCCCTCTAGCAGCTCATATCCCCAATGCCCAGTGAGAGGAAAAAGCTGCATCGGCCCCAGCAGGCGCTGGGGGTAAAACCATCTCGGTTTCCTCAGTGGGAGTGACAGCGATTTCAGCCCAGCTCATCGTGGGGCTGGGACCAATGCAGCTTTTTCCTCCCTCTGTTTCAACATCACGGTGTTGAAAAGCTGACATCCTCCAGACCTAGCGGAAGTGTCCTGCCCCTCAGCTCTGCAAGCCAGAAGGGAGAGGGGATGGTGGAGGCAGCTGTTTGAGCAGGCTGCCTCTTCCTCCTGGTTAGTTGCCCCAATAGTGACTGGTGGGAGGAAGAGCCTGCGCACGCGCTGCCTCTTAGCTGATCAGTCCTTCCATACACCTTCAGCTCCCTTGAGCCAGAGGCATGGGGTCTGTGTGTGGCTTCCTTAAACTGATCAGCTGAGGGGCACGCAGCCTCCCGCCCACCCCTCAGCAGAGCAGTTTAAGGGAGGCTCCCCATGGTGAGAGGTGGCAGGTGTGCAGCCTTTGCACAGGTGGAATTTTTGAACTGCTGATACATTGCAGGGAGGAGGTATGAATTATCACCAGCTCAAAAAGTCTGAAACCGGTATTGCGATCTGAACACCATACCAGTTTTAGTAAATTTTGTGATTTTATTGCCCAGTAATTCTTTATGATCAGAATCCAGTGAGTTAGCATGTTTAAGATATGGAATTCTAAAAATGTTTTGAACTGGCCCTTAATTCTATTGACAGGACTATTTACCAGGAGGCTGTCAAAAATGTCTCATTACCCTTTATAACTAATTTTGTTTGAGAAGGCAAATGAGACCCATAAGAGCAGCAGCCATAAGTCGTCATAGTAATAGCTACAACTTACAATATCAGTTTAAGGGAAGACTGGCTGCTTGCATCATGTAAAGAAAAGTAATAGTTTGCTGCTACCACACATGAAATAGACATGACTGCCATAAATGTGGCTGTATTTTGGCATGCAATATGTAATGCAAATCTTCCTTCTAGTACATTGTAATACAAAGAACTCTCACATATACTCCATAGCGTAGCTTTCCCTGAAAAGTATAGTTCAAACGGGTAGTTAAATCAAGCAGGAACATATTCCATTTAGTCAGCAATTTGAACCACTGCTGGTTTGTATGGTGTTTGCTTGTTCTCAGCTCCATGATAAAAGGAATGAAGCTTCCACTCCAACATGTAACCTAGAATGAATGTTGTGGTAACCATACTATAAGGATCTACCACAACTTTGTCCTGATCCATCATGCTGTTGGGTAGAGTTTTAATTGGCGACATTTTACTGGGGTCTCAACAACAAGGGCCAACTGCAGCATAGGGGGAAAGAGTTTACTAGACAGCTAATGCACTTTGCTTAAGGACAAACTAAGAGTGCGTGGTTTGCACTTTTATGATGCCCTAATAGCTCGGGTTGTAAAACATAATTATTGCAAAAATAGACCATATTAAAGTCTGTTTTCCTGCACAACGTTTAAAATATATAGTTACAGCACCCTCAGAATCATAGCCCTTCAGACTGAATGTACAGCCAGAAACACAATTGTCACCAAATTTCATACAGTCCTATTTATCCAGTCAAACACATACACTTGATCCACCCAGAAAAGGGTCATGAGGAAATATTACTCACTGCTTTAGCGAAGACTCCCATGAGCTCTGGGAACTGATGTGTCAAAAGTGCCAGCATAGCTGTGAAGGAACATAATCCGGCAGTGAAGAGAATAAAGAAAGGAAGCTCTTTCTTGGGGTAAACTGAGACTTCATGAAATGCTGCATGGAAAATATTAGGAAAGAACAAACACAAAGGTAGGGTAAGCAAAATACATTATTTGAAACATTCTGGCTCTCAGTTCACTTAAGTATTCCTAGGGAGGTTACTTTTTAAAAAGTTTGTCACCTAAAATGTTCACCAAAAGAGCATGTTTGTTGAGCTTGACCTCTGTTGCTCTTACATACTCCTCTAGTTCCTCCTTTTCTTCTTTCTCTAGCTAAACCAAACATCCATCTTCATGTCAAAACTCTCATACAAGATTACGTATTATAATGGCTAGGAGCATTGTTTATTTTTCAATTATGTATAAGTTTACTTACGAATAACAACAGTGGGGTAAAGCATTTCCCAGCCTTGATAGTTTTTTTATGGGAAGGGCACTTGGAGAAACAGCCTGTTTTTTAGTTACTTAGAAATTAAACAAGGGGGAAAAAGTTTCACTCTTACATGGAAGAAGTTCTCTGTCTGCTGTTTCTGTACAGATGGGGTAAGGGTAGAAAAGGTGCCCTTTTTCCAAAGGATAAGGGATCATTCTGAAAGCTATAAAGGAAAGGGAGGAACAGTCACAGTTTGAAGGTGACATAGCCATACATTGTAATGCACTTTAGATACAAGATCAATAAACTTTTCAGTTGCTAAAATAGTCACATAGGGCAATGGTTCCCAAACTTCCCACACACTCAAAAGTTGCTAGTGGTCTTGGTGGACTGCTTAATGATTTTTATACCTGTTGTAGTAATTGTAATGCACTGTTCTAGGGACTATGTGATTTTTTTGGTATTTCTTTTATTGTATTGTATTAGTTTGTCTTCCATCGTATTCATCTTATTGTTATACAACAAGAGCAATAGAAGAAGCAATAAAAATACAATTTAAACTCAATACGAATATTTACCGCAGACATGCCGTGGACCACCTGAATGAAGTTTGCAGACCACTTTGTGCTTTACAGACCACAGTTTGGGAACCTCTGATGTAGGCTCCCGCAATAATAAAACACAATCATGTAAACATCAAGTTAAGCTCCTTGTTATTTAAATTTGCAATACATATAATCCCTTCTCTCAATGAATCCTGATGTAAATAGTTTCCAGCCACTTAGCCAAATTATTGAATTCTCCATGCATCTACTATTACATTCCTATTCAAATAAATATAATACAAAAACAGTATGCCTATTTCAGAACCTCAATATCCCTGCAACTTTAGGAGGAATTGAGATGTAAATGAAAGCAGCCAAGCACTGCTTTGAAGGAATACAGAGGTGCTGTATCATCAATATTAACAGTGCAATTTATACATCTCTACTCAGAAGGAAGCCCTATTGAGTTTAATGGGACTTACTCCCAAGTAAGTGTCTATAGCAGTGGTTCTCAAACTTGTTTCTCTAGGCCACACTTTTCAAAATAAAAACATGCAAAAAACAACTAGGATTGTTCTCAGTATCATTTGATGCTCTTGCTCTCATTTTGAAAAGATAATCTATTCATAGTATGTAAATAAAAATAAAGATGTGATACGATACTACATTCCTCTTCTGCCACAGAACTCCTGTGCACATGCTTCCCTATGTATTTTGGCAAGCAGGATAACCTTATGTACATAAGAGAGACTCAATGCACTGAAGCTCCCATTTCTGCAACAAGGCGGCTAGATCAGGTACTAGCATGACTCAATCAATATTCTGTAGCCTGCAAGGGCTTTGCATGTCAAAAGCAAATGAGCTATTGCATCATTTGGCATTCATCTGCCAGATGCTTCTAAGAAAGTGAGTTACTTACTGCCTTCCCACGTACAATGTAAGAGATTTAGTGCCCCCTCGACCCTTTTCCAGTGCTGAAGGTGAAAGAAAGCATAAGCTATTGCTTCACTGTCGCCTCTCTTCAAAATATGTTCAGGAGGCAATATCAAGCTTTTCATTTCTAGGAGATACTGCAACAGAAAGACAACACACAGTCGCAAAGGAACAAAGTCACTACCTGAAATTTTGCCCTGGGCCAGGATGCACCTGCTTCCTGGGTGGTACTGCATTTTTTTAAACGTGATACAGCATTTAAAGGCCATGTTGTTTAAAGAATTAGTAACCCTTTTTGTAGTGGCTGCCAGACAAGTTTAGGTCAAAATTGGAAGACTTGCTAATTTGACAATGGAGACATAGTATGGCAAAAAACGAATGCTGCACTTGTAGGAAACTAAGCAACTGGAGGCTCTTAAAATACAGCAAACCATAACAGTTTTGAGGAAACATGGTACATTTTTTATTCAATGTATCAGAAACAACAAGATAGGGCACTGCAGTCAACTCATGGCAATCACTGGAGTCTCAGCTGAGCCAATGAACATAATGCCTACATTTGATCTCCATAGTTACACATGATTCATTAACTCTGTGTGAATGTTACACAGAGAGAGAATGAAGGGAGAAAGGGGGTTGTTTGGAGTTAAAGACTCCAAATGTGACACCACCAACTGCACTTGATGATGCATTACTGAAGTATCCCACGTTCTTCAGCGTGCTAAGTATACTGAAGCATCCCTTGCCAACAGGAGAGAACTATTAAGTAAAAACTTACCCTTGTAAAGACAAATGCTAACTATGAAAACAGCAAAAAAATTCTCTAATTAGGGTAGCTCTAATAATGAAAGAGTGATATAGAGTTGGAAGGCTCACTACAAGTATCTTGACAGTGCAATTCCCTACCCGCCCCCCAGAAGTAAGCCTCACAGAATTGAATGGAACTTCCTTCCAGGTAACCGTACAGGACTGGCACCTTCTGCACACTTACCTGGGAGTAAGACCACTGAATGTAGTGAGACTTGCTTCACCCACCTCTAAAGGACCACCGTAAGTACAGTGGTACCTCAGGTTACAAACTCCACTAACCCGGAAGTAGTACCTTGAGTTGAGAACTTTGCCCCCGGATGAGAACTGAAATCGCACGCTGGTGGCAGCGGGAGGCCCCATTAGCAAAAGTGTGCCTCAGGTTATGGACGGTTTTGGGTTAAGAACAGACTTCCAGAATGAATTAAGTTTGTAACTCGAGGTACTACTGTAATACAATTCATACACATCAATTTCTACCAAGTTGCTTCTTCAGGATCATGCTATTTTGAATATCAATTCTGCCAATTTCTAGTAATCCATTTAAGTTTTGTAACATCTTAAGGAAAAATCCTAATTTATAGTGGTCTTTGAAGTTTGTATTTGTAGTTCTGCATCAAGCACTTTTATTGTTTTCCTGTGATGGACAAGCCATCCTGGAACCAATTCTGGGGAAGGGCAGGATATAAATAGAGAAAGAGACAGACAGACATGAATTGCTTACATTTCAGAATCCCAAACAAAATTGACTATACCATAAATTATAGATATAACTCTGATTATGCTTCTAATTGTTAATTTATGCTGCTGTAATAGGAATAGTATTTAAAATTCACATTTAAATGGCTATTCACTATCTGGGAGGTTTAATAATTTAGGATACTGCTTCACTGCCTATAGCTAGGGCGAGCCTAAAACTATTCAAGAGATATACTAATCTTTTTGTATGAGCATAGTGCTCATACTGGGTGTGTCCAAGGCCAGGCGTGTGCACTCTTTGCAGATGTTGTCAGAATAGCCTAGGGAGCCTATATTGATGAACATGTTGCGTGTACATGATTAAAACTATCACACATAACAAGGAATGCCTTGGGAACACAGGCTAGGGTCGTGCACTCATTAACTCATGCTCCACAGAAACTAAAGGCACAGGGAAAATCCACTGAAAGAATATTGCTCTGATTAAAAACTGGAGCCTTTCAGTCATATGCTAGAATTTGCCATTTTGTTTGAAGAAAGAAGTTGCAAGACATTTGAATAAAAATATAAGAGCAGATTACCCTTATTTCTCCTCTTCCACCCACCAACCCATGATAGAAGTTTCAGAAAGCAAATCAAGAAGCAATTTCTTGAAATCTTGATTAAATACTATTCATGCAAACAACAACAAACACAGCTACATTCCCCCAAGTGGGAAGAGGGCGATGTTATCTCTTTGTATAAAAAAAAGGTTGAAATAATAAACCAATTAAGCTGCATTTTGGCTACATTGATTTTTTAATTGCAGGAGCACCTCAAGCTTAGTGGAAAACCAATTACTTAAACAAGGAGGACAGCAGAGGCTGATTTCCTGAGTTATGGAGACCACATGGATTTACTCTTCAGAAGCAACTTTATATCTGGGCCAGTTCTACAACTGGCAGAGCAATCTTACACATGTCTGTTCAGAAGTAAGACATCTTTAGTTCAGTGGGACTAACCCTCATGGAAGGATTGCAGCCTTAGCTACTGTTTATAAAGAATTAAACAGACTTTTCTATTAGCTATGCATGCCAAAGTCCAATGTTGAAAATACATTGCTGCAGTTCGAATGAGATGCTAAAATGTAACCTCAGCATAGGTTCTTCAAAAATAAACCCTCCGCCCCCTTTTCTTATTTGTGGGGCAATATTTTCCTAGATATGTTGAAGCACGAGTCTTAAACACTTGATGTAAAATCCTGCATTCCCTACTGAAACACAAAATGGTACCTCACTTCCAGGTGTGTCTTCCAGACACTTCTTTTGGAGTGTCTTCTACGCCTTTAGCCATTTTCACAAGTGATGGGGTAAATTTCCTTTAGCATTTTGCACATTTACATCAGCTAGAATCAAGCTCTCAAGTTGAATACTTCCCTTCCACTTTTTCTTCTATGTTGTCAAGTCAGAATTTCAGACTGAGCATAGCTCTCAGCTTTGCTTGTGCAATTGTCCTTAACACTATATTCTTAGCGCACCTGTTTTTTGTGTGCCGCCTTAGCCATTTTAAAACTGGGCTGCAGATATACAATGTAGAACAGCTCTGCAGTTCCTCACCTGTAGCATTACATACTGCAGATAGTAGATTTCACATTTGCCTCTCACTACTTAATCTGGAGAAAGAAATTAAGCAGACTGTGGCGGCTTGGTTAGACCAATACGCTGATCTGCTCTTTTCCAAGAAATAGAGAGCTGTTTACAATGCAGGAACACACTAATAGAGGATCCCACTTGCAGTCTCAAATGGCTAAAGGCGTAGAAGACACTCCAAAAGAAGGTCTTCAAAGAGCAAGAGTATGAAACACACTGGAGAACTATTTATACAAGATCAAAAAAGGAGAAATCCTGAGGTTTAAAAAGAGGTTGATTTCAAGGTTTCGACAACTGTACTTGTTGCAGCAGTGACAAAGGCAGAAGACTGTACACCCTGCCCATAAAACTGGCTGCCCTGTTGCACTATATTAAATCCCCAACCCTTCCTTGTTCACCTCCCATTCAAGTTTATTTTGGCTTTTGTTTCAAACAGCCGCAGTAACTCATTATAAACTCACTTTTGGCACATGTGGATTAAATTCTACTGCTCTGTGAATAGCTTCTACTGCATTCATCTCTGCCGTACTTAGCCCTCGTCTTGAAGCTGCCTCTGGAGAAAATCTACACAGAACAAAGAAAACAGGAAGCATGGAGGTCAACTTCAGCACAAGGAAAAGCATCAGAGGAGCATCAATGTAGCAGGGGCCTTAGCACTCTCCAATGGAAAAGCTGAGCAACCAAATGACACAGAGGCTACTGACTAAAAATCCCAGCAGAAGTTGAAAACACGTTTGCAACTTATCGCGGCAAATGTATAAGCAGTCCAATTTCTTTTCTCTCTGTCTGCTAATCTAAATTTGCTTCATGTGCTTGTTTTTAAAAGCAGGACCAAAACCCCTCAAGGGAGGGGTGAAAAAAGAAAAAAAAATGCCAGTAAATTGTTCCAAAGGGTTTTTTTTTCCTTTTTAATTGAAAAATACATTTTGGGAAGGCTTTAGAGTTCTCGAAGCCACTGGGACAGTGACAGTAGTAGGTAATCTACTTTCAGCTGTACCCATACCTAGTGGTGTGCCCATACTGTGGGCAAATATCATCTGCCCCAGTGATTGGAAGGCGGGGGGTGGGGAATACCCAGACCATGCAATCTCTTTCTCACCTCACACCCCATGGCTAACTCCATAGCTGAACTTGGCAGGCAGACACCACAGGGAAAGCTGTGACAAACCTAGCCCTGCCCTCCCAAGCTGGAGTCGCTGTGTAGGGAGGAAAGATGTTGCAGATGGTACTGGCGATCTACAGGACAAAAAAAAAAGAACGAAAGGGAAAAAAAATTACTTAGGTCTCAAAGTGCAAATACACTATAATCGCAAAGTCTCTGCAAAAAATAAATAAAGCAGGAAGGAAAGTGGTCTTTCCCATGCTGCTTTCTTCCCACCCTTTGGGCTGTGCTCTGAACCCGGGTAGCATGTGCATGACGTGACGCCTTCTGCTCGGGATTTGTGCGCTTCCACCTCTGAGCAGAATCTGGCTCTTAGGAGCTCATCCCGTAAGGTGCCAAGCACCCCCACGAACGGCTGAATCCCTGCATCTCTGACAAATATCTTTGATAGCAGCTGAAGAAGCAGAGTGTGAGTTGCTAAGCACCCTAGATACTCCTAAGGAAGCTTTTATGTTGCAGACTGAGATAACCCACTATTTGCCTGCCAGAAATACTTATACATTCACAATACTTGTTTCAAATAAATAATGTGCCCCACACACAATTATTCTGCTGGTAAGGATAAATTATGTTTATAAAATTGTCACATTATGTATACAAGAAGATGGCCAAGAGAACACCAGCTGTTTTTTAAAAAAAACAAACGACAGCAGTAATATGTAGGTAACCATTGTTGATGCTATCCATGCAGTATACAAATGTGATGTTCAAGCGGCCTCCATTATACAACATCAAATAAACATCACATGGCATGATAAAACATTTTCCTGCTAGTATGAATGGTCCTTCAGTAATGAAAAATGTTAAATGTCAGCCAAGTTTGCAGAGTAGAATTCTGGTGGACAGGTGTTCTTCTGGACTTACTTGTCAGAGACAGCTCTGGCTTTCAGCAGGGCAGCCGTGTAGCATATTGTGGCTGATTTGGGCAAACTTATATCTGTAGGGAAGAAAACAAACATGAAAAAGCCTAAGATTCTTTACGTTTAAAAACCACAATGGTGGTGGTAAAAGGTGAATCTATGAATACATTTTCAATACGTTTTGTGAAACGTGGAAACCTATCTAGAACCACATTAAGGAAGGATTGGAACCAATTATCTCCTCTAAATTGGAGTGCTTGGTAGAAGAAAGTCGAAGCTGTATCTCTTAGTGTTAATGATTTTAATCCTCTGACAAACATTTACCTCTTGGGAGATGCACCTCTCAGATCATATCTCAGAGGGGGGCAGCGTAGTGAGGAAGTGTTTTTAAACACAACTAATGTGCAGTATTTTTAGGAAATGGGATCGTGCAATACGGCAGTAATGCCAAGCAAGGAAGAAACATCCAGGACTGTACCTGAACTTAACTAAGGCGGATACAGCTTTGATGAACATGTTTGATATTCATTCATGTGTCTGTCACATTCATGTATGAAGTAGTGTCAAGGTCTACTTTATTTCATTTCGTAATTGCATCCTGGGAGACATACCGAAGCAATTAATAAAAGTGTCAATTTAAAACATTTAAAACAATAAAAACACACAAAGTGTATACTGTTTTATTTAAAAGCATATAAACAATATATTAAAACATGTATGAAAAGAAGTTTTAATAGCCAAAGGGGCACCCAAGCATAGCTGTCAACCTTCCCTTTTTTTGCAGGAAATTCCCTTATTTCAGTGCCGTTTCCCGCTGCTATCCTGGATTGTTAGATATCCCGCAGACTAAGGCTGCTGATCCCTTATTTTCAAATCCAAAAGTTGACAGCTATGCACCCAAGTGAGGGAAATTGAACCTCCTTTTCTCTTCTACCCTCTTTGTGGTCCATCATCCCAGCAATGCCATGAGGATTGGTAAGCCAGGCTGAAGCAACAGAATAAGCAGAGGTATCATGGGTAACAGTTCTGCTTCCTTCATGCAGGCATGTTAGAAGGCACACACTCTTGCCTCTCTCATGTTGACTGGGGGAAACACTTGAATAAACGAGCACGGCTGCCCCATTGCATCAACCTTGTTCTGTGTCTCAAGACTGCTTTCAGCTCAAATGCAAAGCCATGGAGAAAGAGAGCCAAGCTACACCACAAACTTGCAGCTATATTCTCCTTGCTCAGCTCTAATGGCCCTGGGAATTGTATTCTCATGAGGATACTGAGAAGTGCCAATCAAGAGATCCCTAGCTAGTCTCCTGGAGAAAGTATTCTCAAGGTTCCTTGGAGTTCAACAGGAGAGAATTACTGTTAAATGGGTTTAAGTCTGAAGTGTTCTGTTGTCCCCAGAGAGCCAAACGGGAGAGATCTATTGACTGACCTTTTCTCAGGTTTACCAAAATAGAATATGCTTAGCCAAACAGACCATTAATGGTTGGAAGAATTAGTCTTTGGATCATACAAAGATTCATTTCACACATTACGCAGTTATGAATATATGCTTACTGCCACATGTAAACATGGTAGATTGCTTTGGCCAATTCCAGAACCCTAGACCATGGGTCTGTCTGTCTGTTTGTATTTGACCAATGGTTATCCTGCCCTTCTCAAACCCAGAGCAACTAACCAAGTAAAATGACGAACAGTATCAAGACCCTTAAAGCAATAGGGAAAACCTAGCTAAAATCAGATATACAGAGAAAAGGAACAAAACATGGCAATAGCTAGAGAGAAACAAGCAGATGCCAAATTCAGTACTTGGGTCTCTAATACTAAACACAATATGTAGGTGTGCCAAGATTCCCACTCTCAAATAATTAGAGATTAACAGTTACCACCAGCTCTCAACTTTAGAAGCATATGATCTGGTCAGGACTCCTGAGCCCCAATCCACCAGACTAGTGGTACTGGAAGTAGAGATGCTGGAAACTGACCCAGCTCCTAGCATTATGAACAGGTCTGAGCCAGAGTCCCATCACATTTGTATCCTTCAGCCAGGAACTCCTGAAATTAAGAGTATGTACTCGTGGAACCTGCAGTCCCTAAGGAACCTCCACACCAGAGCTCAAATTTCTATGTCAATCCTTCAGCGCAGGCAATGAGCCTAGAGGGGAAGATTAAAGAGATGTGAAGTGCTAAACCTTCTCTCTTTAAGGCTGTCCACTCCTTAGGGAAGTGGCCTGTGAGATCTGGCCCCAAACACATGAAAGCCTTCAGTCTTCATTGGAAAAGGTCTGGCTTCTTGACATGGCTAGGATAGGCCAGATATACATGGCTAACACATGCCACATTTTTACCTGTGCATGGCATGTAAAGGTTATCACTTACTTCAAAACTCCCTGAAAGCATAAAACTAACACAGCAGGGTGAGAGAGAACCTTTTCACCTGATAAGCTAGTGTTCTGCATGCAGGTAGTGTTTACATGGATCAGTGTTCCACTGGCTAGTCCAGTATTTCCTGAACTTGGGTCTCCAGCTGTTTTGACTACAACTCCCATCATTCCTTGCTAGCAGGTCAGTTGTGATGGGAACTGTAGTTCAAAAACAGCTGGAGAACCAAGTTTGGGAAACATTGGGCTAGTCCATTTTGCTCAGCTTTAAAAGGTAAAGGGACCCCTGACCATTAGGTCCTGTCGTGGCCGACTCTGGGGTTGCGGCGCTCATCTCGCTTTATTGGCCGAGGGAGCCGGTGTACAGTTTCTGGGTCATGTGGCCAGCATGACTAAGCCGCTTCTGGCAAAATCAGAGCAGCGCACGGAAACGGCGTTTACCTTCCCGCCGGAACGGTACCTATTTATCTACTTGCACTTTGACGTGCTTTCAAACTGCTAGGTTGGCAGGAGCAGGGACCGAGCAACGGGAGCTCACCCCGTCGCGGGGATTCGAACAGTCGACCTTCTGATCGGCAAGCCCTAGGCTCTGTGGTTAAGACCACAGCGCCACCAGCGTCCCTTGCTCAGCTTTACTGTACTATAAAAGCAAGAGGTGAAATCTTGTACTGTGATCAAAAGGACAGATAGATGCCTCCAAAAGTGGCGGAGAAGCAATCTCCACCATATCCCCCCAAGACTGTTTGGAAGATTGTGGAAGCCTCTAAAACAGCATGAATATTGTTATGAGGGACTGCACAGCGAATTAGCAAAAATCACCTATCCCTCTCTGCTAAAAGAAAAAGAAAATCCATTAGAAGAGGCATCAATCATATCAAAGACTTCAAATAGAGGCACAACTGCATATGACCCAAAATGTTTAATCAACAGTTCCCTAGGAAACTGTTACACAGGCCCTCTATTTTTTTGAATAAAAAGGAATCATTTGAAAAGCCAAAAATCCTCCCTAATATTTCAATTTTCTCTGCACTATTAAGGTCAGAAGTCAATTAATGGCACTCACTGTCAGAACACACTCCCCCATTGAGGTTAATGAATAACTTGCTCTCAGTGCCATTAAAAATAGCTGCTTTAATGGCACATAATCCAGTATTGCAGTATGGCCTGAGGGTCAGGGAGGTTTTCATTTGCTATGAATCCTGCAAATAGCTTCTTTCTTCTGAGCAAAGCCATTCAGCAGCAGCAACAGATTCATATTTAACCCAGAATTCTGCAGCAGTTAAGCCATCAACCCTAACCCCAAACCTCTTGCACATCATTTTATTTAGCAAGCTTGCATACAGAATCCTCACAAAAACTGCAGGAGGAAGAATCTGCGGTTTAAGACATTAGAAGAGAATAATACTGGAGCATCTCTTAAAACAAGTAAAGAGGCAGAAGCAGAAGAAGCTTGAAACATTTTATGTTCTTTGCCTGCCTGCAGTTTCCATGGTGAGCAGTTTCCAGGGCTGCAAACACTATAACCCTCTACTAATGGGAGGGAAAGATCTTCCTCCAAAATTGCATGCCCCTCTAGGTATGACCTCCCAGGCGCCCCTCTTCTAGTAAGAGCATCTCTGCCGACAGCAAAAGAGAGGCAGAAAATGCACTTTGCGTAGGAACTTTAGATGTCTTAATTGTGCCAGAAGACAATATTTCTGTAAGGCCACAAGACACAGAGAAGTCGAGATGATTCATTGTCTGGGAATATTTTGCATCTCTGAGTTCACCCAAGAGTCAATCACACTGTTAAACAGCAAGAAAACGGGATAATGAGGGAGAGGAGGCACCATGTATCAAGGGTCATTTAGTCCAACCTGTTGCAGGATCCTGCCCACAGCTGTCCCTGGGTTAAACAAGCCCACACAGATGCTTAGAAAGTTGAGGTAGCCACAAAGTATCCACAAAGTCACTTTGTGGATATTTAAGTTATAATTAGAAAAATCTTAATAATTATTCATAAAGGGAACAGCTTATAAGAAGTAAATAAGGAGACCAGATACAGGATAAAGGAAGTCTTTTATTTGGTTGTTTGTATTGTATGTTATGCTTATTGTCTGTTATGTTCACATTTAATGAGGGTGGATTTCTGTATTGGGGATGGGGGGGTTTATGTTATGTTGTAAATAAGATTTCTAATAAAAATTATAAAAATTTAAAAAAGTTTAATCTGTTTTAGTTTTTAACTTTTGTATGTCTTTAAGGAGGGTTGTAATTTTTTCTTGACTTCATTATTTTACCTTTTTGTAAACCATTTTAGTTGTTTGTTTGTTTGACAACCAAGCAATTTATAAATTTCATGAAATAAATAAATGGTCCAGAAGACATTGAATGATGGAGAAGCTTAAGAAAGGTTCACCTTATGTAGAATTGTTTCAGAACTACAGAAGGCGGCATTTGAAAGAAGCTGGGATTTTCGCCCTTTAAAGTGATTCTGTCACTGGAAGCTGCACTCTCTTCCTCTCAATTTATGCACACACACACACACACACACACACACACACACACACACACACACACACACACACACACACATGTAAAGAGGTACTTCTGCTTACCATCATATTTTGCTAAAACTGCCTGAACATCTGCATATGCTTGTAACTCCAACAGAGCTTCCAGCAAATTTTCGTGGATGTTGAACATGCTGAGAAGAGGGAATTCCTTCATTAACTATAATAATAATAAAAAATAAGAGAATAGGCTTAGATTTAGCACGGAATCCTGCAACACTGATGTGAAAGCAAGTGTAAACGACTGCTCTAAGGAAAAGAAATTCAACAGTGCAATAAAGATAAAAGTAAGTTAAAACTATAAAAGCACTTAAAATGCCTTCTGAAATAACAAAACAAATCTGCAGTAGGTGTCAAGACATCCACCAGGGTGAGGTCCCGTCTGATTTCAATAAAACTGAGCCACCGTACTGAATGTACAGTTCCTGGTGGATACGAGCAGTGAATCTGAGCCACGGAGGACCACGTTCTCTCCTTCTTGTGTTTACTTCTTGTGTACAATCATATTCTGTGAGAGGGAGCCTCCCAAAATCCAGGGGGGAGGGATGACGCCAAACTACCCCCCAACATCCTCAAAAAAATAAGAAGAAAAGAAATTGCTTTGTTCCAGATGCAGCAACTGTCAGGGAAAGGAAGAAAAATTTCTGCTTTCAGTTCAGGAGAGTCCATTCCCTCTCTCTAGCACTTCATTTTAAGGCAAACGCATATCGCTTTGGGAAGCATGTAATCACTCAGTGTAGAAGCTGGAACAGGAAACATGCTTCATATAAACTACGGTAGCTTAATCATGGTCCAGTAATTATTTCTTCCAAATAACCAAGTTAGATGGTTATCAAAATTACACCGGTTTTATAAAATGATTTACACACACACACACACCCCGAATTAAAGGGTTAACTAATTTTTTTTAACTTTTGGTGCAAACACCTTTGATAACAAGTCAGCAGAACTTGGCTTGCAAATGCATACTTATTTTTCATTACACTTTACCTAGCAATCATTTTACATCTATTAATATAACATTGCACTATAAGGTGGTTCACTATTAGAACAGGAATTGAATCTAGAGCACATACACATGAAGTTGGAAATAAGTGTTCGCTCTAGCATCATGCAAATAAATAAATACATACTAGTGGGCTATTTGTTTCCGAGCCAACAAATAAAACAGAAGACTGACAACACATTAGAAACACATTACATGTTGACCTTTATCTAGTTTGGTTTGGGGGGGGGTTGCTTTTTTTCCTTTTGACCAAATACGATTTTCACTCGCACCTGTAACACAGTTTTGTGGGTGATGGGCTTGGACATCAGACAACAGCAGAGGGACTGGACTGCGAGACAATGCAAATCAACAGCAGTCCCATCAGAAAAGTCTTACGGCTAAATTATTTTGGGTTGTGACTATGAAAGCTGCCACCACTTTGCTCTCGGAATAAATGCAATCAGGTGAAAGCAAGTGGGCAAACAAAACGTTAACTCTAATGCATTTTCTCTTCCAAAGTGGAATTCTCCTTCAAAATGTCTGCAATAAATTACAAAGAAACACGGTAGGCTAGCACAGGATGAAAGGTAATGCAACTCGAGCATTTCTGTAAATTGACACAATAATGAGTTGCTTCACTATATTTCTGTCTTTAAAACGTAAGGGAATACACATGTTACTGTGCCATTTACCTTGCCATTTATAGAAAGGCGAGGAATTACTTCGGGCTTTAGGATTGTAATCATTTTTCACCCATACATTGGGCAAAATTAGGACTCCAGGTCTTGGGGATCTAGGTGTTCCACTGCACCTGGTCTTGATATACAAATATTGATGGACCACAACACCTACCAATGGCCAGGCTAGCTGGGGATGCTGAGGATTGTAATTCAACAACAACTGAGGACCCTGGTTGGGGAACTTCACCCTGTTGCCAGGGTCTCTATCCTGCTGCCATTCGGAAACCCAGCCAGATGGGCGGGGTATAAATAATAAATTATTATTATAAAACTGTGGGTGGGGCAATTTGGGTACATAGCCATGAAAGTGGGGGAGGTGTAACTGGTGTCCTGAGAAACTGATATCAGGGTTGCCAAGAGTGCAGAAGCTGAACACTAGTTTCTTTGCAATGTTCCCTGTTGAATAGGACCGGTGGCAGGCTTTGGGCTCTCAAATTCCAGGGGCAGCCTGTGCGGTGCTAAAATTTGAGGGGCCCCTTCCCACCTCTTGTGCTCCATTCTGCAACACTGTTGTGGCACCCCTTCCAATGTGCCTGCACCGGTCGTGCCACCTTACAGCCGCCTCTGATGGGATCCATTAAGGTTAACAGGAGGCACCTAGTGATGGCAAGACGGTTATAACAGGACACATAATTCAGTCTCATTAAGGCCATTAGTAACCCCAGGATGCCTGGACTGGATCAATAGTTTTTACATCCCCTCTAGACACAATATACCGTATTTTTTGCACCATAACACTCACTTTTTTCCTCCTAGAAAGTAAGGGGAAATGTCTGTGCGTGTTATGGAGCGAATGCCTGCGGGTGGCAGGGGGGGATCTGCTGCAGTCGTGAGCAGAGGATCCATGGTTCCCCTTCCTTCCCTCCTCCATGTTTACAAAGCATGGATCCACATGGATCCTCAGGATTTTTGCATTGGGCTACTCCAAACTCACTGTCAGATCTCATGTCTGTGGCCACAGCATGAACCACAAAAATCATATATCCACTATTTTGTTTAGAATATTTTTTTTCTTGTTTTCTTCCTCTAAAAACTACGTGCGTGTTATGGTCTGGTGTGTGTTATAGAGCGAAAAATACGGTAGGCAGAAAGGTAAGAGAATGAAAGTGCATTCATTAGGGTTGCCATACGTCCAGAATTTTACGGACGTGTCTTGCATTTTAATGGAGGAATTAGTGTCCGGGGTGGAATCGGTAAAATGTCCTGGTTTTTTGTCAAGAGAACAAGGAAGTGTGTGTTTGAGTATTACTCATTTCCCCAAAAAAGCTCAACAACTAAGAGTCTGTTTCCAGGCCGATGAACAAAGCCTCATTGCTGCGATTTCTAATGCTATAGTCTCCATTTCGTTGCTGCTTAGTTTAAAAGCACTGCCATACCTCCATTTTTCAGCACAGTACATCACATATCATTAAGGAGTAGCCACATTGTGACAAAAGCATTTCGCTAAAATGGGGCAATGTCTGACAAGGAAGAGGATGTTGCAGTTTTGTATCACAAAAGTAATTAATTGTTGTTGTTGTTGATACCCCACCCATCTGGCTGGGTTTCCCCAGCCACTCTGGGCGGCTTCCAACAAAAGATTAAAAATACACTAAAACATCAGTCATTAAAAACTTCCTTAAACAGGGCTGCCTTCAGATGTCTTCTATACGTCCGATAGTTGTTTATTTCTTTGACATCTGGTAGGAGGGCGTTCCACAGGGTGGGCGCCACTACCGAGAAGGCCCTCTGCCTGGTTTCCTGTAGCTTTGCTTCTCGCAGTGAGGGAACTGTCAGAAGGCCCTCGGCGCTGGACTTCAGTGTCTGGGCAGAATGATGGGGATGGAAACACTCCTTCAGGTATACTGGGCCAAGGCCGTTTAGGGCTTTCAAGGTCAGCACCAACACTTTGAATTGTGCTCGGAAACATACTGGGAGCCAACGTAGGTCTTTCAAGACCAGTGTTATGTGGTCTTGGCGGCCGCTCCCAGTCACCAGTCTAGCATTCTGGATTAGTTGTAGTTTCAGGGGCCACCCTCAAAGGTAGGCCCACGTAGAGCGTGTTGCAGTAGTCCGAGCGGGAGATAACTAGAGCATGCACCATTCTGGCGAGACAGTCAGTGGTTCTTAGCTCAGTCAGTAGAGCACGAGACTCTTAATCTCAGGGTTGTTATATATTGCCTTAAGCCTGGAAATGAGACTAACCATTGAGATCTTAAGTGCACTGGAAGGCTGCTTGCTGAATCCCTATTTTGTTTCCCAGGACGTGCCAGCATTCACATGTTAGCACTTCTCCTTATATAGCCTTGGATCTGGAGTCATACACACCTTCCTCCAATCTTTCAAACAAGCTCATAGCCTCTGCCCTTCCTCCCAATGTTGTGATGTGGAAGGAAGCTGCAAAAATGGTTATTCATTGAACTGCGGGGGAGAGGGGTCCATCTTCCCATCTATGCCTGGGATACAGAAACAGCAAGATAAAATTCATCTTTTTTTCAAAAGTAGAAAATCTTGACTTGGCTCCGTGGGAACAAACGGCTGAAGGAGTTAGAAGGCTCAAATGGCTGCCCCAAGATTCCTTTGTGTAGAAGGAGAAATCCTTTCTCAAGATGGAGAAATCATCCCCATTAACGGCCATCTGTCAAGTTCGTGGTCCTAAGAATGCGGCTACATTTAGCTAGAGCTCAAGAGCGGCAGAACGTCTGACAGCTTCACAATGATGGAACTGAAGCTGTTGGTGGTGAGCTAAATACATGTAAAATCCAGGAAAATGGAATTAGACAGCAAAGAGGGGATGCCCATTTCCTGATAAGGTCTGTCCGTTTCACTACTGGCGCATATTTCCCTTGGGGCTACTATGCATGCACTTACATGCTGTACTAAGTATTGGCAAATGAACTAGAGTGCTGACAGCAACTGAGATAAGTAGAAAATTGTATTGCGGGAATGAGCTCAGGAAGGGAGGTCAAAGCATCAGCAATGTCATCAGCCTAATATCGCCTCTCTCTCCCCACCCCCCAGAAAGAAACAATTCTCGTTTTAGGATTCCTAATTAAAAATCTCTCTTCCTATATATTATGATACCATTTTTGTTACATCCAGCCTCTTTCCAAATCAAAGTAATTGCATCAGTTTCTGGTTTTGCCACATTTACTCTTGATAAGGGAATCATCCCATTACATGCTGATGCTTTTAAAATAAATAATAGCATTTGTCCGGTGGTTATGCCTCCCTTCCTTGTATCGGTGAAATCTGGGAGCACGGGGCTTATGTACTTATTTCCCCATTGACAATAAAAGGCAACATTCAAATCAGGAAACCCTGCACTTAGTTGAAAGCAGGGTCTCCCTTACCCTGGGTGTAAGAGGACTGAAGCCCCAAAACCCTGGGAACCATCCCTTGTTGGTCTAGCAGGCGCCAAACGACCAGAGTTGAAACCCAAACCTGCAAGGTAGTACAGCAGCCATCGCTGCTATAGTCCCACCAGTCTGGGCCAGGAGACTCCCAGAACCTTACCAGATACCCCTTGAGATTCACAGGAGCAAGAGCTGGAAACCAGACTCATGCCCACAAAAATTACTCAGTAGCAGTTTGGCCAAGAAACAGGACCCAGTACCAAGGACTTTCCCCAGAAACCACATGAAGATTGAAGAGGTAGATTTGTTCAACATAATTAAAAGAGAACTCATAGGCCACTGAAAAAATACAATTGGAGAATATTGCTAAGAGTGCAAGAGAACACAATTGCAAAACGAAAGAAAAATAGCAAAGCTCATTTAGCTGAGTTCTAATACATAGAAAAGGATCAATGGACCCCACAGATGTTGGAAAAAGTGTACGGCAGCAGACAAGGGAATAGGGTCACTCCATACAATACGGCCTAGCAGCTGAACCAAGTCTTCCTAGGCAATCAGAAGACTCCCAGGTTGTAAATTTCCAAAACCTAAGCGTGACCATGCCATCTCATAGCTGAGTCATCCCTTCCAATTGACAAGCCACTATTGTGGTCTTGAAGATGCAGCGCTGTCAAATGACATGGCATGAGATCATCTTCCAATTAGTGGGAAAGAACTAAAGGCCAACGTTTACCCAGAGGTCTTGAGAAAAGGAGCCATCTTTGTGGGCAAGGCCCAAACTGAAAAACCAAGGTATCAAACTCGCTAGAAAACTTTCGCTATTAGGGTAAGGGAGTGGGGATCTCCCAGGTCAGACCCCTTACATGCAGTGAGGCAGTAGGAGAGGAGCAGAAAGTGGAAAGAGGGAATAAAAAGCAAGTCCAATGGAGGCATTGTTGGGATATTTCCTTAGGGGCCTTATGCATTTCACATGAGCTCAAGAAGGTCTTCCACTCTCATCATGCAGGGAACTATGAAGCTGGGGATAATGTTGGGAAGGATCCGCACAAAGAATCAATGCTGGAATAGGTATTTTAAGTGTCATGGTTTTTGGACTGCGCATGGTAATAAGACAAATATGAACACAAATCCAAACTCACATCTCTCATCATTTTCACAGCTTCCCTGGTCCTCCCCAGCTTTCTTGTACACATTGCCAGCCTCCTCTTAATGTAGACTAATACATTAGTGTCCCGTCCTGGGGAGAGAGAGGGAGAGAGAAGGAGAGAGAGAGAGAGAGAGAGAGAAGGAGGGGGGAGGTTTTAAGAGGATGAGTGTTTGCAGAAACAGACAGAAAAAAGGTTCCATTTAACATCCTCAAAGTGTAAGGTATAACCTTTCCTTTGAATTCTTATTGCCGAATACCAAAGATATGTGGAAGGAAGCAATAAAAAGTACATAGACCAACAATCCTCGCTGTTAAGTTACAAAGATCTAGAGCTGGAACCTGCCTGTCAATAATAGGATTAGTCAAGAAGTACACTTATAAAAAAAAATGTGAGGGTTTTTCTTTAGCCTCAATTCTACAGCATACTGTTAACAATTCTAATCACTAATACAAGAAGAACTCACATGCATGCCAAAATTATGCAAACTTCTATACCTTGCCTCACTTAGGCAAGTGTTTATCATCCTGACTCTCTGAAAAGGTTTCCATTTCTGAGGAAGTTTAGCTACAAATGATTGCAGTGTGAATTGCTGTTGCAGTTGCAGGTTGCTTTCTGTACAGCTGAATCCAAATTTATTTATTTATTGAATTTGTTATGCTGCCCTTCCTCCCAAAGGAGTCCAGGGTTTTCAACATTATCATGCAATTTAAAGAGTTCTGGTAAGAGGAGAGATGCTTTCAGCTACCAGTTTCAAGTCAGCCATCCCTCCAGGGCATTCTTTGTACACTGTAAACAGCTGATTGCCGCTCTTAAGAGTTCAGCCATACATAGCAGCACTGGAAAAGCCATTTGAATCTGAATTTGCCTTCTGTGCAATGGCGTTCTATGCATCACAAGCTGAGTCTGTTCAGTACCATGGAGAGAATCCCTTCTCTCTCTCTTTTTTGCACACTGTCAATAGCACACTTTCAGAAGCAGTAAGCATGTAAATACCGATTATGTGAGCACCAGTGCTTGCACACTACTAGCTTATTGCAAGACAGGGGTGCAATGATCACAACAGATGGCCTGCAGCCATGAAGCACCCTACCTCGTGGCCATGAGAACAAGCCCCATTGAAGGATGAACCATGCAGTGAATGCCTAATATGATTTTAACAAAAAACCCTAATGTCTCTATGGGGCTGGCTTGTTGCACAAGACTGCAAGAAGGAGGAGGGCAAATGGGACATGAAAGTAGGATTGCTGCTGCTCAGGACCCAAAGTATTCCATTCCAGCCCCCTCCAGGTTTTCCCGTTGACCACCTCCCACCCCCAAAGTTGGTCAACATTCCATAGTCATTGATAATATTCATTCTGGGGGGGTTTTTTGGGGGGGGGAGAGGAGGTCCCCAGTACAGTTTTTCTTGTAAAAATGATAGCTTTGTTAGTATTATTATTATTTCTGCAAGCTTTAGGGTCCCTCCAACCCTGCCAATACCACACATGTGAATGGGTTTTGGCACTCACAGCTTGAGCATCAGCAATAGACATGATGTGAGGTCTTTTCTCGTGGGACTTAACGAAGAGACCCTTGTTATTCAACACTACACAGGGGGTACCAAGAAACTTATGGTCTTTCCCCATCCCAGCCATCCTCCTTCAGCCAGCCTAGAGGATGAAAAGGGGCAGGGGTGGAGAAACCATGAAAACCTTGGTGTATAGATTGGACTCTGCAGCCTTGGTAGACCAGGTGCAGCGTGCAGTGTTCAGGTCTGCCTGCCTCCAAAGGGTGCCTCTGCAACTGAAAAGTCCTTTCCTTGCTTCAGGTCAAGGAAGTCAAATTCCTACACACACACAAGCACACGATATATATAGACCAAGCAGCAAGATTTCTGCCTCTGGTAGAGTTGTGTGAATATAAACACGCTGAACTCTTCCTTCACACTGAATTTACACAGTTCCTTGTGATATCGTAGTTATCCACAAACATTAATAGAAATAAATTTCAGCATTGACCGTTTAACAAAGAACAAATCAGGATTTTTTTCTCTTTTCAAAGACTTTTTTGAGAATGAGGCATCATACCCTTTCTTTAGTTGTAATATGCCCTCTTTTAAGGACTGAACAGAAAATGTTCATGTAGATAATGATCTACAGAGTCACAGTATTAAGACAACACACTTGTTGTGTTGCCATACATTGGCCTAATGTATCCTACTTGTCAACCAAGTATTTGCAGATTATGGTCCTCACGTTTTGAAGTCTCTTCTAATCACAACAAGATATAAGCCAAAAGCATTCAGAATACATACAAATTATCCCAAAGCCATGATTGTACTTTTCAGACAGATTAAGCAACAGGTCTGACTTTCAAAGAGAAAATAAATAAGGCAGGAGAGGGAATTCCTTCAGCTGTAGTTCATATTAAGTAACCACTTATCTCTAGAATGGTTTCCCAGTATTTAATAAAAGGCTCATTAGCCACATCTGTTTTTAACATGGTTATATATAACATAATTAGATTGGTTTGTCCTCCAAGCCGTGTTATAGTGACTCAAGGAATGGTCAACATAGAGTCAATAAAAGCGTCTATTCAAGACATTCTAAAATGGTCTTGGGCTGTAATCCTATCTACATTTACCTGAGAGTAGGTCCCACTGAACTCAATGGCACTTACGTCTGAGTAGACATGAATAGGATTACACTGTTATTTACAGAACCTGAGGCTTTTCAGCATTTTCTGGAATTCAAAATCATTTCCCTTGGTTGAATTGAAGAAAGCCAAGTTACAAACACTTTCACCCTGCCAGTCTCTGTGTTATCAGGAACAATTTGCATGGAATAGATAGAAACATGAGGTTGGGAGGTGTCAAAAGGATATTCTAAAACAACATCCTCTGCAGGATCCATTTAATGGGCTGATAATCTAAGGAAGATCATCTAGTTTGCTGAATGCCTCAAAAGCAGGTAAGGAACAAATAGCAGTTCAAGAGTAATTTTACCAACATCTGGCTAGATTTGTCATGACAGTCACTTCTGGGTTTTGCTGTGTTTAAAATGTCTATTGGGAAGAGATTTCTCTCTCTCTCTCTGCCTCACAGATGCCACATGCAAAGAGGCCCTCAGATGTCTCCTGGACTTTTTAATCCTAAAATCTTCCATGATAAGATCTTTTGTACCACCCAACATATCTGGAATTATCATGGGGTAAACTTGCCTGGCTGCCAGGCCCATTGTAGAAGTTCTCTCCCTCTCCAACTCCTAAGCTTTTCATCTGCACTCAATACACACATTCCATTTCATTTTCTGCCTGAGATCACTGTGCCTGAAATGAGAAGCCATCCTTATCAGTGATCCCAATAAGGTCACCACCCACATTTTGTGAAATTTGAGCATTCCGTTTTATAGACATGCTGCTGATTGCTTGAATCAATCCTCTACACTGTTATTTCCATGTGCCCCAATGGGAGGCTCCTCATTCTAAAAACACTTTTCATTTTGGGGAATATGTCGTGAATAAACATTTCCTGGAACACGCTAGCTAGGTAAGCAGCTTATGGAAATGCAGAAACGTCAAATCTGATTGGAGAGGGCGCAACTTTCCCACTTCTTTCCCACACTAAGTGGAAAAGTGACCTTCGAAATTGTTGCCATGTTTCAGGCTCCTGTTTCCTAAAGTTCAGCAGGTTAAAACAAGCTGATCTCTTGCAGCTTCTTTCCAAATTTGGCAATGATTATTCCAGGCAACTTGTTGCACTCGTTTAAAAGTATCCTTTTGAATACAAATGGCCACAACTGGACGGCACACGTATCTTTGTTCAGTGGTACTAATGCTTCCTGGTACTTCTTGGCCACCCCAAGATAAAATGCTTTGTACAGACCATAGATTTGATTTCCTCCAAAGAATCCTGAAAACTGCAGTTTACCCTTCACAGACCTACGGTTCCCATGATTCTATGGGGAAAGTCAGGTGAATCAAATGTATGGTTGTGTGCACAGTACTCCCAGTAACTGCATTTACACACACACACACACCAAACATATTTTATTACACCATACATGTGACTTCCCTTCCTCCCCTCCCAAGGTTCATTTAAATTCCCCTATGTTCCTGCATATTTTGATATATCCATCTAATTCCATTTTCCTACCTTACATCACTTCAATATTTATTACACCGTTTAATTCCAAAAACTGCATTTCCATCAATAGCAGATGCCTCACATTTATGGAGCGCAGCAGTAGGGAAATGTATCCCTAACTCCCTCACACCCTGCTGGCCAATTCTGAAAGTTGAGTGAGACCACACACCTGTCAATAACCTGATGTCACAATGACATCATCAGCGGACTGCTGCACCTTCAAAGGGGTTTGCTGCAACCTCTGATCAGCAGTTACAGGGAGCCCCCTTTTATGGAGGACAAGAAACAAACCTTTTCAATTATTTTTAATTAAAGCTAAAATTCTCAAGAATAGGTATACTGTGTTCAGTGCTGTTTCTGGGGAGAATCGTGGTATATAACACACAACCCTGTGAAAAAGTGCTATTAGCCTATAGTGGGGTAGCAGAGCTAAAAAATAAAAATAATTCATATCTGGCAACCAACGTGCCACTTGCAAATAAAGAAGATTTGGGATTGAAATACTGCTCAGTCATCGAACTCACTGAGAAACCTAACCCTAACATCACACGGTAAGAATGAGGATAGTCCTCTGACCTCACAGAACACTCAGAAATCACTGGAGGAGGAATGGTGTACAAACAGCATGTAAATATTTTTTGAAATGCAAGTTTGAGAGGGGTAACTAGGTGTGTTAGGAAAGCTGAAAAAAATGCTGATATATTTCACATGTGGCAAACCAATACGCTTCTTTGGTTTCAGATGGTACATAGGTAGAGGAGCCTAAAAAGCCAAGGGCACAAATTTTCACAGCCCTCTAGCGGCTATGGTGGCTCATTTACCTGAAGTAATGTATTTAGCATTCACTCTGAAAGTGTATACAGTGGAACCTTGGTTCTTGAACTTACCGTATTTTTTGCTCTATAAGACGCACCAGACCACAAGACGCACCTAGTTTTTGGAGGAGGAAAACAAGAAAAAAAATATTCTGAATCGCAGAAGCCAGAACAGCAAGAGGAATCACTGCACAGTGAAAGCAGCAATCCCTCTTGCTGTTCTGGCTTCTGGGATAGCTGCGCAGCCTGCATTCGCTCCATAAGACGCACACACATTTCCCCTTACTTTTTAGGAGGGAAAAAGTGAGTCTTATAGAGCAAAAAATATAGTAATCCATTCCGGGGGTCCGTTTGACTCCCAAAACCATTCGAAGACCAAGACGCAGCTTCCGATTGGCTGCAGAAGCTTCCTGCACTCAAGCGGAAGCTGCATCAGACGTTTGGCTTCCGAAAAACGTTCACAAACTGGAACACTTACTTCCGGGTTTGTGGCATCCGGGAGCTGATTTATTCGACAACTAAGCCGTTCGAGAACCAAGGTACCACTGTACTCGATTCTGAGCAAACAGCCTCCTAGAATTGAGTATACACTTCCATAGGCAATGGTTGCCAGATGTGAAATATATCGGCGTTATTTTCAGTTCTCCTACCCCACTACTAGCAACTATTTGTCTCTTGAAAGGTCTTGGGATTTTTAGTGGAAGAGAGACTAGCTTACTGTGTTGAGCTTCGTACTGGGCACCATGATGCTGCAGCTGTTGGCTACGCCTGTAGCAGCCTTCGCCAGCTTTCAGAGCCTGTTTGAACAACTTCTCTGCTTCCACAATAGTTGTTGCTTCCTCTTCTGCCAACAGAATATAGGCAGTGGCACACCTGTCAGTGAAACAACAGAAACAATCATTAGTAAGACAAACAAGGAAAGGGAAAAGCATTTTCTAGGCTATATCCAATTAACATGTAGCTTTTGCCTGTCTTATTGCGATAGGAAGGTAAAGGGACCCCTGACCATTAGGTCCAGTAGCGGATGACTCCGGGTTGCGGCACTCATCTTGCTTTATAGGCCGAGGGAGCCAGCGTACAGCTTCTGGGTCATGTGGCCAGCATGACTAAGCCACTTCTGGCGAACCAGAGCAGCGCACGGAAACGCAGTTTACCTTCCCGCCGGAGTGGTACCTATTTATCTACTTGCACTCTGACTTGCTTTCGAACTGCTAGGTTGGCAGGAGCAGGGACCAAGCAATAGGAGCTCACCCCGTCACGGGGATCTGAACTGCCGACCTTCTGATCGGCAAGCCCTAGGCTCTGTGGTTTAACCCACAGCGCCACCTGCGTCCCTATTTGTGATAGGAAACACGCCTGCAATTCCATGTGTTCATGGAGGCTCTCTGAAGCATCTGCTATGCTGCGGTCTATTAGTGCTCCTGCATTCACTTCACTGGAGTAGAACAATTCTGCAAGGTATGTGTGAAGCCACCCAGCCACTTAAGCCAATGGCAGGAGCAGCAAGAGGCTGCAACCCAGACCTCTGCATAAACAAGGGACTCCTATTCCCATGAATGGAGACTGCAGCCTGAAAGTTTCATTTGAACTGGGCAGGACCTGGACCTATTGCTTCTTCTCCCATATAGAGATCTTACCACAAGTAGCTGTCTGAAATGCAGGTTCTATGTGACACAAGTAAGGGTGTGATCCATGCTATAATAATAATAAATACTAAATTTTTATTTATACCCTGCCCTTCCCGGTTCGGAAAACAGGGCTCAGGGCGGCTAACAACCAATTTAAAACACTTAATTGTAAAAGCAGCATAAAATACAGTATAAAAACATGAATAACAATAAAATTCGAAGTTCAGAAATCAATTTGGGGGAAATCCATCTAATAAGCATTAGATAGTCACCAGGGCTAGCTGGCTGAATTAGTCCTACTTGGGCCAGCAAGGAGGCCAGGGGAGAATTAGCTCTGGGGTCTCAGAGCGGGTAATCTTCATAAAAGGGGAGGGGGGAGAGAGAAGGGAAATAAAAGATCAGGCTGAATTCAAATTAGAGGCCAGGCGGTATAGCTCTGTCTTACAGGCCCGACAGAAGGAGGTTAAATCCTGAAGGGCCCTAGTCTCCTGGGATAGAGCATTCCACCAGGTCGGAGCCATCACTGAAAAGGCCCTGGCGGAGGATAGTCTGACTTCCTTAGGACCTGGGACCTTTAAATTATGGTTGTTCATAGACCTTAAGGTCCTCTGCGGGGCATACAAGGAGAGGCGGTTCCATAAATATGCAAACCACACTATCACCAGGCCAGAAATCCCAGGCATACAAAGCTGGGACTCAGGATATGGCACAGTCCAGCAAGCTGTGCATGATTTTGCAATAACTGTTGTGGCCAGTCAAATCCGTTGCAACAGGTCCCGGCCAAAAATAGTGTCTACCTGAAGCTCCATTCGTTCTGCGACTCAGCAGACTACTGGCACTCAGTGCAGAGCAGCTGGTATGCAAAGCCCCAATAAGGAGGCAAGGAGCCACTGTCCAGACACATAGCGCATGCAAAGTTCTGCAAAGCAAAATTCTGTGCAGGATTGTGTTCCAAATAAATAACTGGCAATACATTGCAGGATCAGAGTAGGCCACTATTTTAAACTTGAAACCTTCGGAATAGAGCCCAGAAAACACAAGAACAATTGAATGCGTATTTTATTTTAAAGAAATAACAAAGTCCATGTTTGAAATAAATAAATAAATAGGCCTCAGTATTAGCAGAATTTCTCCTGCTCTTAAGGTAAAGGGACCCCTGACCATTAGGTCCAGTCGTGGCCGACTCTGGGGTTGAGGCACTCATCTCGCTTTCTTGGCCGAGGGAGCCGGCGTACAGCTTCCAGATCATGTGGCCAGCATGACTAAGCCACTTCTGGTGAACCAGAGCAGTGCACAGAAACGCCGTTTACCTTCCCACTGGAGCGGTACCTATTTATCTACTTGCACTTTTGTGCTTTCGAACTGCTAGGTTGGCAGGAGCAGGGACCAAACAACGGGAGCTCACCCGGTCACGGGGATTAGTACCACCGACCTACTGATCGGCAAGTCCTAGGCTCTGTGGTTTAACCCACAGCGCCACCCTGCTCTTATTTCACTACTAAAAACTACTTTGCCATGCAAGCATCAGCAGTTAGCACCAACAGATGAAAAAAGAATTATAGGTCCTTCCCTACTGCCTACCGTTTGCAAATTTGGAGAACTACCTCACTTTGTACCTCACCCTCCCAAAGATAAGAAATTAGCATGAACAGTCTAGATCAGGGGTGGGGACAATCTTTTAATCTGAAGGCAGTGTTTCCTCATTAGGGAATCTTCCGGGGGCCACATGGAGGCTAAGGCCAGAGGCAAAAAGAGGGTGGCTTTCACTCTTTTTTTTTACAGTGGGCTGCATCGCAGCTACTCACAAAAGCCAGAGGTTGCTACACCGTCCTCCATCCTTCTCAACAAACAAGAGGCAGTATCACAGTTCAATGAGACATTAAGGTACCCAAGGAGAGCGTGGAACAGGGCCATTGAAGTGCATGGCTGGGGAGAGTTCTGGGGGCCAAATAAGAGGCTTGGAGGGCCACATTTGGTCCCCAAGGCTGTAAGTTTCTCACCCCTGTTCATGATCAAGCAAAAACATTTTCAAACGACTGTTGAGATACTTACTCATTTAGCTCTAAGGCTTCATGCGCTGCAGAAATTCTGGCCTGCGGATTTCTCTCCCTCCATGCTTTTTGCATTACTGTTGAGCAAGGTATTTAAAAATAAATAAAAATAGAGGGGGTGATTTGACAGGACGCAACTGTAGTCAAGCATTCTGTTGGGGCATTTTATCAGGCAAATGTCTCGACGCACCTTCTCTCCAAACCTCAGGTTTACTCTTTTAACGTGTCCAGAGGAAGAGGAACCTTACATCTGTGCAGTCAATGTTAGAGGAAACTACAGGAAAACGTGCCAAGAATGGTTTGCTCAGAAATCAACAATGGAAACCAGCTTTGGCAAGTGGGCAGGACAACCCATCTGTCAATCAACTTATCTCAGATGATGGGCAGGTAGGGTGCCCTGCCCACCTGCCAAAGTCCCTTGCACAATGATTTGCCCTGTGCTCATCTCCTTTCCGCAGTGATTGGCTGTGTGGCTGAGCTCCCCCCACAGGGAGGAGATCAGGTCGCACATCTGATCCAGCTACATCTCCACTTCCCGATGTCACACTGGACATATGGGGAAAGTGGGTGCGGTTTGGGGGAAATGGCCTTGCAGGCCAAATTGGGACCTGTGCTGGTCCAAATCTGACCTGCAGACCACAAGCTCCCGTCTCTTGTACTACAGCAGAATTTCCCAAACTTGCGTCTCCAGCTGTTTTTGGACTACAACTCCCATCACTCCCAGCTAGCAAGACCAGTGGTCGAGGATGATGGGAATTGCAGTCCAAAAACAGCTGGAGACCCAAGTTTGGGACACCCTGCGCTAGAGCAGCGTGAGAAGAAATCACCACACAAGAAGTGCTATCCTAAAAGGAAGATTTTTGGAGAAAGGGCAAGAATACCTACTAGTGGTACCTGCAACCAAGTGTTGCAGTGTGGAGGGCTTCAGCTTCTCCAGGCCATTCCCGCTCCCATTTGGTTTTCTGTTTCCTCCCTTAGTGTCAGCATTTCATGGTCACTGAACATGCCCAGACATTATCAGGCTGTTTTCTGAGCTCCCCCCGCCCCCAGAGCTAACCCAAACCCTACTGATACAGGGTGATACCATTTCAGCTAGATAAGCAGCAGCACTCACACTTCAAATCTGAAGTGCTGAGAACCGTAATTTAGACAAGCACTCCAAGCAAGCGGTTTAGACACAAGCAAAGACAACAGACTGGTGATCCGAGACACCTTGTCCCTATTTTCTTGGAAGTAAACTTTGCTATTCACTCCAAGTCATACGTTTCCAAGCACACTTATTAGTAAACTCCTTACTGGCATCTGCAGGCCTTAAGTGGTCCGTATCGCACGTGAAGAAGGTCTGATGATCTTGCGCCGAAAGATTCATATCGTAGTATGTCAGAGGTTCCCTTCCCGTCACCCAGGTATAGCTGGAGAGAGTATAAAAGAGAGTACAAGAAATAGCAGAAACCGCCATCGCAAATTCATCGGAAGATCTTCCCCATGGGCCATTCCAAATTCTCAGAAATCTTCTCATACCCTTTTCATCCTACTGGATATACCGAGCCCTCTTCATCCTACTGAAATGGGGGCCCATCGGACCTCTCCCCATGCTTCTCACAGCCCTGCTCCCAAAGGATCTTTCTAGGCTGGAATTTGTCCTTAAACCACAGATATTGCCTCCTGCTTACCTGGATGGAGAATGTGTGTGTGTGTGTGTGTGTGAGTGAGAGAGAATGAATCTTTGCATTTTCTTCTCGACAACCTTCAGAAGGAAGGGGTGCGTAGGACCAGAAGCAAAAGTGGGTGAATCAGTGAATATAAATCCAACCTTTGTACAGTAGGCTAGTTTCTACATACACTCACAGACCCCCTGTATATCCTCTATCCAGGCAAGTGAGAGTCACTGTCAGAATTCAAGGATGCAATCTAACCAGGCAAAAATACTCAAGGAAGCAGATTTAAGGCAATGCCCCCCCCCCCAGGGCACCCAGCTCAGAAGGTGACTTCCTGCTTCCTTCCCAAAGGCATGAGGACTCTGACAAGGTCCACTTCCTTCCAAAGCCTAGTTTGTGCTTTCCCAGCTTCGGGAAGGAGGTGGGAGGCCTCTAGGAGCCTGTCAGGACCCTCATATGCCTCCTTCACAAAGCCCAGCATCTCACTTAACTGGGTTTGGGAAGGTGGTGCGAGGACTTGACTGGGTGGCGTCAAATTTTGGCCTGGCACATCGCACCATTATTAGCAAGGTCTGCCCCTGATGTGTAGCAAGATGGGCGAGGGGTGTGGCCTAGGAAAAGAGGGAGTGGCTATGGAGAGAGCTTGGGGGTGTGGGATAAAGAGGTCTGGAGTGGTTGCACTTTGGACCCACTAGGCCCGTGGCTCTTCATCCTTGTCATCGGAGAAATGCAGCTTTCAGGCTAACCAAAAAAAAAAAAAAGGTTTCTGGCCCTGTACTAAGCCATGGTTTAGTGTTAAGTGTGAATGCATATAATAATTATAATAATAATTTATTATTTGTACCACGCCTATCTGGCTGGGTTTCCCCAGCCACTCTGGGCGGCTTCCAACAAGGATTAAAAATACAATATATGTGAAACCTGTCCACTGTGCTGCTCGGATAAGCCCCAAGTTATTCTGTGACAATGAACAAGTGCTCAAACATAACTTTTAAAAGTGGCTACTGTGCTTGAATGACAATTCTGTGCAGCACTTACCGGTTATATTCAGCTCCTCTAAACAGGTTTAGTGGATTTCGCCAGACTTTGCATTCTGTAACAATGGAAAAATATATACGCCTTCTAATTACCAGTTAATGCTACTGTTTATTTGAAAACAAAATTGCCTTCAAATTAAGTCATTCCAGGTGCATTCCAAGCATCTAAAAGAACACCAGGCGAATATACAGGTGGTATCCAACAGATGGGCGCCATTGGAGGGCCTGTGATTTGCCCACAGTATATACATCTGGAGTGCTTCTGTGATCCAATGAATTATTAGTAAATATATGAACAAATGAAGCTGGCATGCTGAATCAGACCACTGTTCCATCAGTCCTTGCACTGTCTGCTTTGATGGCGACAGTCCTCCCAAATTTCAGAAAGAGATTGTTCACAGCCCTCCTATTTCTAACTGTGAAATGGCCCGGAAGTTAGTTGTTGCCAGCATTATTCTGTTCCAAAAACCAAAGACTGTGTTGTGGGACATGTAGATTTGTATGTCTGAATAACCTGCCCAGTACACGTAGTATTACCTAGAAGAGGGAAGTAGCAGGTGCTGGAAATTCATCCACCTTTAGCAGAAAGTGTGTGTAAATTAATTGGTATGCTAATTTACAAGAATCATGAGAATTGTTGTAGAGGGGGCTTATTAAGAGTTCCCAGAGTTTTTGACTGGGACTCATGGTAGTTAAAGAAGACTTTGGGGAGCGATATATGTGTAGATGCGATTTATATCGTATTGACTTTTCTGGCTTATAGATATAAACATGTGGCACTATAGCCAGTGGCAGGGGGGCAATGCTTACCTGATCTCCCACCACTGGTGTTGTTGCAGTTTATTTGTTGTTGCAAATGCACTCGTAGGAAAAGCATGGATATCTTTTGTTATGATGGCACTTTTTCCGGGGTGAGGGTGGGATGGGGAATACATATTATACGTACCTACAGGACTGCCTCTCCTGGCATGCCCTGCGGAGGACCTTAAGGTCCACAAATGACAACACTTTGGAGGTCCCAGGTCACAAGGTGGTTAAATTAGTCTCAACTAGGGCCAGGGCCTTTTCAGTACTGGCCCCAACTTGGTGAAACGCTCTGTCAAGAGCCTAGGGCCTTGCGGGACTTGACATCTTTCCGCAGGCCTGCAAGACACAGTTGTTCCACCTGGCCTTTGGTTTGGACTCAGTCTAAACCTTATGTTTCCCTCCCCTTACAGTTTTGATCTATGGGCTACTTTTAAAATGAGGCTGCATTTTAAATTGCATTTTAACCTGTATTTTAAATTGGTTTCCTTTCCCTATTATGTTTTTATTGTAATTTTACTGGTGTTAGCCGCCCTGAGCCCGGCTCTGGCCAGGGAGGGCAGGGTATAAATAAAATTTATTATTATTAGCCAGAAAAGTCTGACACCAGGATGAAGGAACGCTAGGAGCAGATTCAACTGGGGGAAAATCGACTTGGTGAATAAATTCATTCCTAAAACCACTCATGTTTCAATTTCTTTTTAAGTCAAGTGCTAAAACTGTTCCATTTCAAAGTCAAAAATGGAAGCTTGCAGGCGAGAAGATACGTAGCTAATCGTTTGCTCTAGGTGGCTTCTGAAGTGATATGCTATTTGAGTTCTTGCAAAGTTTGTTCCGCTTCCTCTGCCAGAACAAAACAAGCTACAAATAGATTGGAGGCAGTAATTCACTTCCCCTAGGGAGCCACTGGCTGAAGGACCCCAAGATGCCTCTGAGATCAGCATCCATACCTGAAGGCTGGAACATGAGCGATAATAGAACACTTAAGAAAAGAAAAGAAAAAGGGAATCCAGGACATTACAGGTTTGCTGTCAATAGTAATAAGCATAACCCATGATCGTTCTTGAATTTTAAAAGGACATACTACTATAGTTAACAATCTGCGCAGGACAAGCGGAATTGTCTTACCTGAGACACTCTGCCGATTTGCATCAGAATCCCCGTTGCTTGTATTTGAGTTGTTGGGCGAGTTGTTGTCCACCCCTCCCAGCAGAGGGCGCAAGTGACTCACCGAGACTTGCTCAATGAACGAGGTCCCATACTTGCGAAAATACCACCATTCAAATATCTAAAAACAGAAGCGAATATGTGCATTCATTAGTTTGCTTTCCTTGAGCTCTGGCCCAATGGTTGCCAGTGGCTTGAATTAATTAATTTTATAATGAATGATTTTAGAGTGTTGTTTGTGCTGTACTTTTGTACTGTTTTATTGTTGTTAGCCGCCCTGAGCCCAGCTTCGGCTGGGGAGGGCGGGATATAAATAAAATTTATTATTATTATTATTATTATTATTATTAACTCCAAAGTAATTTCCACTGGCCACTTGTGTTTAAGCTCTAATTCTATATTTAAAGGTATTTTTTTGGATGAATTGTTATCCTTATTTATTCTGTATATAGTGCCGTCAGTATATGCGGTGTTGCTTTATAAATCATAACCTTGCAGAGATTGATAGGGTGCTACACCAAGAGCCACCAACATACTAAAACAGGCTTTATGGAAAACAGGGAGTGTGGGAGAGACACAAGGAGAAACTGTTTGAAAGAGTATTTGGAAAGGCTGCCTATTCCAAATTCAGTTTAAAGACACAAAACGATGAGAAGACAGAACAGGGGCCTCAAAGTTGCTCACTGACATTTAGCACCTGGACAGCTTAGCTCAGTTGGTTAGAGCGTGGTGCTGATAATGCCAAGGTTGCAGGTTCGATCCCTGTATGGGACAGCTGCATTTTCCTGCATAACAGGGGGTTGGACTAGATGACCCTCAGGGTCCCTTCCAACCCTACGATTCTATGATTCTAGGTGACTGAGCAGGAACCTAGTTCCTTGCCCCCAGCTATGGTGAGATGCACGGGATTTCTATTTAAATTATGGTATTTATTTCTGAATTTGCATCTATAAATATAAATTAGCATATGCAACTTATATGCAAACCTGTGACCTCTTTTCATCCCCTTGTTTAGTGATGCATTTCTTCTTTTGGTGATGCATAAGTGGCCACCTATCATTGGCAAACATATAATGGGAAATAATTGCAAAGCCACAGAGAGCTTTAAATGGAAGGGCCAGGGGTCTGTGCAACCAAGAAGCTATTTCTCACCTATTGCTCATAATTTCCCTTAAAAAGCTGCAAATATCCATCTATCCATTCCTGGGTCTGTCTCACCTCCCTGCTCTGGAGCTACTTGGAGTACTTAATTAGCCACAGGATCAATCCCTGGCATCTCAAGTTAAAGCAGCTCAGGTGGCAGAGCTAAGAAAGGCCTGAAATATTCAAGAGCTGCTGCCAGTCCGAGCAGACAATACTGGGCTGAATGATCCGATTCATAGAAGTCAACGTTATATGCTAAGAGGGAAATGCCTAGCCAGTTATTACGAAGAGGCTTCTTTGCTGGTTTCTGTCCTTTTCATAGATCTACTGCAGAATTTGCTCTGGATATTCTCCACCATTTTTATGTGTGTGTGTGGTTGCCATTTGCCTCCCCCACCCCCAAAGTGTCCTGGAATGATGCAATATTGTGGAGAGTGAAAAATGGTGGCCACGCTGCTCAACACAGTTGCAACACCAACAACTTTAAAGGGGGGCGGAGAGAAAGCAGCTCCATGACTTCTGCTGACAAGCCCCACCCCTGTGAAACGAGAAATTTAGTGAAATGGCATCCCCTAAAACTTGTCTGTCTGCAAATAGGTTGCAGAATTAAAAGGGGAATGTTTGCATACAGTGCTCTTTTATGTATCCTGAATAGGATCTGCATTGAATATCTGTTTGGGGTGAGTTATGTGAATTGAATATATGTTTGGGGTGATTCTTTAACATCAACTTCGTTGGACTGGTCATGTTGTGCGGATGCCTGATGATCGTCTTCCAAAGCAACTACTCTATTTCTGAACTTAAAAATGGAAAGCGTAAATGCTGGTGGTCAACAAAAGAGGTTTAAAGACTGTCTCAAGGCAAATCTTAAAAAATGTAGTTTAAACACCAACAATTGGGAAACACTTGCTAACTGGAGAACAGCCTCTACCAAAGGTGCCATGGGCTTTGAAGACACTCGAACTCAGGACGCAAGGGAGAAACGTGCTAAGAGGAAGGCAAGCTTGCCAAATCCGCACCATGATCAACTCCCACCCGGAAACCAATGTCCCCACTGTGGAAGGACGTGTGGGTCCAGAATTGGCCTCCACAGTCACTTACGGGCTCATTGTTAAAACCGTGTTTATGGAAGACAATCTTACTCGGCTACGAGTGATCGCCAAAGAGAGAGAAGAAAGAAGAATGTGAGGGGAGCTCAAACTGACCTCAGCACTTTCTCGACCCCTTCTCAGTAGTCTTACATTACAACGTACATCACAGCACAAAGCAAATCGTAATGCCGTAGTGTAAACAGCAGCAGCACTAAAGCAGCTGTAGCATCTGACCCCTTTTCCTACATTTGTGGGACCTCTGGCCCAAAATGTGCTTGCAAAGGATGCAGCTGTAAGCCAGCTGCTTTCTCCATATGACATTGGGTTACATGCCTCAGACATCACATGCCCTTGCCATATCCTGCCCACCTACTACAGCCAAGCATACCGTAACTTTTTAGCACCATTGAGTGCAGGGCTATCACTCATCTTCATACTTGTATCCTGGCTTGGCAGCAACCGAAACAGTTTACAGTTATTACTTAAATAATTTGGTTAAAACAAAATATTGAACAATTTCAGTATCTATCAACTTTGTTTCTAAAGAAAGGCATAACGAAATGATAAAATATATAAATTAGTATAACTGCCAATATCCCTGAGCCAGCAGTACAAGAAATAAAATAGTAAGGGCTGCTTCCCCATCGCCACATCTTAATGCAATGTAATGCACGGCTGAAAAATTAAAACAATGTGAATATTCTTAATTACTTCCAGTTTAAAGTTATTAGTATCATCGTTATTTGCATATGAAAAGGAAGGCAGCCAAACACTAATTTCTCTCTGTGAATTCCTGCAAAAATGGCCAAGTCGTGCTTTGAAAGCCTTCACCTTACCGTCCTAATTGTTGGGTCTCTTTAAAAAAAGAACAACAGACAGCTCCTCTTACTATAGTATCTACTCTCCAAGCCTCTTTTGTTCACACCTACAAGGGAAGTTTTAATTTCTCTGAAGGCTAACCATATGCCTTGAGGTGCTATCTGTTCAAGGAATACTCAGGATACATTAATTAATTCCGTAATGATCTCCCTCTTGCTTGAAAACAACAGCAGCAAGGCAAGGAAGGTCTCGAAACCCTTTGGCAAATGTCGTTATTCTTCAGAGATTTCTTTTGTGAATAAGCCTTAAGTAGCAGTGAGAGGCGCTGAAGAGAGATTGCAGCTCTGCTGAACACGTTGTTTGCACATCCTTTCGGCATGCACTGGAACACGTGGAAGGCATGAATTCCAAAGCAGGCAAAAAGTCTAAGGTCCAGTCCTTGGCATCTCCAGGTAGGTCTCTTGAACCCCTCTTGAACCCCTGAAGAGCTGCTGGTAGTCAGTCTACTAGAGTGTTCCAGTGACAGAAGTCAAGAGCAATAAGGATCCTCTTCTGATGACTGTTTTAGGTGACTAAGCTTTCTTTAAAAAAACTTTCTCAGGAAGATACCCAATATAATGCTCAGGGTGGAGTTACCTTCAGTGAATTGAGGTCCAGGACCTTTAACAAAACCCACTACAGTCGTAACTTGGTTGTTGAACACCACTGAACTCGGACATTTTGACTCCTGAACGCCGGAAGTGATTGTTTGTGAATGTTCTTTTGGAACCCAAATGTTCGGCGGGGTTTCCGCAGCTTCCAATTAGTAGACTCGGGTTGTATATATGTGTAAATAAACCATATATCATAAAGACACCACAGTCTCCACTGTGTCTCATTGCCCAACAGAAGACACAGACTGTGGGCTAAAGCAACCCCTGAAATCCCTTGGAGACTGGGGTAGCATGGCACAATATAAATAGGATTTTAAACAATGTACTGATTTTGGACTCTGCTGCAGAAAAAGCTGTGGTGGTTCCTATTGACTAGGGATTTAAAAGATGGGATTGTCCAGTTTGAGAAGATTGACAGAAACAGGTTGGCAAGTGAAGCTCTCTACAGCTGAAAATGGAAGCACGCAAGGCATGAATTTTGTCTTTCGAAAATGAAATTTTAGGTTTGAAGATGCTAGAGACCACACAGCCCTTGGCAAATGCAAATTCTTTTAGGTACACAGAGACACAAAGTTGGAGGCAGGTGTGTAGGGAAGAAATAGCAAGAAAGATCAGATTTATTTATTTTTTACATGTGGAATCCGACGTTCAAAAGTTTATAGACAGAAGTAGTAAAATGCAACAATTTTACTCACCAAAATAAGCCCCGATATTAATGAAGAGGTTCCTGTAAGAGCAACGTAGAACTTGGGAGTCAATGTGTTCAAAAACATACTCACTAAAAGAGAAAAAGAAAACCACTTAGCATGGGACATTTTCTAACCTTTTGCAATTCCAACATTTGCAAATCAAGTTAAAAGTAAATTTCTTGTTTTTTGAAAAAATCAGAAACCAGAGCATGTTGCATTCTATACGAAACCTTAAAGGTAAAGGTAAAGCGACCCCTGACCATTAGGTCCAGTCATGACAGACTCTGGCATTGCGGCGCTCATCTCGCTTTACTGGCCGAGGGAGCCAGCATACAGCTTCCAGGTCATGTGACCAGCATGACTAAGCCGCTTCTGGCGAACCAGAGCAGCGCATGGAAACGCCGTTTACCTTCCCGCCCGAGTGGTACCTATTTATCTACTTGCACTTTGACATGCTTTCAAACTGCTAGGTTGGCAGGAGCAGGGACCGAGCAAAGGGAGCTCACCCCATCGCGGGGATTCAAACCACCGACCTTCTGACCGGCAAGTCCTAGGCTCTGTGGTTTAACCCACAGCGCCACCCGCGAAACCTTAATGCTTCCTATATCCAGCATAAAGCTGGACTAAAGAGAGCAGAGCAACATAAAGGCATTCAAGCCTTTGTTTCTGCAATCTATCTAGGCAGCTTTAATCTACCTTCTGGAAATGACATGAAAGACAGAGATTAACGAAAAGCCTAACGTTGACTGCCAAATACATTTAGCATCCTTCTGCCAGCATATAGATGCGAGCCAACAAAGTTATGCTAGTATCTTGCTCAACCTGTCTCCTGAGCGCTGTTCTGTATTACAGTGTTAACAAAACCTAGTAGGCAAGCACAGAAGACTTCATGTCAATACTTCCCTTTCAGATCCCTTGCGTTAGCTAAGCAGCTACAGAATGTCATAGCAAGGCAAAAGCACAGCCCGAGCCAAGTTTGATGCAGAAATGCTTTCGTTACAGAGAGTGACTGTTTCTGTATGTCACTGGAGAACAATTCTTTATGCCAGCACAATCAAGGGTTCTTAAGAATTTACCGTGCATGAAACCATTTGAACTGAAAGATGGGTCTTGTTTTAACAACTGAAGCTGCCTGCTGCACATCTTTCTAGACTTCACCTCCTTTGTCAACCCTTGTTTCTGTTCCTTAAAATCCCACCCCCTTAGTTGCATGTCTTTGGGGAGAGAAGGAAATTACTGCATAAATTGGAATTTAAAAACAGCACAGCAAAAAAACCCCAAAAACCCTCTGGGAGAACATTTTTCAGTTCACCTGTACACAATGCCAGTAATTTTCACATCTTGCAGTGCAGACCATAATATAGGGGTGGTCATTCCGTAAGCCTCATGACCAAATGGGAATTAGAACTTGCGTTTTCCCAGTAATAGCCCCCAAATCTAATCACTATGCCACCTTGGACTCCCTTTTCTGTCTGCTTCTGCTGCCTGAGCAGGAATAGAACAACTTCAAGCAAAAGGGGAAAGTTGGCTTAGTCACCAGTGCCATGGGAAGGAAGTGCATGGTTTGAGAATACTTCAAGTTGCAGCAGCAATACATACTGCAGCGACACACAAAATCAAAGGCTCCGGGGTTCAAGCCTTGGCAGGTCCTAATGAGACTCGCTCTCAGTTGTAAATCCGTGTTTGCACTTTACCAACACGCACTGTAAAGAGGGGCTCAAAAGGCCAAATTTTCTTCTCAGTAACAAAGCTAGGAAAACAAGTGTTCTAGCCTAAATGTGCTACAGTGGTACCTCGGATTAAGTACTTAATTCGTTCCGGAGGTCCGTTCTTAACCTGAAACTGTTCTTAACCTGAAGCACCACTTTAGCTAATGGGGCTTCCTGCTGCCGCCGCACAATTTCTGTTCTCATCCTGAAGCAAAGTTCTTAACCCGAGGTACTATTTCTGGGTTAGGGGAGTCTGTAACCTGAAGCATATGTAACCTGAAGCGTATGTAACCCGAGATACCACTGTAATTTTTTATGTGAATGATTCCCCCGCTCCTGTCACCTTTCTTTTTTTTGAAGGAATCTTCAACTGTATGAGTTCTAGCAGTATAGCCAAGAAACATCATGGAGAACTAGTCCAATACGCATAATCTATGTAAACTCATGAGTTACTTGTCTGTCTTCAACCTTTGGATTCCTCAGCGGTCCAGTTCTTATCTCACTCTGGGATTTTAAATCTTTCTTAACCCGCAGGAGAGTGGAATCAGGGTTAAACAGTATCTTCACACACATTTTAAACAAGAGACACTAGCATGGCCAATCTACTCAAGACCGTGTTCCCTTCCCATCATTTCCTTCATCCAAAGACCACACGAACCCTTCTACCTGATTGATTGATTGATTGATTGTACTGTATTTATTGTCACACAGTACAAATACAGGAACGTTGTGAAACTAAGGTGGGGGGCAATGTTGTGAGTGTATTTAATAAAAACTTTTTATCAAATTCGTTAGTTTTCTAACTGCAAGGTTTGGGTGGGATTCTGTGTGAGACAGAAAAAACACCCCCCCTCATTGTATAATATTATTTTTAGTTGAATATTCCTGATTCATTCTGGAGGTACTGGGTGTCCCTGTCTGGAGGTATTACACCCAATGCTCATTTCCTTGTTTCAAGCGCAGCAACCATCCGGTTTCCTTTTTTTCTTGCAGGGCGAAAATGCACAGTTCGTCAGGCTCCAGTTCCTATAAAATGCAGCTGCAGAAGAGTCAACGCACCACATGAATCTAAATGCTTGCTAAACAGGCCCTTGCCAGGCAGCTGCAATTATGCTACATCTCTAAACTGCTGCGCTAATTTATTTCACTGCATATTAGGCTCACTAGATGAGATGGTGCTATGGAGAGCAACAAAGGAAATAAGTGCTGCTTGCCATAAAACATTTGACAGAGCTATAAAAATGATCAGTATCTTGGCATATGCGGCTGTCTCAACGAGCCAGGAGGAGCATTCAATTGCTAGACCTTTGCGGGGAGCGCTAAATATGATAACAGGCTTCTTCTCCATTTTAATATATGCAAATACAAAACTTGTATTTGTCTAGAAATGCCACAAATCCCTCTCCAACATTTATTTTTTGTCAATATTTCCATAATCTAAATAATATGCATAAGGAAGCACATATGATTATTATTATTTTCCTGGTTGTCATACAGATTTGATTTTAGTCAAAAGCACTTTGTCAACGAGTATGCGTGTGTGCCTGTGCGTGTGTGTGTGTGTGTGTGTGTGTGAGAGAGAGAGAGAGTGTGTGTGTGTTATGGTAGTTCATCACTATGGGTAGGTATCCTGTTTACATGGCACAAAGGTTTAAGAGGTTAAGCTTTATTGAGAGCAAAGCCAACGAACTAAAACCCATTATCGAGAGTCATTTAATGTGATTAATGGCTTTGGTTCTTTGCAAACACCTGGTCAGCACATTTCTCTCTTCTTCTTCTACAGAGGGTTTCCCTCTTCTCTTGAGAAAAGCAGAGCAACTCCAGCTGCACTGATTCTATGTGCTTTCAGTGTTTACAAGAAAGGTGGCTGATTATGACCTATGGTCAGTGCAAAAACACTCCTTTGCCCGAAGAATGACAGCAAACAGTACCTTTGCCAGCTGCAAGATCTCCCTCATTTTGACACCTCAGGGTTCTCCCAGAATACTCACTTATTGAGTATTCGTCCTGATTTGTTTGCAGGGAGATTATAAGATGTTGGTTAGTTAATGAGAATTACAGTCGTACCTCAGAAGTCGAACAGAATCCATTCCAGAAGTTTGTTCGACTTCCAAAATGTTCAGAAACCAAGGCGCAGCTTCTGATTGGCTGCAGGAAGCTCCTGCAGCCAATCGGAAGCCGCGGAAGCTTCCAAAAAAAGCTCACGAACCAGAACAATCACTTCCAGGTTTACGGGGTTCAGGAGCCAAAACGTCCGAGTTCCAGGGCTTTCAGGATCCAAGGTACGACTGCATTTCTAATTTTTTTTACTGGGAGGTTAGAGGACATTACATCAAAGTAAATGAAATCCCACACTTTCCAGGGCATTTCCCCATCACTTTCCATACTGCAAAAAGCCCAGACTTTTTGGGAAACGAGTTTGTTGCACAAGGCTTTCCAATCAACTGTAAGAGTACGATCTGAATTGGCCTGTATGTATTCCACCCAAAAATAGCAAAAAGTCAGGAAGCGCCCCAAGTCTCACATGAAGAACCTTGGATTAAAGGCTGAATCCTAATACAATCATCCTTTCATATGTATTCACAGCTTAAGTAGAAAACACACATTTGAATTCAATGTTTAAGTTTTAGTTGCACCCTGCTTTCCTCTGTCCCATTGAGCTCTCGACCATTTGCTTTCTTTTAAAAAGCAGATGATGATGATGATGATGATGATGATGATACAAAGACACCTCTTGAGCATGTACAGAGTGACTTACCTTCTACATTAAGCAACTACAGTCTACCCACACACACTGAGAATGAAGGAATGCGTCTGATAGTAGACCTCCCACAATTAGCTTTCTTGAATGTATTCTGATGACACAGCTCAGAGAGACCTTTCTGAAATGTTCTAAAATGCGTAAATTTGCACACAGTCATATAACTTAGGGGGTGGGGGAAATCTCCTGGATAGCTTCAGCTGTCCAGTTTTCATCTCAGCGGAGGGACGGGGGGACACTGCTGTAGAAATGGAGGGAAATCTTCCCAGGCTTTCCAAGAGCAAGGGGGGGGGGACCTTGCTATGGTGCCACAGCTACACTCTCCACACCAAGTTCCTCTCATGGAGGTAAGAAGTCAGCAAAACAGTTCAAAGATAACTCTTGAATCTCAGAAAGAAAGAAAGAAAAAGCTCAAATCAAGAAGGCAGCATGCTAAAAATCAGACTCAAAAACACCCAAAGCTCCATGGAGACCAAGGCTATAATTATCGACAAGTAGGAGGTTTACACTTCAAGCTGCTTGACTGCTCAAGCTGCATGAGATCTTTTAAAAACCGTTAAACGTGTCTTCAACGGTCATGTGTTCTGGCAAACAGAATTACCATCAAAGCCATGACTGCTCGCCGTCAAAAGCTAGGGTGTGATTTTGTGAAAAAAAAGAAGCAGCAGCAGCTGAGCTTCTTAAATCTGCAACATTTCCAAACTGGGACTGGATCCAACCCAAATGGCTCTTGCATTAATTGAAATGCGTCATGCTGGCTGATGTTTCTCACGTCTTCTTGACTTCGCGTGTAATTCCCCCCCCCCCCTTTCCCAGGGCCTGTTTTCTGAGCAGAGGGTTTACTTTACAGGGTTCTGGGCCTAGCATTTGTTCTTGGGTTTCCCTGTTGGGAGTTCTAATTCTTGCTGGTACTATACACCGTTAAGTTGAAAAGGAAACTCTGTTACGATTTCTGTTTTATTGTATTTGATGTTTGTTTGTAAGCTATGTGGGAAGTGGGGGTACAAATCCAAGTCCAGAAATGACTTCCTATTATTATTTTAGTAGCTACAGCTTAAATGTAAATTTCAGTGCCTTTAAGTACTGATACGCATCGCTTCGTTATCTCAGTAGCAGAAATTACATAAAGATGTTGATTGACTATGTGATAGGAATTTTGAGGTCTTAGATATATGGTAATGTTCATAAGCGTACCAACCAAGCACAGGAAGACCAACCTGGAACCATTTTGATTCCTAAACTGAGCAAATGTTTTCTCTGCAAGGTCAGAGTGGGAAAACTCCCCATTGTCTCTTTCCTCAAAAATCCTGTCTTAAGGGCACATTGAAGATATGAATAGGGTGTGAGCCTGTGACCTGGCCCAGGAACTAAGTATTAATCATTACAAAAGACTGGCCAGGCTCCCCAGGCAATCCAATCAAGTAACCTGCCAGACAGGAGATAAACAACGACAGAAGAAAAACAACATTCAAATTTCTGTTTTAGACCGCCTTTTCTGTGATGTAGGTATGATGCATCTGAGGCGTGGTCTTAGGTTACACCCCCTCTGTGATGTATGTATGATGTTTCTGGGGGTGGTCTTGATATACAGGGTGGCAATTTCAAAAGTCTTTATAAGGCGTTGCGCGCCATTGCTCTGGGTTCCTCCTCCTCTCCTGCGTGTGAGGGGAGCACCCTGTTGCAACAGATCAATAAAGATCAAGCTTACTAGCTGCTTTGCTTCTAAATATTCTCTGGTTGGCCTCTGTTATTTTCTCCTACCAATAGGGAACCTATGTAAGGACTCTATATGGGCCAGTGTGGTGTAGTGGTTAAGAGCGGTAGTCTCGTAATCTGGGGAACCGGGTTTGAGTCTCCGCTCCTCCACATGCAGCTGCTGGGTGACCTTGGGCCAGTCACACTTCTTTGAAGTCTCTCAGCCCCACTCACCTCACAGAGTGTTTGTTGTGGGGGAGGAAGGGAAAGGAGAATGTTAGCCGCTTTGAGACTCCTTAAAGGGAGTGAAAGGCGGGATATCAAATCCAAACTCTTCTTCTTCTTCTTCTTCTTCTTCTTCTTCTCTTGGATACCCCATAAGGGAGAAGGGCAATTTTTGTTTACAACAACTACAACTCCCATCAGCCCCAACCAGCAAGGCCAGCAATCAGAGATGATGGGCATTGTAGTCCAGCAATATTTGGAGGGCACCACAATCACTATCCTAAAGTAAGGTATCCTTTAGCAATAGTGGTCTGTGCTTACCACTGAAGCAGAGCAAATAGCAATCTGCCGAAACCCCAATTTCAGTTTGCTCTGATTCAGCGGTAAAACACAAATTTTCCTGGGGGAAAGCGGCAAAAGGAAGAAAAAAAACCCCATTCAGACACAAACCTGGAAATCCCAGCCCTGTGTCTATAAATGAAGCACTAGGAAGTGTGGATAAGCCCTCATCTAAGCTAAAATAGTGTAAGACTCACTAAGGTATACATTTCCAAGGCTACATTCACACCATTAACTGAAAGCACTATGATAAACAATCATGGCGTCTCCCCCAAGGAATTGTGGGAGCTGTAGTTTGTTAAGGGTGTTGGGAGTTGCTAGGAGACACCCCATCCCCTCCCTTAGCTACAATATCCAGAGTTCCCTGGGAAGAGGGATTGGTTGGGATTCTAGGAATAATAAATAATAATTCATGAAGACATTATTTTCAGGATTAGCCCTCTTTCAAAGCTATCACAAGAAAAAGATGTTGCAACATAGGAAAGTAGTTCAGCTTTTGCTGTTGTTGTTTGGTTTTCTCAAAACGAAAACAGGCTTGGAAATAAAACTTACAGTTGTTGGGAGGGGGCTGTTTTGTTTTCAAGTGAGCGCACTTGGCTCGGAAACCGAAGTGGCTGTATACATTATTAAACATCACAGGCAGTTAAGGGAATAGCACTGATGACAGCTTAATGCCAGTAAGTGAAAGACGATCCACATAGCGAAGTTTTGCAGCAGCTTCTTAAAAGATTTTGGTTTTGGAAACTGTCAAGAAACAGATGTTCCAAAGGTGAGGAGCAGCCACTGGGTTAGACACCTAATTCTTCTGAGCAGCATTGCACCCATAGGAAGATGGAGTGAGAGGGAGAGACAGCTTCTCCATAATTCTGTAGTAGCCCATGAAAAGCTCCTCCTAGATATGTGGGGGACCCTCTGTAAGTGTGGGAGTTTGTTCAGGAGGCTGCAGGGGACAACAGGGGAATGTGTTCTCTCTCCTCAATCTAGAGCAGTGGTTCTCAGCCTGTGGGGCCCCAGATATTGTTGGACTACAACTCCCATCATCCCTGAGCTCTGGCCTTGCTAGCTAGGGGTGATGGGAGTTGTAGTCCAACAACATCTGGGGACCCACAGGTTGGGAAAGGCTGATCTAGAGATTCCACTGGATCTCACCCTCTTGCATGCACCAAAAGAGCCCTTTAATTTGCAGAAGGGACAACCTAGATCAGGCATGGGGGCCACATCTGTGGCCAGATGTGGTTGTCCTCCCACCAGCTCCAGCCAGCATGGCCAACGGTCAGGAATGGTGGGACCTGGAGTCCATCTGAAGGGACACAGGTTCTCCACCCCTTATTTAGATTCTCAACACACTCACCTCTTTCATACAGACTGGGCATACTGATGATTTAAAGAATGGTTATGCCCTTGGACAGATTTTAGAGACTGCATGAGACATGGAGATAATGTCTCAGGGATGTGTACTCGGCAGAGAAAAAATGCAAGTGAAAATCTCAGGGGTGCTTTGTGCAAATGCATCACTCTGCTGAAAGTGTAAAATCTTATCAAGGGTTATGGTTGCTTTTGATAACATATATGATTAAATTTAACTGTCACACAAGAGTAAAAAAAAAGCTTATCAAGTGCCTGTGGACAAGAAGAGAAAAGCTATTCATACATGTATTCCAAATAATAATGTGTAATTAATTTATTATTATTATGAAGACCTTTTCATATTTTGCAGCATCATTCTCCAGGCTTCGCCACCAAAGATAATCAACACTGTTAATTCTCTTAAGCCTATCCTAGATATACTTCCAGGTAGTTCAAGAAAGAGTCTGTAACTCAGTGGCAGAACACATTATTTGGTTTGGGGTTTTTTTGCAACCTTTGCTACAAGGGAGCCCTTCCAAGACAGCAGAACAACCCCACCTGAATCCTTTGAAAGCTGCTGTCAGTTGCAGGAGACAATACTAGGCTAAGTGCTCTTGGCCAACGTATTACATGCCAAGGCTTGCTCTGACCTTTGCTCAGCCCTGGGGGAGAGGGTGTTACATGTCCAAGTGGCCATGCCCCAAAGTGTAAAAAAGCCTTTCTGGAGAGAGAACACAGCCTGCAAACTGGGCACCGCCATCAAAAAGATCCTATCCCAAGTTGCCACCCACCATACCTCAGTTGGCAGAGTCACCCAGAGGTGAGCCAATGATCCCAATGCACAAGCTACCTGAAAATCCCAATGCACAAGCTACCTGAATTGAAGTAATTTGATCATCCAGGAACCCTGGTCATGAACTCTGCATGGATTTCAAAGATCAACACCAGCACTTTGAATCGTGCCTGGAACTTCACTGAGCGCCACTGCAGTCGCTTAAAGCAGGAACGTGTAGCTACGCTGGAACGTGTAGCTACGCTCCAAAGAATTAGAGAGCTGGAGCTCTTCTTGGAAGCAACAGAGCACACCGTCTCCACCAAGGAGGAGACAGGGGACTCCCCTGAGAAGGAGGCTAGTTCACCAACACAGGAGCCAGATATCTGGAGAAACGTGACTCAAAGAAGTAGGAGGCCCAGGGTCCGCTCTGATTGTTTAGAAATACACAATCGCTTTGAGGTCCTCTCCCCTAGCATGGAAGACGAAGAGCAGACTCCATTTGAGGATCTCTCCCTCATTACAGTCGATCAGGTATATGAAGACGAGCAGCAAAGTCAGTCCTCAGGGAATGTGCAGACAACCTTGGAACGGACAGCTCACGGAAGAACCCCGACCAAACCTAAGAGGAGGCATGTAGTGGTGATAGGGGATTCCCTACTGAGGGGAACAGAAGCAGTGATCTGTGGGCCTGACAAGATGTCTCAGGAAGTGTGCTGTCTCCCCGGCTAAGATCCAAGATGTAACTGAATGACTGCAAGGAATCATAAAACCCACTGACAAATACCCCTTCCTCTTGGTTCATGTGGGAACCAATGACACTGCAAGCAATAGCCTCCAGAAGATCAAAAGAGACTACGAGGCTCTGGGCAGGAAATTGAAGCAATTAAATGCACAAATTGTCATCTCATCTGTCCTCCCAGTTGAATGACGTGGCCCAGGGAGAGAGGGGAAAATAGTGGAAGTGAACAGCTGGCTTCGCAAATGGTGTAAACAGGAACAGTTTGGATTCTTAGATCATGGACTGCAGTTTCTTGAAGATGGACTTCTGGCAAGCGATGGGCTGCACCTCACAACGGTTGGGAGAAATGTTTTTGCCAAAAATCTCAGAAACCTCATCAGGAGGGCTTTAAACTGACTAATGTGGGGAGGGAGACAGTGCTCCTGAAGGTAGGAGTCTATCAATTGATGAAGATGATCATCCAAATGTCATAGACCAAATGGAGCAAACAGCACGCAGACCTAGTGGTGGGAGGAAAAAATCCTTAAATAAGAGACACGGGGGAATGATTAATGGACTTCAATGTCTGTACACTAATACGCAAAGCATGGGAAATAAACAAGATGAGCTTGAGCTCTTGGTACAGCAAACTAAATATGACATAATAGGCATCACTGAAACCTGGTGGGATAAGTCCCATGATTGGAATGTAATAATGGAGGGATACAATCTATTTCAGAGAAACAGACCAGACAAGAAAGGAGGAGGAGTGGCGTTATATGTCAGGGATGTGTATACCTGTGAAGAGATCCAAGATTTAGAACCTCAAAGCCAAAGTGAGAGCATTTGGGTCAAAATTAAGGGAGAGAAGAATAACAGTGACCTCATTGTGGGAGTTTACTATAGATCCCCAAGCCAAACGGAGGACATAGATGATGCCTTCCTGGAACAGATGGCCAAGCATGCAAAAGGAAGGAAGATAGTAGTAATGGGGGACTTCAATTACCCGGATATTTGTTGGATGTCAAACTCAGCCAAGAGCATAAGGTCAAACAGATTCCTCACTGGCCTTGCAGACAACTTCATTGTCCAGAAAGTGGGAGAAGCAACAAGAGGAACAGCCATTTTAGATCTGGTCCTAACCAATATTGATGACCTGGTTAGTGGGGTAGAAGTGGAAGAATCATTAGGCGTGAGTGATCATGCTCTTCTGAAGTTTACTATACAGCGGAAAGGAGCAGCCAAGCATACTAGGACTCAATTTCTTGACTTTAAGAAAGCCGACTTCATAAAACTTAGGGAAGTGCTGGGTGAGATCCCATGGACAGTAATACTAAAAGGAAAGGGAGTTCATGATGGCTGGGAGTTTGTTAAGAGGGAGATAGTAAAAGCACAACGTCAGACAATACCAATGAGACAGAAACATGGAAGGTGCCTAAAGAAGCCAGGGTGGCTATCTAAAGAACTTTTAACTGAGTTAAGATTAAAAAAGGGTGTGTACAAAAAATGGAAAAGGGGGGAAACCACCAAAGAGGAATTCAAACAAATAGCCAGCACGTGTAGACACAAAGTCAGAAAAGCTAAAGCACAGAATGAACTCAGGCTTGCTAGAGAGGTTAAAAGCAACAAAAAGGCTTTTATGGGTATGTTCGTAGCAAAAGGAAGAACAAAGAAACAGTGAGGTCACTCAGAGGAGAAGATGGTGAAATGCAAACAGGGGACACAGAAAGGGCTGAACTCCTCAATGCCTTCTTTGCCTCAGTCTTCTCCGATAAAGAAAACAATGCCCGACCTGAAGAATTTGAAGCAAATGATTCAGCAAAGGAAACACAGCCCAGAATAACTAAGGAGATAGTACAAGAATACTTGGCTAGTTTAGATGTATTCAAGTCTCCAGGGCCAGATGAACTGCATCCAAGAGTATTAAAAGAACTGGCAGATGTGATCTCAGAACCACTGGCAGTCATCTTTGAGAATTCCTGGAGAACAGGCGAAGTCCCGGCAGACTGGAGGAGGGCAAATGTTGTCCCTATTTTCAAAAAGGGGAAAAGAGAGGACCCAAATAATTACCGCCCAGTCAGTCTGACATCAATACCAGGGAAGATTCTGGAGCAGATCATTAAGCAAACAGTCTGTGAGCACCTAGAAAGGAATGTTGTGATCACCAATAGTCAGCATGGATTTCTGAAAAATAAGTCATGTCAGACTAACCTGATCTCGTTTTTGACAGAATTACAAGCCTGGTAGATGAAGGGAACGCAGTGGATGTAGCCTACCTTGATTTCAGCAAGGCATTTGACAAGGTGCCCCATGATATTCTTGTAAAGAAGCTGGTAAAATGCGGTCTTGACTATGCTACCACTCAGTGGATTTGTAACTGGCTGACTGACCGAACCCAAAGGGTGCTCATCAATGGTTCCTCTTCATCCTGGAGAAGAGTGACTAGTGGTGTGCCACAGGGTTCTGTCTTGGGCCCGGTCTTATTCAACATCCTTATCAACGACTTGGATGATGGACTCAAGGGCATCCTGATCAAATTTGCAGATGACACCAAACTGGGAGAGGTGGCTAACACCCCAGAGGACAGGATCACACTTCAAAACGACCTTGACAGATTAGAGAACTGGGCAAAAACAAACAAGATGAATTTTAACAGGAAGAAATGTAAAGTATTGCACTTGGGCAAAAAAATGAGAGGCACAAATACAAGATGGGTGACACCTGGCTTGAGAGCAGTACATGTGAAAAGGATCTAGGAGTCTTGGTTGACCACAAACTTGACATGAGCCAACAGTGTGACGCGGCAGCTAAAAAAGCCAATGCAATTCTGGGCTGCATCAATAGGAGTATAGCATCTAGATCAAGGGAAGTAATAGTGCCACTGTATTCTGCTCTGGTCAGACCTCACCTGGAGTACTGTGTCCAGTTCTGGGCACCACAGTTCAAGAAGGACACTGACAAACTGGAACGTGTCCAGAGGAGGGCAACCAAAATGGTCAAAGGCCTGGAAACAATGCCTTATGAGGAACGGCTAAGGGAGCTGGGCATGTTTAGCCTGGAGAAGAGGAGGTTAAGGGGTGATATGATAGCCATGTTCAAATATATAAAAGGATGTCACATAGAGGAGGGAGAAAGGTTGTTTTCTGCTGCTCCAGAGAAGCGGACACGGAGCAATGGATCCAAACTACAAGAAAGAAGATTCCACCTAAACATTAGGAAGAACTTCCTGACAGTAAGAGCTGTTCGACAGTGGAATTTGCTGCCAAGGAGTGTGGTGGAGTCTCCTTCTTTGGAGGTCTTTAAGCAGAGGCTTGACAACCATATGTCAGGAGTGCTCTGATGGTGTTTCCTGCTTGGCAGGGGGTTGGACACGATGGCCCTTGTGGTCTCTTCCAACTCTATGATTCTATGATTCTAGGGTCAGCAAGCTTTTTCAGCTGTGAGCCGGTCCACCGTCCCTCAGACCATGTGATGGATGGGCTGGACTATATTTGGGGGGGGGGGTGAATGAAGTAATTCCTATGCCCCACAAATAACCCAGAGATGCATTTTAAATAAAAGGACACATTCTACTCATGTAAAAACACCAGCCAGGCCCCACAAATAACCCAGAGATGCATTTTAAATAAAAGGACACATTCTACTCATGTAAAAACACCAGCCAGGCCCCACAAATAACCCAGAGATGCATTTTAAATAAAAGGACACATTCTACTCATGTAAAAACATGCTGTGCTGGTCCCGGGGGTTAACCGAGAGGCAAGGTCCAAGTCTAGTCCGTGGTCGATAATACAATATGGAGGCAGTCTGTAAAAGTTGAATCTGGGTGCAGGGCAGGGTTCAGGCAGGAACTGACAACCAACAACGTTGCTCCTGCAAGTTGGGACTGGGGTTGGCTGGCTTTTATCTGCCCCATGGGATAGGGCAGCCCCGATCCTCAGGTGACTCGCCTCTCCTGGCCTGGAGGTGAGCACTCCTCCTGCGGGAACTTAGTTCCCTCCACCTCTCTGCCCTGAGCCTCTGCAGCTCAGGAGAGGTTGGAGGGTTACCGGACCCAGAGGCAACCTCAGCTTCCTCTGACGGGGCTGAGAGTGGAGCATCTGCAGGCAATGGGTCCTCCATCACCTCAGGAGCTAGAGCAGACTCAGCTGGTGCCTGCACCTGAGGATCCAGCACAGGTGAGGACCCCTTCAGTCTCATGCCCCAGCCCCGGCTCAGCTGGTTCTGGAGGCGGGGAATCCTGTGCAGGCTGGGATTCCTCAGGTTCAGCATCCGAATCCCAGGCCATCACACACACTGATTCCCGGACCATCCGCGGGCCGGAATGAGAAGGCGATTGGGCCGCATCCGGCCCCCCGGCCTTAAGTTTCCTACCCCTGGCTTAAAGACTGGCAAGGGGGTCCCCCATGCCTGAAAGGACTGTGCCTTGTTTTATTTCCAGAAGGCTATATCAAAATGCTGTATGAATCAGGGATTCCTGCAGGACCTGTCTCAAACGTCCCCTTTGAAAGTGTGGAGTTACAATACAGTACTTAGGAAAGCAAAACCAGCAGGTTATTTCAGTCTTGCTGCCGCTGCTGGACGCATGCTGAGGATTATTAGCTAAGCCCCAGAGAGTCATTACCTCTTCCCTCAAGCAGGCTGATAGCAGGCTTTTCACCTGGGAGCTTCCTTGGGTTAATTTAATAGTCTTGTCTAGGAAAACCCTTCAGAGATTGCTCTGCAAATCCCAGCCAGGCGGCTAACAGAGATTAGCGTCGCTATGATCTTGCTGCCTGTGATTTTAAATATACTGTTCTGATTCATGTCCAGAGCTGCTAATGACTGTTACTCGGGGAGGAATGGGGAAAGAATATGGAAACACAAAAAAACAACAACCAAGTTTCCTCTTGGAATGCTGCAGCTATGAAAAATAAGTATTTCATGTTGGTTGCTAATTTGAACCGCAAATCCAGAAGACGACTCTGTGGGTAGCAGGTAAACCTCATGAGAATTTGAGATTTTGAGAATGGGGTCAATAACCTGTCAATATGGCACTGGGTTTATTTATTTATTTCATAAAATGTATACCCCACCCTTGATTGTGAAAATCGTATACATTACATTGTATTACATACAATTACATTGTATACATTACCTCAAAATGGTTTACAAAAGATAAAACAGTAAAAGCAAGACAAATCTACAACTTGATTTACAATCAAGATTTTTTAAAAAACCAATTTAAAACATACCAAAGTTAAAATACTACAACAAATTAAAATTACCTCAACTTCCAAAGCATCTGGTAGGCTGGTCTGAACAGAAATATTTTTAGCAGGCGCCAAAAAAGAGTACCGTGAAGGTGCCTGATTGATCTCTTATTACCTCTTTTTGTCTTGTTGCCACCTCCAAAAAAACACCAATCCATTGCCTTTAACTATTTTTGTCAGGAAATAGTTTAGCAAATGTGGGACATGGGTGGTGCTGTGGATTAAACCACAGAGCCTAGGACTTGCTGATCAGAAGGTCGGCGGTTCAAATCCCCGTGAGGGGGTGAGCTCCCGTTGCTCGGTCCCTGCTCCTGCCCACCTAGCAGTTCGAAAGCACGTCAAAGTGCAAGTAGATAAATAGGTGCCACTCCAGCGGGAAGGTAAACGGCGTTTATGTGCGCTGCTCTGGTTCACCAGAAGTGGCTTAGTCATGCTGGCCACATGACCCGGAAGCTGTACGCCGGCTCCCTCGGCCAATAAAGCGAGATGAGTGCTGCAACCCCAGAGTCGGTCACGACTGGACCTAATGGTCAGGGGTCCCTTTACCTTTACCTAGTTTAGCAAATGGTTGGGGAAGGCCCATGGCTGAAGAAGGGGAAGCCACCTTTTCTGGGTAGCCATCAAAGGTCAAGAGAAAGCTACCTAGCAATGCAAGATCAATATAACCAGGCAGGCCACCCCTAGAGATGAGGCTGCACAATTAACATAGCTTAAGAGTTTTGTGATGATTAAGTGGTATATAAATCTATAAATGGAAGGATAGCTTCTATTTGCTTCAGATAGAATGCTGGTCCTCAAGTGCTTCAGTGGAAAAGAGATCGCATTACTGTCCTCTGACTCAAGAGTACTTTAGTACAACAGGAATCTAAAGTTGCGGGAATGGGCAAGTCCCTTTAAACAGCAGAGCTTCTTCTCTCACTTGTGAGGACAGGTTGCAACCTTGTCTGTTGTTATTGGTTGCCGAAGCAACATTCTAAATTTGTTCCAGCTTAAGTGTCACACACAACGGACTGCTTCTGATTGCCTTGCCATGGCCCCTTTAGTCTACTAGAGCCACCACCCTGAGCAGGTCAGACCCACAAAATCATGCAACAGCAAAGAGGCTGCAGGAGTTTTACACATGGAGAGTTGCCAAGTGCTTTGCTTCTGCTTTTCCTGCCTCTGTTGCAATGTGCAAAACGGAGGCTCTCGGCTGCGACAAGAACTGTAAGCTCTAAATGATGCCTGTAGAGGGTGAAATGTTCTCCCCAGGAACAAGATCTCAGAGTCCCTGGTCTCTATGCATTACAACAGAAGCTGGGGAAACAGAAATGCAACTCATTCATGTTTTTTATACAATGCTACTGTTCAAAAGAAATAGACCAAACAGGAAGGGAGGAGGAGTAGCATTGTGGTAGGTCCTCTGCATTGGTGACAGAGAAAAGGCGGAACTACTCAACACCTACTATGCCTCTGTCTTCACCCAAAAGGAAAGCAATGCCCTGGTGATAACAGAATAAATGATGTAAGGAGGGAACTGCAGCCCAAGATAGGAAAAGAGGTAGTAAGGGAACACCTAGCTACTTTAAATGAATTCAGATCTCCAGGGCCTGATCAGCTGCATCCAAGGAGCTCGTAAAGGAGCTTGCGGATATAATTCTAGAGCCTTTAAGAATTCTTGGACAACAGATGAGGTCCCTACAGACTGGAGGCGGGCAAGTGTTGTCTCCATTTCAAAAATGGGAAAAGGGAAGACCCAGGTGACTACCAACCGGTGAGCTAGAAGGTCCTGGAACAGATAATTCGACAGTCGGTCTGTGAGCATTTAGAAAACAATGCTGTGATTACTAAGACCCAGCATGGGTTTCTCAAAAATAAGTCATGCCAGTCCAATCTTTTATCTTTTTTTTAAAGGAATTACAAACTTGGTGGATCAGGGAAATGCTGTGGACATAGTTGTATCTTGATTTCAGTAAGGCTTTTGACAAAGTCCCCCATGATACTCTCGTGGAAGAGGAGACTGAGAGGAGAAATGACAGCCGTCTTCAAATATCTTAAAGGTTGTCACATGAAGGAGGGAGCATGCTTGTTTTCTCCTGCTCTGGAGGGTAGGTCTCAAACCAATGGCTTCAAGTTGCAAGAAAGGAGATTCCGACGAAACATTCAGAAAGTCTTTCTGACAGTAAGAAAGAAAACTGGGGCAGGACACTCTGCGGGACTTCCAAGGAGTCTGCCTGCCTCCTCCCACTCAGCGAGTGCCCCCCAGCATTTTGTCACCCCCCTCAGTAGTGACACCCGGGGTGGACCACCCTCACCACCCCCCTTCCTCCGCCCCTACTTTAGTCACCAAGAAAAAACATGTATTTTCTGCCAAGCCTTTGGCTTTTCATTATCTGTAGCCTCTTTTAGCAGGTGAGATGTTTTAAACCTGCATTTAAAAAATATTTATGTGTTTTAGATTTCCCCCTCTTTTGTTTAAATGTAAATGTTTTTTTAATTATTGTGGTAATTCACTTTGAGTCACTTTTTAAAATAAAAAAATAAAAAGCAACTAATATATATATATATCTATCTCACTCCAAAGCCTATGCATGTTTAACATGTGCACATTCAAGATTTCTAAGCTCAGCAAAAAAAAAAGAGTGGGGGACAGAAAGGGGGCAGGCATTGGGAAGAAAGACTTTGGCAATTCCACCGACCATTGAACCCAATGCATTTTGACTACAGTGATACCTCGGGTTACATACTCTTCAGGTTACATACGCTTCAGGTTACAGACTCCGCTAACCCAGAAATAGTGCTTCAGGTTAAGAACTTTGCTTCAGGATGAGAACAGAAATCGTGCTCCGGCGGCATGGCAGCAGCGGGAGGCCCCATTAGCTAAAGTGGTGCTTCAGGTTAAGAACAGTTTCAGGTTAAGAACGGACCTCCGGAACGAATTAAATACTTAACCCAAGGTACCACTGTATAGACAATTGGGATATAGCCACGATCCCTTGAATGTAACCCCTGCGTACATTGCAGGCTTACTGTGTGTGTGTATATACACACACAAACACAGTATATACACACACACAAACACAATTACAGACTCAATCACTGAAATTTCAAGAAGGCTGATAATTAAGAGGAACATGGAAGTTAAGAACTGCTGTGTATAACAAACACAGCTTTTAAAAATCTACAACATAATGATCAAAGTGAATAAGTAGATTAAGAAAAAAATATTTAAATAGGCCAGGCTTGAGCTCCTGAAAAATCAGTGCCAACCATATCAATTAAATTAACAGTAAATTAACCTGGAAGCCACAAGTCAAGGAAATGCTACAAAATACTTTGTAAAAATTACATTTTATAATCTTATGTCAGCGAGTCTCAGATATTTCAGGGTGCTTTTTAAATATACCCAGTAAACACTGCTGTATTTTGAAACCACAGAACTTCCAGTTTCACTCAAGTTCTCTACAAACCTTCCTATATACTGGCATTCTTTTGCTAATTCTCTTAAAGTGAAAATATACTGAATTTCAAAGATAAATAAGATCAATTTCTATTTCTTTAAGCAGCATTCCTACAACATGTGAAAACTACCAGCTTCACTGGAGTGGATATTGCAACAATACCCATAACTTTCATAAAAGCACCCAGTTCTGCCACTTTTACAAGGCTTCACACGTACTTTTTTTTTAAAAAAAAATAGTATTTATTAAGGTTTTAAGTTTACAAAAAGGCAAAAGAAAAAAGAAAAAACACCAAATTAAACAATAGCAAAACAACACATCACAATAAAAAACAGAAAAATAGAAACAATTAAAAACAACAACAACAACAACAACAACAAACAAATCAAGCCTTCCCATAACTTATCTTTCATTTGCTTGTTTCCCTGACCTCCTCACACCTCCCTTTTTTGTATTCTACACACGTACTTCTACCACCATCAGTGTGACTCTTGAATAATGGCAATATCTGATAACTGGGATCAAAATATAAAATGAACACACGCAATTGCATTTGAAGCAGCCCTATTTCGTAAACGACCCTTAACACATTTGCTACATGCTACACGGTGCAATTTCTGCCATAGGTTTCTCAAGAAATGGCAATGCACATATAGAAAATATTTCTAGTTTAAAGATTCTATTCTACACTGACCTGTCTAGTTGCTGCAGGGCAGTAAGGAGAGAGACAGCCCTGTTGACCTGGGCACTTCTTGTGGCTGACCAAGTCAGGATGAGGAGCTAAAAATCAGCTGTGCTCAATTTGAAACACCTGGCCCACAGACTTGTTTACAGAGCACAGCTGTAGCACCTGCTCCTTACTAGTCCCTGATCCATCTGCTGCTTTTTTGTTTGGTTTGGAAGGAATGGCTGTAGTGGTTGGTTGTTGGGTATTTACTGCTTGGAGAAAGACCCAGAGCAGAAAGATGGGATATTGATGAAGTTGTGACAGTCCTATTAGCACATTAGCTATTAGAGCTAGGTGCCCTCCACTAATTCTTGGGTGTATGGCATGCAAGGAGTGAACAGGCAGGTGGGGGAAGATTATTGTCATTTTAAATCCCAAGTCTATACAAGGTTTTTAATCAGGTCAGCTGCTTTTGTTGCACAAAGTGCCTATCTCATTGTTTAACACAAAATGTTTGTTCTGATTTGTTTTCCCACAAAGCAGCTTCCATTCGAAATAAGAAAAGTTATAATTATAAATTATTATTATTATTATTATTATATACCACCTTTTATCAGATGATCCCAGGGTGGTGTGCAACATTAAAAACACATTACAGAATGATACAAACATAACGAAGAACATACTGACAGACAGCCTAATAATAAAATAAGTCATCATAAAAACAGTCCACTCCCTAACACTTTGACAAAGTAATGGCCTAGCTGCATTTCAAGCAGCCTTAGGTCACCTGCCAATGTCTGGCTCCCTGTATTTTCCCCTTCCAGAAGTGAAGTGGCTGGCACCTAGAGAGAGGGCCTTTACCAGCAGTGGCACCCAAACCATGGGGCCTCCTTCTCTAGGAGGTGCTGAGGGAAGCCAACCTTGTTTTCATTTAGGCCTCAGGCAAAAAATAATTTTATTTGTTCGGGCTTTTAATGTACTTGTAAGTAGGGTTGACTGCTCTCTTACTTGACCATATCTTTTATTTTCAGGTGTTAAGTAGAAGTGTTTGCATTGCATTCTTATATCTTGCAAATTGCCCTGAAATTAATTTTGAGGAAAGGTGATATGAAAATGTTTTAAATAAATTATGTTGTCAAAGAGGAAAACACGATTATTTATTCACTCTCACTCTCTCACACACACACCCAACACACACATTAACTAGGTCACTGCAATTTTGAAGATTGTACAAAATATGGAGAAGGGAGGAGAGAGACACCAGAAAGCACCAGGGTTTTGGTTTTTTTTAAAGCAGGTACTCGGGGAAACTGAGTTCCCTTACCTTTTAAAAATTAAATATTTTTTTTTTTAAATGGGGCGGGGGGCTGGAACAGTTATACACACAATGCCTGAGCCAAAAACCCACCTATATCTGTAATCAATAAAATTGTGTCTATTTCTAATCCAGATCATTGTCTGCTTGAGTTTATCAATCACATCTTATGTTTAGCCACTGCCCGGCGGGGAGGGGTGAGGAGGGACTGCGACTAGGCCCACAATAAGCAAAGAAACATCATGGTGAGTTCCCCCACCTTTCTTTCCAGAAAAAAGCACTGGAAAGCATTATTGCTATCACTGATGAGGATGATGAGTAATTAGCACAGCTCCTCTCCCTCACCCCCACCCAGACATCAGTGTTGTATAGCAAAGCAAACAAACGATCAACGTGACTTATCTGGGAGTTTAAAAGGATATGTCTTAAATCATACTGCAAGATAAGTCCTTTTTTGCTTCTTATCTGCATATACCTTGTTGCCTCCTATAGCAATAAACCCTGAGATTTTGAGCTCTCTTCTGCTAACACAGTGTAGAATAACCTTATGAAGGAGATCGGGATCATGCAGAGCCAATAGATCCCAGAGTCTATAACTGGAGAAATTCTGGATGGAGGTCAGTGGTAGGGATAAGAAGTGTGATCCTTCCCGCTTCCTTGCGTACTCATCCTACAGTATCTCTTGACTAAATAGAGCTTCGGTCTTGAGTGCTTCCTGCCTCTCCCAGCAAACATTACCATCACAATTCCAGTCTGAATTAGGTTTGGGCTGGATATTGTGCTGCTGCTGTTGAACCAAGATGAAAATATGGTAGGAGCAAGCTCTGAACTATTTGAGGAAGTGGTTGTTATGTATTCAGTGGTTTGTGTTTGCCCGAGTTTGAGTCTGCACCAGGGTGGATAAAAATCAATGCTTTTTAAAAAATAATTTAAAAATCGGATTTTTTAAAATTTAAATTGGGATTTTTAAAAATTTAAATTGGATTTTTAAAATAAAATGCTTTTGGAGGGAAAATCTTTCTAAAGACAGTTTTCTATTTAAGTTACATTATAGTCCAAAGGCTATTCATCAGGAAATAAGGATTTGTTTTAAGTTTTTCATGTGTGCTAAAGCTCAGTCTAAGGTGTTTGGGTTTGTTTTTTTTAAAAACACACCGTTTAACCACATCAGTTAACAAACATGGATACATATGCTATAATGTTATTGTTTCAGTTAAATAAATTTTTTAAATTGTTATTAAGGAAATGATTATTTTTCTCCTTCCAATAAAGTACAGCAGAAAAATTGTCAAAAAAACCATACCAGTTAACTTATTAAACCTCTCAATAATTTCATACTTATCTATGTATTTCTAATAGTATCACCAAATCAGTAATTTTTTATATAACTGTAAAAACTACTCTGAAAATTTATTATTCCAAAAATGAAACCTTCATCTGGTTGTAAATATTAAGATTATGCCAGCAAGATTGTGTCTTTCTGTAAAAAAAAAAAAGAGAGAGAGATTTAAACAAAGTCTTACTGACTAGTGATTTAAATCATGATTAAATCATGATTTAAATTGATTTGATTTAAATCAAATCCACCCTGGTCTGGACTAAAGATTCTGAGCCCCTGTGTTCTGATTTGATACATGATATCCAATCACATAACATTTCAGGATTTGGGCCTCTGCCACTGGCCCTTAAACACTTGAGTCATGATTTGCAGCTTGGAAGTTTAGATAGCCAATCATGTTGGGAGTGGGAGTGGCCCAGGCCTTCAGAAATGTATACAAGTTGATTTGCCCCTGTTGTCTAGTTCTGTTAGTTCAATAAAGGTTCTTGCAGTTATCACTGTGTCTTGCCTCATGGGAACCCACCTACACTTCAGTGGTTATAGATAAAGACACAGAGCAGGAGCTGGGAACAATCCCTTGGGTATACTGAACCCAAGCTACTCATGTTTGGCAAAAGGTTCCACATATTCAATACAATATCCACTTTTTCAAAAGCTAACCACAGGGTTATTCTGTGATTTCCCCCCTCTTAAGATAAACTGTGCTGTGTGAAATATTGATGGGAAACATTATGCACTGTTTGCTTCCTGGGACTGGAGCAAGCAGATCTCTCATACGAAGATCACAAGACAAAAATAGCAACACATGAGAGGAGATGGAATTTACTAATGCCTGCCAACCAAGTCCCTCCTTGCTTGGATGATGGCATTCAACCTATTTCAGCATGAGTCTGTTTTAAATAACTTCTAACCTTTCCCTCCCCAGTACTTTCAATTTCATAGGAAAAATGCATACTGAAATGGCTCCGTCTACATAAAGGAGGCTTGAATACTTGTGTTGTACCACTTTCTTCCTATAAACTCCATATTCCTTTTTAAAGTGAGTGGGGGAATTCTTGCTTACGCATCTCATGGACAGATCATTGTGTTTTGAGTATGGGGAACACCCAGGTCAAAACAACCAGTCCATGGCAGCCAGTCTAAGGCCACCCTTGCCTTGATCATCCCTGATACTACCTTGATATTCCACCTTTCCCCCCCTCATGTGCCATTCTGAACATCAAAAGCAGAAGGGGGCTCACGGCGGAAGTTTCCGTGGGACCTACAAGGGTGGATATCATTCTTCACAGGAGGAGGATAATCTCCTAGGGGCCCTGGTAATTGTAGACTGGTAAGGTGCCTTGGATGTCACCCTGCCCCAACCCCCCCATTACAAAATGGATCAGAGGTCAGAAATTCTTCTACACTCTTTAATACAATATAGCAGGGGTGGCCAACTTCCAAGAGACTGCAATCTACTCACAGAGTTAAAAATTGGCAGTGATCTACCCCATTTTGGGGGGTTCAGGTCAAAGCTGTTAAGCTTTTTGAGGGGAGCCAGTTATCTACCAGTGATCTACCACAGACGTCACGATCTACCTGTTGGACGTGCCTGCGATACAGAGTTAACAACTGAGATCCAGATTGGGAACATGAACTGATTTCCCACCAAAACATGCTCTCCCCACAACTGCTATTTAAATTTGCAAGGGCCTATAGCTACGAGCAACAAATATTTATCATTATCAAATATTGTTTGCCTCTAAAAGGTGTTGCCTGTTGCATTCAGCACCTCTGGGAGCAACCAGGGTGATTTTAAAGCTGTGTTGGGTTCCTGTCCCGATCAGCAGCAGTACGTTCTGAATTTGGGCTCTTCAGCTGCTTTCTCTTGAAAATGAAAATAGCCACTTTTTACTTTTAAAACAGTAACATAAGGTCAACTTTGGCCTGAGTTAACCCCTATCTACATGAATAAAGGATTTCACAGCATTATCCGTTTTTCTTTCAGACACACTCACCTGTTGATTTTTAACAGGCCATTTGCAGGGCACTGTGTATCTTTGTAAAACCATAAACTCCAACCAAGGGGGCGGGGGAAGCAACCCTGATATTATTTACACAATATTTTTATTCCTCTTCTGTAATATGAAAAGGGGAGGGTCCAAGAGCCCCTGCTTTTGCTAGTGATGACTGATTCTCCGTCAAGTCACTCTCTGAAACTCTAATGGCACAACCAACTCTTAAGTTCAAGAGCAAATGCTGATTTTCCAAGCATATTTATAGAAGTGCTTATCTTACTAAACCAAATCTGTTCTCCCCCACGCCTTGCCAGTAGGGAATAGTGAGCATGAAACTGGTATTTGCTAAAGCTCCGTGCATTTATTACAGACTTGCTGCAATTCGAAACTATGCAAACAGGAGGAGAAATAGGATTTGCAAAGCAAATCACCAACCGGGAAAAGTCAAATATTAACTTTAGCAGAGATATATCATGTGAAAGTTCAGCAAGTAACAACAAAAAATAGATTCCTGGAAGTATTTCTAGCCTCTTTGGATGGTCAGTACAAGACAAACAACTCCGATTTTCAGGAAAGGTCATGATGCGTGCTGAATTATTATGCTGTTTAAGGAAGGGAGGAAAGCTCAGCAGTGGCACGAGGGGAGATTCTTTTATTTCTATTCTTTCACACAACTGCTGGTCCCAGGAGCATCCCCCCATTCAGTGCAATGGCACCCCTTTTGGACATTACACTGAACGTGCAAACATTATGGGAAGGAGCACACAAAAGGTGGGGTGGGGGCCATTGGGTGCAGTCTGGCTTCCAAATCCATATCTTTGGTATACATATTGGGGGTGAAGAAGCAGCACCTGAACAGGACTGTGGTGAGCTGGTGTACACACACCACTCAGCACAATGAGAGATCTGCTGTGAAGAAACCTAGCACCCATACTGCTGTCACATGGCATAGCTAAGTCTTTGTTCACCCAAGATCTCCCATGCATTAGCATCTAACAGCATTCTCTCCCCCCCCCCACGCATTTGCAGGAATAGCAATATTATCTCTCTCTCTAGCTAGCCTTTTATTCACAATAGAGGAAGCTCCAGTCTATCTCCCAAGGCTTAGCTCCACAGCCAATTTGAATGAGATGGCCAGGACAAAAATCTATAAAGAACAGAAGGCCCGAGTCTATGCTGAGTGCCTCTCTCACTGCTAAGTACAGTCATTTACATGTTTTATGCTACCTTGTGCGATGCAAATGCACTGGATAGATGGGGCAGCCATTTTCTAAACAAATAAATCGTATCCATCATCAGAGACTTTTCAAAACACTCAGAAATTCACCATTTAAAAATCTTTATCATTACAATTCATGGGCTGGGTGGGTGGAAGAAGGAGATGAGCTTAATCCATGTTGTGATATTTGGTGGAAAACAAAAGCAAAGGAGAGTCCTCCTTTAGTATTATGTGAAACTGAAGAACCGAGTGAAACATTACTTCTAAAGGCATCACTTCTTATGCATCACAGCCTCAATTAAGGCAACCACCTGTTTCCTTATGAGCCTGTCCTTTAAGGTCTTTATCAGAGGTCCTTCTTCAGTGGTCCACACCTTCAGACATTTGGAGGTGGCAACAGGAGACAGTCCCTTTTTGGTGGTTGGACCCCAGTTGTGGAACACTCTTTATGGCATGGGTAGGCAAACTAAGTCAAGATCCGGCCCAATTGCCTTCTAAATCCGGCCCGCGGACGGTTCAGGAATCAGCATGTTTTTACATGAGTAGAATGTGTCCTTTTATTTAAAATGCATCTCTGGGTTATTTGTGGGGCCTGCCTGATGTTTTTACATGAATAGAATGTGTGCTTTTATTTAAAATGCATCTGTGGGTTATTTGTGGGGCATAGGAATTTGTTCATTATTTTTTTTTCAAAATACAGTCTGGTCCCCCACATGTTATGAGGGACAGTGGACCGGCCCCCTGCTGAAAAAGTTTGCTAACCCCTGCTTTATGGGGATACTAAGATGGCACTTACTTTGCTATATTTTAGGTGCCAGATAAAAATCTTATTTTTCTGAGCCTTTAACAGATGTTTTTATTGCTATCAGGGTGCCGTTGGTTTTCAATAGCAGTTTGTTTGTTTGTTTTGTTTTGTTTTGTTTGTTTGTGTACTTTTATTTCATTTAGTACTGTTGTTTCGGGCTTTAGTGCTGCTTTAATTGCTTTTTGTTTTAACATACTGTTCATTCACTGCTATAGCGAGCAGCCGTGGAACGTTTTATGCTGAAAGGAAGGGATGTATGCCAGCAGGTCAGCACCCACACTTATTGAAAGCTGCTCTGGTGTAGATGTTCTGCAAGTGGTAAAAGAGAGAGGGAGCAGCCTTGAATCCACATGATCCCAACATCCCCCTGTTCCGCTGCCCCAAACATAGCAACAAAAGGGCCAAGAACTACATCAGAGCTGGTGCAGTTAACTTCCTTCCCACTGATGTTTCATGGGGAGTTGGGGGGAGATGTTTGTGGGTGGAGAGAGAAAACGCTGTCTCCCCACCCTTCCAACCTGGGTTCAGAAAGAAGTCCACATGGTTTGCCTGTTTATGATTAACACCAGAATTCCTAGGTCATGGGCTGGGGCTACACTACAATTTACAATAGAATATGTCTTGTTGCATTGATATTAAGTACCTTCTTTTAAAAAAAGATGTTCATCTAATGGAGCTTCCCACAATCTGTATCCAACGCAACTGTGAAGTCCTAAGCAAAGGGTTCGTAGAAGCAATGTGTAGAACTGACGTTCAAAGCTGCAGACCACCGATGGCCAGAATTCTACCTTGCAGCCACTTCTCTGCAAACTCCCAATGTTGCTAAATAAAAAATGATGATCTGCTGAAAGCATGGCAGATATTTCTTGCATCATTAACAGCTTTCAAGGAAGCTATAAAATTAACTCATGTTAATTTTATTCAGTGGCTATTGGCTTTCACTTAGCTCAGCTGTTTGACAAGGGTAATATTGTATTTCAGAAACAGTCCTTGGCTCATAGAGTGCATAGGATGCTGCCTTATCCGGGCTTGGGACTATTTACCCATGTTGTTCTGTATTGCCTGGGCCTGAAGTGGTTCTTCAAAGTCTCAGCAAGACCAGCTTTTCTCAACACCTGTTACCTGAAGTTCTTTTAATGGAAAATGTCGAGGGCTGAACCCTGAACCATCTCCATGATGCAGCCCCCACCCCCCGGGTACCTATTTTAGAACTGTATATCAAAAGATCACAGCAAGAGATAATGGTAGTGCTGACCATCTGGGCTGTAAATCACAGTCTCAAAACTGGCTTTTATGAAAGATGCGGTCTCACAGTTCTTTCTTGGAGGATACCTGCAACAAATCCAAAAAGGTATCTAACTAATTAGTTTAAGTGAGGTCATGCACGATGACATTTGTCTTATAAAAAATAGCTACCTCTTTCCCATAACTTTGAATCCCATCACATTCCCCACGACAAACAGCATAAGGTACTTCTATTTACTGCCTGGTTAAAACACACCCACCCACCCACCCCACAATTACTAGTTCTCAAACTAGTTGATACAGAGTACCACTTCCATTTTTTCTACAGGTTCAAATCTAGTCAGGATTTCGTACTCTTCGAACTACAAAACAGAGCAAAGGTTCAGTAGAAAGAGAGTCCAAATTCTGCACAGAGAAAGATTGGATTCTGCTATACCTGGACAAATGAGGCTTGTAAATAAGCTGCTTGCTTCCACACAACCAAGTCATTAAAGCCTTAAAAAACACAACACTTATATTTCCCTTGGGGCTAAGAAGACTGAAGCATAGCTGGAGGAAAGGTAGCATGCATATGTGATAATCCAGGCTACATATTTCCCAATAGCTGATGGACAGGACAAACAGAGTTCTTCAAAGCACTTATTTATACTCTTAAGCCCCCCTAGACATCCTGTTTGGGACATCACCAGGATGCGCCCCCACCCCAACAAAGCTGAAATTCTAAGGAAGTTGAATTCTGCAACCAATACTAATTTCTAAACTTAACTTGTGCAAGTTCACCATTGCACAACAAGTTGCCCTGAAAACAAATGAGAAATTGCAGGGCATTTCTACTCAGAAATAAGTCCTGCTGAATGCAGTGGGGCCTACTTGCAAGTAGGTGAAGTTAGGAGTCCAGTCTTACTTCTGGGAAAGAGAAATCTAGTACTAAAACCTCCTCTTCTAAGGTAGGGGCTCACACAGCATTGTGATAGCAGCCTGTCCAGACTTCTCCCTGACAGACCTTTCAACTTGATTTATGTAGCACTAGGCAAACATTAAGAAATAAAACAACAGAAAACCCCCCGCTAGATTTGTAGTGCTTGTTGCAGAGATAACACTGAGAAAGAGGTGCATTCAGCTCTTTACCTGTGGTACAAGCCTGGCTTTCTCCTGGAGTGGACACACCAGCAAATTTTGGTTATTGGAGAGCAAAGAAATTAAGCTTCTAAATATATAAGAATCAAATCCTGGGTAAAGCCATCAGTCGTACCTCTGCATCCCAAGATTCAGACAGGTTGCCCATGTTTCTTTTCAGAGAAGGGCTACAGCTCAGTGGTTGAGCACCTGCTTACTTGCAGAGGGTTCAAAGTATAACCACTGCTATCTTCAGTTGGGGATGGGAATGTTCCCTGACAAACCATGGAGAGCAGCTGTCATTCATACTGAGCTACATGGAACAATGATCTGGCCGATGATCTCACATCTTCACCCCTAGTGAATAATATGGTTTTCTCCCACCCACAAATCTTGGCTTTGTATTTTTCTATGTTCTTAAAGTGGTGCATGTATATTTATTTACCTACTCATATGTTCCTCCATCACTATTTATTTTTAAAGAAAGAAAGAAAGAAAGAAAGAAAGAAAGAAAGAAAGAAAGAAAAGGCTGGAGCTGTGTGACATCACAGCAACTCATCAGTCAACTTTCCGCCAAAGAACAGGTCTTTTTCTTCCAAGCTTGTCTTGAATGTGGCAAAGCCATTCCCAAACAGATGTCACTGTTTTACAAAAGTTACACCTGTTTTCACTTAGTATGAATTGCTGCCAGCTATATCCATGACTGGGAGGTGGGTGGCGCTGTGGGTTAAACCACAGAGCCTAGGGCTTGCCGATCAGAAGGTCGGCGGTTCAAATCCCCGCGACGGGGTGAGCTCCCGTTGTTTGGTCCCTGTTCCTGCCAACCTAGCAGTTCGAAAGCACGTCAATGTGCAAGTAGATAAATAGGTAAGGTAAGGTAAATGACGTTTCTGTGCACTGCTCTGGTTTGCCAAAAGCGGCTTAGTCATGCTGGCCACATGACCTGGAAGCTGTACGCTGGCTCCCTCGGCCAATAAAGCTGTACGCTGGCTCCCTCGGCCAATAAAGCAAGATGAGCGCCGCAACCCCAGAGTTGTCCACGACTGGACCTAATGGTCAGGAGTCCCTTTACCTTTACCTATATTCATGATCGCTCAAATTCAGGTTGCTATCTCTCTCTCTCTCTCTAACACACATACATATAAATATATATCTATATTATATGCTTTGAAATGAAGAGGTAACAATATTATATTCCATCATCATTATAGATTTGAAACCATCAGAAATTTTGGAACTAGATTATCTGCAGTTGTAGTTGACAAAATCAGAATCTAGTAATATTCTGCAAAGTCACACAAACCACAGAATGGATGACTAGTTTCCCCTTCCTTAAACTGCAAGATAATTTTTATTTTATTTTAAATAGCACTAGTAAGGTGTGAAAGAGAGCCTACTGTATATATAGTTGAATGAGTTTAATGGGAATAAATGCAATAGCTGTGGCTCATTTGTTTGCTTTTTTTGTTTGTTTGTTTGTTTAGTGGGGGGAGAGATGCAAATTAAATGGAAATGCCTCATTTTCACAGTGGCTGAGAATAGCACAGCAGCACATGGAGACGCACAGCTGGTATTCAAGCTCTAAGCTACTACCCCAGCTGAATGGCTATCAGTATTAAGTGCCAACCAGACTAAGACAAAACATCACCCAGCAATTGTTCTTATTTTTTTTTGCCCCTGATTCGGCAGTTCCACTCTTTTAAATTCAGATACTAATTTAGTCTGAAGCAATATACAATGCAGATCATATTGTGCAAGAGTCTATGGTGTTGGGTTCATGCCAGTCATTTCCTGAACAGATTGCCAATAGAGGATTGTTCCCAATTTGCAACGAGGGGACCATCTGGGAAGAGAAGGAATATGCTAGGATATGTAATTGGGGCTTTCAGTTAAGTAAATAGGACACCTGAAGATCGTAAGGCCTGTGGAAAATGGGAAAATGAATGCCATGGAACGGGCAGAGGAGAACAACAAAACATGGAAACCAAATTGGATCAGCGGTTGGATCAAAATGTAAAGGACAAACAAACCTCAGCTGCGGATGCATCACTGTTTTTTGTCTCTCCTTTTCTCTTAATAGGCATGTGCTGAAGCGAATGTATTCCATGTTCCCATGGACAAACAATGGTGTCGGATTGCCAGGGCACACTGCTATAAACGTCAGCAGCACCGTAGCAAGCTTTCAGATATAGAGATTCCTGAATGACACTCATTTATTCCACTGGGAATTGTGCAGGAGAATTCCCTGCTTAGACTGTGCCCAAAGACTGCTCTTTCCCTACTCTTTTAGTAATGCAAGTCTGTTTCATTCAGCATTTCAAACAGCCCGAGCAGTCTCAGATTGTAGTAACTGGTTGGCCACATCACCATCTAGACCAGAGTTTACCAAACTTGAGTCTCCAGCTGTTTTTGGACTACATCTCCCATCATCCCTGACCACCGGTCCTGCTAGCGAGGTGTGATGGGAGTTCTAGTCCCAACAGGAGCTGTAGACCCAATTTTGGCAAACCTTGATCTAGACCAGCGGTTCTCAACCTGTGGGTCCCCAGATGTTGTCCCATCATCCCTGAGCTCTGGCCTTGCTAGCTAGGGGTGATGGGAGTTGTAGTTCAACAACATCTGGGGACCCACAGGTTGAGAAAAGCTGGTCTAGACTACGGTTTCCAAACTAGACGATTGGTTTAGTTGGAACGCTACTGTTTTTGATTCCCCACACATACGCTAGCGGCTATCGAAACACTTTAGTGGCACCTTCACATCCTCTGCAGCTAACCTCTTAAGATTCACACATGTAGCTTTGGTTTCTCATCAACATGCAAAGAGGCACGTCGACTCTAAAACTCAACCTACAACCTGCTTCTGCGCTCAACCACATTCACACTTCAGAAGATCTTCTGATGGCCAGTCTAAATCTTACCTTGTGCCATTTCAGTCCATTTAAACATATCTTGTTCATGGAGGACAGCCTAGCCTTATTTTCCTTTAGTGCATTTTAAAGACGTTATCAAATCCTATCATTCTAGAAACACGGTAATGGGAACGAAGCACATTCCACTTAGCTGAAGGCCTCAGTAACAATAGTAGAAGAAACTGCCATGTTACCTGTCAACCCTCTAATAAGGCAACCAAATAAGGTGTTTACCTTCATTGCAATTTCACTATGTTGATGACTCACCTTTTTATCAAGTGTTAGAAACTCAGATATGTAAGCTAGGCGCCAAATGGCTCCTTAAACCAAGGTTACAGTCACCAAAATGGAACGTCTAGCTGCCATTTTGGGGAAAGACAGCTGTAAAGTATTCTTTTTCAAATGATGCACTAACTGCGATTGACTATCAGTGAAACATCTGCCTAGTTTAGATCTCAACCTTGAGCTAGGTTAAGAACTTTGAGAATTTAAAGAAGAAAAGTCACTTTGTCTAGGGACGGTCTGCATATATACTGGCCTTTTCCTACCTCTTTTTGTTAATGGTGACATGAACCACTCATAACATAAGAATATTCTTCACAACTGTGAGAGGGCTGTGGGGTAGGTTAAAGTAAAGACAAGCTACAACAATTAACTATAACATTGTTCACTGCTCCTGCTCAGGCTGTGTAGAAAAAGCACTTTGGTTCCCCAACTTCATTATGATTGTGCAGGTAAGATGTAAGTGGCAGAATTCTACAGGATGTAGTATTAGTGTGTGAAAACTGCAGTTCCCCCTCCCGTTGCCCTTAAGAAACTACAGTTTCCAGAATTCTTTGGGGGGAAGAATGTGTCTTGGATATGTTTAGAGTGCATGGTTTGGGTATGCCCTGCCAAGCAAATCTGTCTCAGCCCCAGTCCAACAACCTGCAATATGGGGATAATAATGCTGACCTACTTTAAACGGGTCACTGTAAGAATCACAATATTATATATGGGAAGTGTTCTAAACTGTTGTTGTATTTTTTTATTTTATTTTTTAAAAAGAACAAAATTTCTTGCAGGAGGAAAAGTACTTTGGTTATACATTATACAGAGTCCTGATTCTCAACATCATGGGGCTCTGTCCGCTGGGAGTTCCAGTTTTCTGTTCTTGGCTGCACCTTGGGAACAACACATTGCACTGTCATTTGATCTGTACCGGACGGCGATCAAGTCTAAATAAGCTAATAACTACAACCATCCTTATCTGGTACTTCCCCTCATAAGCAGTTTGGACACGGTGACCTTGACGGTTTCCTTTCTCTGTATAAACTGAAACCAGCATCTCTTGAACTTACCCTTTCCCATAACAACTGTGGCTACTGGTAACCTGACACATCACTTGATCTGAACAATTCAATACTTCTTTTCTATATCCCACCGCTTTACTTCTGAGTACGCACACACACGATTATGCACTGCTATTCACCTTTTAAAAGCAACACAATCCTCTCTGAGGGCACCCTAATTTGAGGTAACATTTCAAGTACATTAAAAAATATATAGATAAAAACTTCTTGTCATGCTATCAGGTACAATATTTTCTGCCATTCCAGGTGGAAATATACTTAAAAGTTTATTCCCAACTTTGACATGCATGCAACACTACAGAAGGTTCTGGATTGCTGCATCTTTCCCCCACAGCCAAGCCAAAGGCAATACGAAAGCATGGATCCCCAAGTTTGTGATTATGCCACCCTCTGCAACTGCATAATGTGCATCTTTTGCTGGCTGAGTCAGCCAAGAATGCTATTTATTTGCAATATTCATATGCCCATTGCAGATTTGTCCTGGTCTGGTGCATGTAATGTTTTTCATTTTGTAGTTGTGTGATTTGTGCTCATACTGTACTGTGATGTCCATTGGCTATGAACAATAAAATCAGCTGGCTGACTATATAAGCATACTGCCCAATAGCAAAGGTTCTCTGGGTAGTTTACCAGTGAAAATTAAAAACAGAAAGATAGAAACATAAAGCAGAAAAATATAAAACAAGTAACAGGATAAAAGCAGAATCCAGAAAACCAAACCTTTCAACTTTTTTATGATCAGGAAACGTAAACATCATGGTGCTAAGGTTATTTTCCTGGGGGGGGGGGGGGCCAGAAAACAGGCATACTTCTCTACCTCTTGCAGGTTTTAGGAAGTGGTGTGATGTTTGTTTGTGTGTGTGTTGTCTATCCTAAACAAAGCTTTAAAATATTTTGTAAATGTTATTCTAACTTCCTGTTAATACCATTAACAACAAAAAAAGGCAACTTCCATTCTGTAAACCATGAAAGGGCTTTAGAGTACCACAAGGGAGTGTGAAATTTAAGGAAGGGAGATGGTCCTGAGGCAGGTAGAAAATTCCCTTCCCTTCTCTCCTACATCAGACAAAAAATAGGTGAATGCCTCCAGGAAGGGAGCCTTCACAGACTCGCATCTGATTTGTGATGAAGGAAGCAGAGAAAACGATGGCCAGAGTTCTCTAGGTATGGTTTCTGAAGTCAAATCTCCTGTTCTGTTCCTCTTCTAATGCCAATGTTGGGCAAATCCAACTCAAATTCAGATACTGCATGCACTGATGCATAAGAATCTCCATACTCACTTGTCGAATGGTGTAGGGTTGTGGAGCAGGAGTCACAAAGGTAGAAGAGGTTCAGAAGAGGAACCACCAAGCTCAAAAAGTGTGCAAAATACTGCTTCAGGGATAGGATGAACAACCATAAGCACACAAGCACCATCAGGCCAAAGGACCATCTAGTCTAGCATCCTGTTATCACAGTGGCCAACTAGATACCATGGGTGGTATGCAACTAAATTTTACTAGACCCACTAGAAAAGTTAGGCCCATTGATGTCAATGGGTCTGATCTGAGTAAAACTAAGTTTATTTATTTTGTACGATTTATATACTGCTCGACGGTCATAAAACCTCAGAGTGGTCTACAAAAATGAACAATGAAACTATCACTAACCATGAAAAATGAACAATGAAACTATCACATGCCAATATTCCGTATTCCTCAATCCTTGAATGCTACCCACATGTCTTTATAGAGAAAATTAAATAATAATGTGCCTCTCCAAAGCTCATTTCGGGGGGGGGGTAGTCTTAAGTGCTAGGGGCAGAATCAAATAGCAAAGGGGGAAAAGGCTTGGGTCTTATGTGCATTAAAACAAGCCAGGAACACAGAGTTTCAGGCATGCACGGGGCACCTCGCTATGCATCCGAATTGCACATGTCTAGAATCAATGAGGTGGAATCAATGAGGTGGTGTTCTGTGGTGTGCTACCTTTAAACCTGTTCCCAGAAATGGGTGTTCTAGAGGCAAGTCTGAATGCAAGGTGAAGAATCACCTTGGCTACTGCAGACCTCTCACAGTTTCAGCATGCTTAGTGCACATCTGAAGCCGCCCTAAGACAAAGGAGAGATAATGGCCTTTTGCAAAGAGGAACATGGGAAGGAAAAAAACACACCTCGTAACACTTCCTCTGATTGGCTGCAGCACTGCTAGCCGTCAAGCTTGCAAAAGCAGTTAACCTGTCTTGGACTTGGGGTGGGGCTGAACAAAGCCCTGGCTAAGGTTATTCTCTGAAATTCTCAACTTTATAACCATTTGGAGTTTGCTGTTAACGAAAAGGAAGTAAAATAAATTTCATAAAATAAGCAGGGTTCTCTCCCCCCCCCCCAATTCCACACACCCTTTTAAAAACCAGAAATTGCATTAATCAGGATGTCATGGAAACAAAAGCTTGCCCAGCTGTTATCAGAAGGGAAGCCAGTTAGTTACCACACTGGCAACTCTATGAAAGAGTACTGTTCGGCAGACAATAAGGAAGTCCTTTATTTTCAGGACTATTTATATAGATGGCTTTTTGCCGTTAGCTATTACCCTGTACACCCTTGGGTAAAAGTGTTGAAGCAATAGCAGCCATTCCTTTTTCTTTTTGATCATGTAGACGCTTTGCAAGTTGCATTCCCCAGGTAATTCACAAGTGCCAGGCTAAAAAGTGTTCAACATTCTACTTTTAGTACCAGTTACTGGGAAATGTATATGCAAAAAAAAACCCCAACCCAAAGTTAAGAGACGAGGCCAGTAATGCAACATTTCTTGGGAAAGCGAAGAAAACTAAAACAATGCACAGATGGTGATGCGTTTTATTCTCCCTTGACCTTCAACAGGCATTGTGTTATGATGAGTGGGAAGCGGAATCAAAAGAACCAGTTAACCCTTGGAAACTTCCAAGTCCTTTAAGGGCTGAAGTTGTTGTCCCACACTATTACCAATCTAAAAGAACTGGGACCTCTGTAATCAGGAACCTAGATTAACCACTGTGGCGAATAAATTCCTTCCCACCGTGAACAAAAATCAGATCACAAATTATTTTGGTGCATGTCATACCATACCCTTGTAAGTCAGCACAACATCTTATTTTTATTTCCCTTTTTGTTTATAAGCCTACTGGGCAATACTGATTCCCAGTGGTGTCACTGTCATCGCAAATATTATCAGGACTAAGGTCCAATACACAATTCTCTCTCACTTTGGTAGCTTCCCAATGGTTTTTTAAAATGGAAAACAAACCTGCCATACATCTCTGCTGCCTCCTTTGCACCAGACCCAGCTTGTAAGTTTCAATATGCAACCAGCCACTGACATTATATAGGATTATTATTATTGCTTTCACTATATCCCCAATGCTGCAGTCCATCACACCAGCAAACCAAACTTTAGAAGCTTTTAAACAAAATTGCGTTTTATTATATAGCAGCAAGCTGGCACTCCATTGTTAAATAGGTTCTAGCTGCCCAGCACATAATCCTGCAGCAATCCTTCAAACACTCTCATTATCACATGGGTAACTCTTTAATTACTGCAACTGCAATAGCAAGAGGTGTGTGTGTGTGTGTGTGTGTGTGTGTGTGTGTGTGTACATGCACACGCTGCTCTCTCAGTCTTGCTCACACACAAAGAACATATTCAAGCAAAACCACATTTTCTTTTGGATCTTTTAAGCGGCCTGGATTCGGAATCACTGACAGCTCTTGGCTGTCTGGCCGCCAGAGTCAAAGACACGCAGAAGGAGAGATGATCGAAACCTCCCCCCTAGCATCTTTACCAAGCAAGCTGGAACCACGTATTTTATTAATTACTATTACTATTTTATTCTGAACCCTTCAACATGGCAGAATGAAGTTACCGGGCATGGAACAAATCCGGCCAGCCAGACCTGCCCACCAACACAAAATGCAAGTGAGAGAACACGTTTACTTACATGACGACTCTGTGCCAAACATGGCTGGCTCCAGATGCTCAAATCTCAAAAGAGGGGTTAAAAGGGAAAAGAAAGAGAGCTGCGGGGAATGTGTCAGAGAAGGGATGAGGCTTCTAAACAGCAAGGGTCATGAAGCCAGACAGCGCAGTCCCCACAGCTAGCCAGCCTCCAGATTTTCCTCTCTTCCTCCCCAAGCTCCACTCTGCAGATTGCCTCTCTCTGCAGCTCTTAAAGCAAAACAGGTCCTTCTTCGCAGAAGCAATTTTTTTTGTAATTAAAAAAAAAAAAAGCAAAGGAACAGGAGTACTTATTTTTTTAAAATCCAGCAAAGAGAAGGCCAGTGTCTCTTCTGTTGATGCAGTGAGGCAGAAATAGGTAGCAGACACCAGATACTGCAATTCACAGCCCCTGCTCTCAGTAAGACAATAGCATAGCTTATGCATACACTGGATGACGTCAGAACACTGCAAAGACTGACTGCTGTTAACCACAGGCTCAGAGGGAGCCTGAATAGAGCACCGCAATTCAAATGGGAATTCTTTTGTCACAAAAACGCAGAAGACAAAGAACCACACATATTTCCCCTCCCTGCTGATTAAAACAGAAGGAACCTTCTGCACGCTAGAGGATGGGGAGCAAGCAACATTGTCCTTGGGGTGAATGGTAAATACATTTCCTCGGCTGCAGCAAGTCCTTCCTTACCATGCATTAGCCACATTATTATTAATAATAATAAATCTACTCCCAATATGCTATCATATGTTCAATGTATGCCCTAGAGCAGATGGCTGTTTAACAAGCAAAGAGCAACCCAGCATCTATGATTCACTCCAAAACCCTTTCTGATAAATTGACAAGAGGGAGAGAGAATATTCCTAAGTGTGTTTGTGCGCCACTGACCAAGCACTGTGAATTGACTGTGAATATGACCCCAAGCCAAGCCAATTTTGTCTGTTGGCCCTGCAAAATATTCGATCAAGGTGTGGCAAAACATGCGCTCGTGGTTTTGCTCATAATGAAAATAAAAAACAACCCACACTTGGATTTCAAGGGGGCTTGTATGTAACAATAAACAAACAAAATATGCATATTAAACTGGATCTGGATATATTAGCATGCTGGCACACTGAGTCAATGAAAACTTTTCAGTGTCTTCATTTAGTGCATGGGTAGGCAAACTAAGGCCCGGGGGCCGGATCCGGCCCAATTGCCTTCTAAATCTAGCCTGTGGACGGCCCAGGAATCTGCATGTTTTTACATGAGTAGAATGTGTCCTTTTATTTAAAATGCATCTCTGGGTTATTTGTGGGGCATATTTGTGGGTTCATTTTTTCCCCCAAAGTCTAGTCCAGGCTACCACATAGTCTGAGGGACAGTGGACTGGCCCCCTGCTTAAAAAGTTTGCTGACCCTTGTTTTAGTGCAAATGGAATGGATGTCTAACTCTTGAACCACACAGGATATGCAGTGCCATCATCTTGAAGCAGAGCACTGCCATTTTGAACATTATCATGATGAATATTTTTGCATCCTTTGACTACGCGTAGGAAGAAAAAGATGGTTTGACAGATGCAAAACAAGAGGCTAGCAAGTTGTGGTGGAAAGTACAAGGATTTTAGTTCCAGTTAGAACAGTCGTAGGCCAAATAGCTGATAAGGGCTACATAAGAAAATGCTAACAAAAGGGGGCATGTTTGACCAGAAATAATATAACCTATTGGAAGGTTCTCATAATAGACAAAGGTGCAAAGGATATTGTCTGATCCCCCCCCCCCCCTTGTTGGGCACAGCTAACTTTACCAAGCTTTTTTAAAAATAAAAAGAGACAGTAGTATTTCCACATTCCCACTTACTATGGAGATGCCTTAGTCTTTGCTACAAAAAATCATTTTAAAATATAGTGCCATCAATAGTGATTAGGCACATGTACCTGATGCGGAAATATAGTACATGTGTAGTAGTTTTTCTAGCTTACTGTTTCTACTTTCCACAAAACAGCATTTTGTAAGGCAAACTGAGCAATGGGAAACGCTATGGTAATTAAGACAAGCACTGTCTTTCATCCCTCTTCATTTTTAACTTTTAAGTACTTTTAAGTACTCCTGCCTCAGAAGAACAGCAGCAGCAGCACCAGCACCCGTGCTTTAAGCAGCCAGGTGAACTGGAAATGGGAAGGAATGCAATGGAGATCTAGAATCCAGCAAGATGTTCTTTTGGATTTGCTGCAGAAGGAGGAGGGAAGAGAGCAGCAGAACTGTGACTCCAGCTTCAGCCTGAATTGTCAGCAGTATGATAATTCCTTTCATCCTTGTTGAGCATGTAGTGCAGGGGTAGGCAACCTAAGGCCCAGGGGCCGGATGCGGCCCAATCGTCTTCTCAAAAACACAGGAATCAGCGTGTTTTTACATGAGTAGAATGTGTCCTTTTATTTAAAAGGCATCTCTGGGATATTTGTGGTGCATAGGAATTTGTTAATTTTTTCCCCTTCAAAATATAGTCCGGCCCACCACATGGTCTGAAGGACGGTGGATTGGCCCACGGCTGAAAAAGTTTGCCGACCCCTGATGTAGTGAGTGTGTAGGCTGAGCTTGTATATATTGCAGGATCATCAGCCTCATATAACCAACATCCATATGTCTAATTAATGCATGAAGAGGTTAATGCCATAGAGTAAGCTGTCCTGCCAAGCTTAGTTATGTCACTTCCTCTTACCTTGGGAGGAATTAGGTAATCTACTGTTCACCACCAACAGCCTGTCTACATCTACCTGTGAGAATCTCAGCATGTGAGGAGGTTTAAGCTGGTTGCTCCAGTTAAGTCGCATGGCTCTCACCAATCCATCCAACAATCTAGGAACTCTCACCACTTTGTAAATAAGCTAAGTTCCACTGCATGTGCAACTTTTCATGTCATTTGGGAGGACAGGAATTTAAGTACAGGTAAGTGTTATGAAGTTTGTTGATGAAACCCTGCAATTTAGGACTTCAAACTATATTCCTTTCATCTCACTAATCTGCAGAATTGTAACGTGAACGAATAGTGCTTTTCAGGAGGGTCTAAAAGGAAGGAGTGAGGGATCTCCCTTCAAGATAAAAGAGAAATGAAAGTTAAGGTTTGAAAACTGGGCAGCTGGTCCTTTTGATCTAGTCACATTCTTTCCAACAGACAAGTGCTTCAGATCAACTGCTTCTGAAGAGTCAGTCAGATGTTAGTGCAGAAAAAGGTCTCCCAGAAACTTATCTAAGTTCCCCTGCTACTCTGTTCCTCCCTCTGCATTCAGAAACCCAAATTTTTCAAACATTTTCCTCTGCCTTTCTTCTAGGTCTATGCTTAGGTCAGATTTAGTCTTGAGTCTATGCACATTTATCTGGAATAAGTCCCATTAAAGTAAATGATGCTCACTTCTGAGTAGACATGTATATGATTGTATCACCAGTCCAGAATTCCACTGAAAGTTTCTAGAAACGTTTTAATGAACTTAGCAGGTCCCATTACAGTCTGCCATCTCTTTCACTGCCACACCACAAAATTTTCCAGCATATCTCAGCAGCGTAAGATCCCCTAACCCAAACTGGATTTCTGAATACATTCCTCATGGTCAGGATAACATTCTAAATGGTGGACAAAAATGCCTCCAGACCAACCTTGCAATGTTGCACTGCAATATTTCTTTACAATGCACTTGTACTAGTCTCTGTAAATGAAAGAAATATCATTCACTGTCTTTCCAAACTGATCCTCTGCAGGGGAGCTAGGCGGCATGCACAACTTATGTTCTTTATGGGTAATGTTCAGTGAAGCTCAGATTCCTCAACAAAAGGTCAACAGATTAGCTAGGACTTAACTACTAAGGCATATGAAACATACACATTTCAAATCAGCAGAAAGCAGAAGCCATGGGAATGGAATGGCTGATTATTGACTGTTATCAATTCCACTTCTGTTCTGAAATTAAGTCTTGGATATGCGCTTTAATAATATATCCAGCAAATTGTTAATCTATATATTATAAATGGTATCTTTACCTGGGCAGTCCATGGCAGCTGTGAATTCGAAGAAGATTCAGTACTGTTTGCTCACAGAGCTTCCACAGAGCCAAGAAACTTCAGCAAAAATAGTACCGCCATGTGTGTATTCTGAACAGGTTTTGCAACATATATTGATCCTTATCTCTGGACTCAATCACCAATCCTGGGATCGTTTGTCTCATAGAAACCTGACTGTGAATATCCATCTCTTAGCACAGTAACCCTGACATGGCAGAGTTAGTTTCCTATACCCAACAGTAAACCAGATGGGCATCTTGTCAAAGCTGTGAAAAATACCAGACCTCCAAAAGACTTGTGGGTAAGCTTAACAGCACTATAAGTTGGTTAAACACCTTTCATTTCCCTTATATAGTTTAATTCTTAGGAGCAAGTCATCAGGACCTTCATGGAAACCTATCTGATTTTCTTACGTGCTCTGTGCCAGGATGCTGCCTTTGGAGCCAACCTGGAAATTTGAACTGGCACAGAAAGCAGAATTAAGAATGCTTGTGGGGTCAGAGAGTCAGAACATATTACAGCAATCCTGCACCAGTTATGTTGGCTGAATGCCTTGCATTCTCCCCTCAGTGCAAGGATTTACGCTTGTGCAACAGGACTTGCCCCCCTATCCTCCCCAGGATCGTAAAACTGGTTTAATTCATGCAAAAAAACAAACAAACAAACAAACAAACAAACAAACAAAAACCAACAACAACCCAACAACTTCTCATTAACTTTGCAACATACTGATAGAGTTAAATGTTGCCATTGCACATATTAAGTACAGTATTTTGCAAAGGACTCAAGCACAACAGACTATGGATCTTCACATCTCTGAACCTTTCCCTTTCTTTGCCTAGGAACTCTTTTCAGAACTGTTTAAAGTGGCAGCTTTCCCCCCTCCAGAGTTAGCCTGGAAATTAAACATGCCTTGGACTTTTCACTGCACATACATTTTTAAACTTAATGGCTGGGGGTGAAGCACGATCCATTTCCAAAACCAATGGGCTTGCTTAGTCATCCTTTCCGCCATTCATCAATTCTTCTACAGGATGAGTGACTCAGAAACTATGAGATGAATCCAACAAAACATATTTTTGCCTTTGCTTTGGGCTTTCCTCCCCCACACAATCAAAACTGATTTGAAATGTTGATCATTTCAGCCATAAAGAAATGACACCTAAAAAGACGGTGAAGTTTACTAACAATATTATTCTTGCAGTAATGCAGCCACTACTGATAGTGATGTAAGTCGCTAGGTTATTAATAGGCTGTAGAAACATCTATCAATTACTAGGCTAAATAGGCAATTCATTGCCGATTCTGTTTTTCTAACTCCAAGTCACAAATTTCATCCAGTGGGATAAAAAGTTCTCTCTCTGCCTTAAATGTTCATTTTGTATTGTTCTAACACTTATATTCAGCTGTTTTTTGTACTGCACCCTCCCCATATCTGCTCTGGAGCATTGGGGGAACGCCAGCCCAGATTTAGGAGGCACGTGGAGAGCAAAGGAGGGAAAGTTCTGTTGTGCAAACAGAGAACATTAGTTGGATACAACCCAACGATAATAATTTTCATGGGCAGCCCACTGGCCCAATAAAAATTAATCTCACTTCATGTCTTCTCAGTTGCTGAATTTAACGTAGGACGTGGATGCTGTTACACCTGTGGCCGATCACACTGTGTTGCAGGCTGTGTTAAAATGCCTACATTGGAATTATTAGGAACCAGAATACAGTATAATGCAAAATGTAGGCCTCCTGTAGGCTACTGAAAGATTGCTGTTGAGTGCATTGCCAACCATGTTAAAGTACTTCTATTATCTTTCCTTACACAAAATGCATATAAGGCTGAAAGGTACTAGGAACAAACTGAGTCCAAAGATTTCCAGGCATTCATACCTCAAACAATCATTTAATGCATAACCAGCCTTCAGTGTCCACCACTTCTCATAGCCTTCTTTGGATCTCCGTTTGTTGTTGAGATACAACTCCCATCATCCCTGGCTGATGGTCATCTGGAAGACCACAGGGAAACTAATTACTGATTGATAATAGAGCTTCTGAGGCTGAGCCTCCCAAGCAGTTCTCAGTGCCAGGCAGACTCATCCTGGGAACAAGTAACAGAATAGGAACAGTCTGCAAAGTGCCTTTTGTTTACTAATTAATCAGTCCAACCAGTCTTTGTATGTTTGGGCTGTAAATGCTTCCACATCAGAGAGTATGTCTTCCAAATAAACTAGAATTGCCCCATAAATTGTTTTTTTTTTTAGAAGTCCACCTATTAGGATGTGTTCTTTGGACCACTGTTCTTTAGCGTCCCATTTACATCACTACCAATAACCTACAAATCCACGAGCAAGTATTTTGCACTACAAACCTTTGTCGTGTAAGCTGTCACCGCAAAACTGACACTCTTACTCATCCAAAGAATGAAGAACAAAACAAATACCAAGTGGTTTTTGGTGGTTTGCGCTAATGGAGTAATGCGATGCAGTATTACCAGAACACAGCGTGAGGGAGTATGCAGCTGTCAGCAGTTATGAAAACTCTTCCCCCAGAAGTTACATGCAATCTTTCGGAAAAGAACGGCAGCATCTTCAAGAGCCTAAATAAAAACATAAATCTAGCTATGCCTATTTCAAAGATCCTGACATGCACAGGAAGGCATGCCCATCAACTCCAAATATCCAAATTCATTAATCCCAATTAGATTTAGGACCAGTCCAACACCACTGATTGAATGATTTAACATCAAACAGCAAGTATAAAAAGCAGTTTGCACCAGAAAGAAGTTAAAGATGTGTGCAATTTTGTAAACTATTCTGTTGGTAATTCCTGATTTGGACCATGCCAGCCGTATTGATGCTACTAAGAGACATCTGGAATAACAAATCAGCACAGACAGTGACACTTCTCAGTATGTCTTAGAATCATAGAGCTGGGAGGGACTCCAGGGATCATCTAGTCCAGCCCACTGCAATGCAGGAATATGCCCCCATACAGGGATTATTACCTTGGTGTCATCAGCACCACGCTTTAACCAACTGATCTAACCGGCAATGCTTGTGGCTGCTGAGTGTTGCCAGCAGGCCAGGAGCATCCAGGTAATAACAACAACAACAATAAATAATAAATAATTTATACCCCACCCATCTGGCTGGGTTTTCCCAGCCACTCTGGGCGGCTTCCAATAAAATATTAAAATACGATATTCCTTCAGATATTAAAAGCTTCCCTAAACAGGGCTGCCTTCAGATGTCTCCTAAAAGTCTAGTAGTTGTTTTTTCCTTTGACATTGGGTGGGAAGGTATTCCACAGGGCAGGTGCCACTACCGAGAAGGCCCTCTGCCTGGTTCCCTGTAACTTGGCTTCTCGCAGTGAGGGAACCGCCAGAAGGCCCTCAGTGTCCATGATGGGGGTGGAGACGCTCCTTCAGGTATACTGGACCGAGGCCTTACACTTTCCCCAGGTCTGAGGGCTAAACTGGCCAGGGGGTCCTGCCAGGGACCGGCTGCTTTTTTTTTCTAACAAGACTCCCATCCTGTGCCCTCAGATAAGCTCTGTCCAGGCCTGGTAGACAGTTAGAATATCAGGTATCCTTCTCCCTGCCCCTGCCACATTTTCTGTCTGGACATTCCCTTATTGAGAAATGTCACTATAGTGCTTAGTTATACCATCAATATCTGTATTCTGTAGGATTATGACCAGATGGAATGGCATAGCCCGTGGGTACATGAGACTATTGCAGTCTTAAAATGAAGCAGGCGATAGGCTGGTCAGTGCCTGATAAACAGTTGTCTGGGATCCCCATTTAAGCTACTATGATAATTAAAAGAAAAATGTCTGCTTCCATTGATTTCCCCCTCACTTTCTACTTCAAACACAAATGCCCTACCAATTTTTGTACTACATCTCCCATAATCCTTCACTGTCAATTACCTTTCCTGAGCTCCAGAGGTCAGTGAAGCTGAATTTTATAGCATTTTATAGTGTTTAAAGGCTGACCTCTAGTGTTTGGTATAAGGCTTGGCCATTCCTCTCTCATTACTATGACATTTCTTATCCATCCCCTCTCATAATGGAAATAATAAAATGGATCTCCTAAAATGTAATCCAAACATATGAGTAAGTGTTAAAAACAATGGGCTTGTAGCTGTTCTTAAATCAAATTCCCATGCTACTCCTCTAAATTCAAACACCACTGATGAGTTTAAAATTTCAGTCAGTAAACAGTGACTGTATATTGAGAGAAACATAAGGAGTGCAAAACTTAGCACGGACGAACTTTAGAGATGGCAAAAGCATTTGTAAGATTTAAAAAATTCTAAATTATATGGAATGCATTTAACAGGTTGTGAATCCCTACCTTCAAACCCTTTCAGTATTTTGCTTATTAGTTTTAAAAGGCCAGGTTTGCACATACACCAACACAGAAGCAGAAAACAATATTTCAGTTACAACATAATAACCTGACCAGGGTGGATAATTTTTTTTATTTAAATTGCATTCCCCCCCCCCTTTAAATCGGATTTTGTTAAAAAAATTAAATTGGATTTTTAAAATAAAATGCTTTTGGAAGGAAAATATTTCTAAAGATAGTTTTCTATTTAAGTTACATTATAGTCCAAAGGCTATTCATCAGGAAATAAAGATTTGTTTTAAATTTTTTAGGTGTGCTAAAATTCAGTCTAAGGTTGTTTTTTTTTAAAAAAATCGTTTAACCACATCAGTTAACAAACATGGATACATATGCTATAATGTTATTGTTTCAGTTAAATAAATTGTTTAAATTGTTGTTAAGGAAATGATTATTTTTCTCCTTCCAATAAAGTACAGCAGAAAACTTTTCCAAATATAAACAGTTAACTTATTAAACATCACAGTAATTTCATAATTATCTGTCAATGTATTTCTAATAGTATAACCAAATCAGCAATTTTTTATATAACTGTAAAAACTACTCTGAAAATTTATTATTCCAAAAATGAAACCTTCATCTGATTGTAAATATTAAGATTATACCAGAAAGAATGAGTTTTTCCGGGGGGAGGGGGGGAGAGATTTAAATCAAGTCTTACTGACTAGTGATTTAAATTGTGATTTAAATCAAATCCACCCTGAATCTGACACAACAGTATAAAAGAAAAAACGAACAATTATGCTTTACTTGTATACAAAACCATTGCTGTGTGCTGCTAGCAGCCGGCCCAATGGAAACACAGGGTAACATCTATTTTATTTAATTTATTTCCTATATTTATCATCCACTCTTCTTCCTTCCTGGAGCCCAAGACATGGCATACAGATGTCTCCTGTCTAGTCACTAACCACACCTAGATCTGTTCATCTTCTGCAAGGTAGTAAGTTGCCTCATGCATCTTCAGATCATACCTGGGATCTAGTAGCAGAACACAATGGCTCAACATCTAAAGACTGTCTTGTCTCACACCATCTGCCATGAGGTGTATTGAAACTGGAAAAATCATAACTTGTGAAAGATAGTGATGCTCATAAACTGAAGCAGTTGAGCTATACTAAAGTGATAGTTAAAACACCTTCAAAAAACGTACCGTTTCAGCCCACATAGCAATGCTGCGTAGTACCACACAGTGTGGAGTAAAATTTATGACTGCCCTGTAATGATCCTTTCATAGGAGCCCAGGAGATCTATGGAGCATAAAACTTGTAACTTGTGTGCTTTAGCTTTGTTCTAGCAAACTCCATTTTGAGAAGCCATGTGGCTAATTTCCCTAAACCAGTAAGCATATTACTGGTAAAAAATAAAACCAGTAAGCATATTACTTATTTAAATAATTATGAAATTATGAGTACCCCTTTCCTCTTCCCCGAAAACAACTGACTCCACAGGGTTTGCTATGAAAATGAAATGAAACCCAAGAGATGGCAAGAAATGAATCTAAATAAATAATAATGTAATGAGATGATGGATACCTAACTTATGGAATCTGGAAAAAGCAACACAGCCAGTATGTTTGGCTAGGGGGGGAAAGGAATTCCTCTCCTTAATCCAGCAGAGGTCAGATGAATCTCTGATGGTTCCAACAGCCAAGACATGCAGTAGAAAGCAGACAGGATAACCTAACCACACATTCAGACTGACAAAGAGAAGATAGCAGAGAATGAAAGGGATGTTGACATTCCTATACACAGAATTTTCCTACATGTTTGTTTGTCTTCCCCCATCCTGCTGTCCCTGTCCTGACCGCAAGAGCCAAGGCTTTCCAAACAGATGAATAAGGAACGAATTCCACAATAACCATTCTCCTCTTCCCCACCCTTGAGAGGCACTGGTAAAACCTGAAAAATAACAAGCCCGGGTGCACAGGTGAAACTTTTCCAGTAGCGGAGGCAGATTAGCTTATACAAATGGCTTATTAAAAAGCAGAGACATCAACTTGCCAACAAAGGTCCATATACATAAAGCTATGGCTTTCCCAGTAGTGATGTATGGAAGTGAGAGCTGGACCATAAAGAAGGCTGATCACCATAGAATTGATGCTTTTGAATTATGGTGCTGGAGGAGACTCTTGAGAGCCCCATGGACTGCAAGAAGATCAAACCTATCCATTCTGAAGGAAATCAGCCCTGAGTGCTCACTAGAAGGACAGATCCTGAAGCTGAGGCTCCAATACTTTGGCCACCTCATGAGAAGAGAAGACTCCCTGGAAAAGACCCTGATGTTGGGGAAGATTGAGGGCACAAGAAGAAGGGGACGACAGAGGACGAGATGGTTGGACAGTGTTCTTGAAGCTACGAACGTGAGTTTGACCAAGCTGTGGGCGGCAGTGGAAGACAGGAGTGCCTGGCATGCTCTGGTCCATGGGGTCACGAAGAGTCGGACTAAATGACTAAACAACAACAATGGCTTATACTCGGTTATACTGAGGAAAACTGCTGCTTTTATCGTTACACATTCACATCCAAATAGCACCTAAGAGGCAATCTCAGGCCCTGCACACAAGATTTACAGATATGGTGCTAAAGATGCAGCCTTCAGGCATTTTTGAATCTGCAGTCAAAAACCCATGACCAACACAAAGACACAGTATTTTGAAAGCACTAAGATTTCACTTTCTGGAATTAACTTTCCGACATGACTTATTTATGGTGTTATTTGGTGAAAGACCAAGGGAGAGGACTGCATTTGACAAAAGAGAAGTTTGGGTTAACTGGCAGCAGAAAACAGACATGGCAAAACTGGAGTTTTATAACAGTCAAGAAAGGATTTGGAAGTCATGAGGAAGAATTTGAAAAAACTGAGGAAGGTGAGATGGGGGGCAGGTATTGTAGCAGGAGTTTGGAGCAGCATTAAAATATGCTGTAAATCTCTCATTTTTAGGATTATCACAGTAATATTATGACACAAATGCAGCAGAGCTTGATTTCACCTTGAAAGCTTCTGCAATCAAGCCAAACTGAAAGGCCTTAGCTTAGACCGATGTGTTATTTATAAACATCTTTTTAGCCTTCAGCATGAAACATAACAGAGATTGTGCTTTATTTATGGGAAGCAGAACGCATTCAGAACCTCTTAATGCAAAAAAAAAAAAAAGTCCGGAAGAAAATAATCACATAATTCAAAAAGCTAGTAACATAGGAAGCTGCCTTGCATCAAGCTCTACCAACTGTCCATCTAGCACAGTGTCGTTCATCTACACTGACTTGCAGTGGTTGTCCAGGATTTCAGACTCTCCTAGCCCTAACTGAAGATGCTGGAGATAGAAACTGGCTGTTTTATACCACAGGGTGCCTTAAACGTTCACCAAATAAATAGACACTGAGAGGCAGTGTGGTGTAGTGGTTAAGAGCGATGGACTCGTAATCTGGTGAACCAGGTTTGATTCCCTGCTCTTCCACATGCAGCTGCTGGGTGACCTTGGACCAGTCACACTTCTCTGAAGTCTCTCAGCCTCACTCACCTCACAGAGTGTTTGTTGTTGGGGAGGAAGGGAAAGGAGAATGTTAGCCGCTTTGAGACTCCTTAGGGTAGTGATAAAGTGGGATATCAAATCGAAACTCCTCTTCTTCTTCTTAAATTGCATTACAAAAGACAGCAAGAGAACATAAGAGGCTGGTTTGCAGCTAAGCTCATTTCCAGAAAGTTTTGAACATGAATGTATTGATTATGATAACTTATAAACAATCAGGTTTTTCCTTATTGCCCTGTTGTATAGTGTATACTTAAATACACTAAGTCAACAATCCTATGCACAATCGCCAGAGAATATTATTGTGATATGCATATGGACTCCACTGGTACAGACTTTTAAACAGGCCTTAAAACTCCACTTAGTTCAGATTACGTCTCTGTAAAGGAATTATATGGTGTTTCAGTTAATTATAATGACGTGTTACTGGCCTGTGAATTGTTTTAGGCTGCCAGTTGTTTTTATTGAAATGTGAGACTGTACTTTATGGTTGTTTTAAGTAAGCAGCCTTGTAAGATAGATTTGCTCTAAGAGACAGCCTATAAATTAAAATAATATAAATTCTCCCTGTCCTCAAGATCCAAACACTTCATCAGGTTTCCTATTTCTGGACCAGACAAAGGGGTGGGGGGGTGATGCATGGAAGTATTTCTTCAGGGGGAAAATATCTAGGAGCTACCTTCTGTATTTCGGGCTAAAACTGATGTCACCTCCATTTTCAGGAGGAGGTGCTTTAAATGTATTGTGTGTATGCAGTCAGAATTCTTGGTCCTCTCCACTTTTTTGAATTCGTGTATCTCTACTTTCATATCCCCAGTTCCTTGTTTTGTTTCATTTGTTTGTTTTCACGGGTACTTTATTACAAGGCACCTGCTATTCAATGTCATTTTATTCTGCACTAGCTCAGGTGTCGGAATCTCAATTCTGCTGCATACATGAATCCAAAGCTGCATGAAGAAACTCGAATAGCAATGTTTTCCACCACAGTCTGACTTTTTCTCCATTTTGCCCCCTACCGGCTAACCATTTCCTATTCACCCTGGTCCTTCTTGCTTAATGTAGGTGCCCGGTCTGTTTCGTTGCATTGTTTTCCTGGTCAGCATCTACTGCATTAGCACTAAACCAGGGGTAGTATGAAGTTTACGGCATGTAATGCCCTAAGAGAGAATATTATGAAAATGATATACAGGTGGTACATAACCCCAGTTAAGCTTGCAAACATCTACCATTTGCACGATAATAAATGTTGGAAATGTAAAGAAACTGAAGGCACATTCTTTCACCTTTGGTGGACGTGCCCAAGGATTAAGGTTTTCTGGGAGATGATTTATAATGAATTAAAAAAGGTATTTAAATATACCTGCTTGAAGAAACCAGAGGCCTTTCTCTGGGGCATAGTCGACCAATCGGTGTTAAAGAAGGATAGAACTTTCTTTATGTATGCTACAACAGCAGCAAGAATACTTATTGCAAAGTATTGGAAGACACAAGAGCTACCCACACTGGAGGAATGGCAGATGAAAATGATGGACTATATGGAATTGGCGGAAATGACTGGCAGAATCCGAGACCAGGGAGAAGAGTCGGTGGAAGAAGACTGGAAGAAATTTAAAGACTATCTACAGAAATACTGCAAAATCAATGAATGTTAGAGTGATGTTGGATTGAAGTTAAGTGGCTTCTAGCTGAACAGATTTTAAAGTTATAAATGTATCAAGATTAAGGATTAGGACCAAACAGACTAAGAGAAATGGAAAAATAGGTTCAAATAGGTAAAAATCTAATGGCATAATATATTAAGATTAAGAATTGGAATTAAAAAGGAGGGTAAGAAATTGCTGGGTTTACAAACTGAATTGGAATACAAAAGAGGGAGGTATGAGGAACTCCGAGAAACAAGTAAATTTAAAAGAGGTTATGAAAGGACGGAACTATTTTTAACTGTTTTTTTCTTTTTCTTTCTTTTTTTTACTTTTTTCTATTCTGTACTCTGTATTTTGTATGGGGTATTTTTTTCTGTCTTTGTGAAATTTTTTGTGTTTATTAATGTGATTTTATTCTTTCTGAAACTTTAATACATATTAATTAAAAAAAATTAAAAATAAAAAAAGCACTAAACCAGGGGTCAGCAACCTTTTTCAGCCGTGGGCTGGTTCACTGTCCCTCAGACCATGTGGTGGGCCGGACTATAGTTTTTTGGGGGGTGCAAATGAATGAATTCCTATGCCCCACAAATAACCCAGAGATGCTTTTTTAAAAAAAGCACACATTCTACTCATGTAAAAACACCAGGCAAGCCCCACAAATAACCCAGAGATGCATTTTAAATAAAATGACACATTCTACTCATGTAAAAACACGCTGATTCCCAGTCTGTGGGCCGGATTGAGAAGGCGACTGGGCCACATCCGGCCCACAGGCCTTAGGTTGCCTACCCCTGCACTAAACAAATGTTGAATAAAAGCAGCTTTGTTATTCTGCAACACAGAATGCAATCTCACTTACAGTCATAAAAGAGAGAAAGGAGGTGCTATTGTCTGGGGGGGGGGAGGAACAAAACCAACTGAAACCATCATGGTTATTTTTGGGAAGTCACATTTTAGATTTATCAGCTTTCCTGTGAAACCAAAGCTTCTCAGGAGCCTTTTCGTCTGGGTTTTCACAACCTTTCTGCTGCAAGACTAATTGCATCCTTAAATTTTTAATAGACTTTAAGAAGGGAAGGCCACCATCCAACACAAACGCTTGTTGATTCCTAAGGGATCCTGCGCTGAACTGTGGTCAGTAAGTTCGCATTCTTACAGCACAAACCCAAACATATCTACTCTGAAGTATGTCCTATTAAATTCAAAGAATTTAGTGGGGTTTACTCCCAGGTAAGTGTGGGAGGTTGTGTGGAACAGCTCCAGGCTGGCACAACTGGATCCATAAATAGGTTTGTTCTGCCTGCACCCTCAAACACATTTCAGGTTCCTGTGCCAGCAGCAGCAGTTTTGTTGACCGCAAGGATAGCCAGTGTGACAGCTACATTCACACACAACTCAGCAGAGGGATACCATTGCAGAATCTTAAAACCCCGCCAGCTGTGCGGATTAGGAGTTAGGATTGCTCTGTTAATTTCTAACTACATGTAAACAAAAGAAGACATGAGACTGAATAAAAGGCCAGGATAAAAAATAGCAGGGTTTTAAAAGGCCAAGATGAATTTAAGCAGATTTTTTATTAAAAAAATAAAAATATGTACCTCATAGCACATTATCAAGGCTAAGAACATACGCGGGTTATTTTGGACTAAGGCAAGAACACATTCATCTCGGGTGCTTATTTTAGTTTCTTGCCTGACACAATGACTGTGCTGTTTTTCCTTTCCTTGCTGGCAATAGTTATAATACTCCAAAGCTTATTCTGCATCATACATTTTGTAATTTCTATTTTATTATCATATCTGCATTACAGAAATTTACGATAAGTTATAAATTTAAGGCTCCTCTGCTTACCATCACTTATCTGAGACCTATTTCTACAGGATACTATAGATACTGCTTAGCTGGGCAATACAGTTTCCAGACTGGTAAAAATTGACCTCTGATTTTAAAAACTGAAAGTAAGGGAAGTATGTGGAGGAAACTGGTAATAGAACTTCTTGACAGGCCAACCATGATTCCATTTGATGATGACTGTGGTCTAAACCAGAGCCTAGGGCTTGCCGATCAGAAAGTCTGTGGTTTGAATCTCCTCGACAGGATGAGCTCCCGTTGCTCGGTCCCTGCTCCTGCCAACCTAGCAGTTCGAGAGCATACCAAAAAGTGCAAGTAGATAAATAGGTACCGCTCCAGTGGGAAGGTAAACAGCATTTCCGTGCGCTGCTCTGGTTCGCCAGAAGCGGCTTAGTCATGCTGGCCACATGACCCGAAAGCTGTATGCCGGCTCCCTCAGGCAATAAAGCGAGATGAGCGCCGCAACCCCAGAGTCGTTTGCAACTGGACTTAACTGTCAAGGGTCCTTTACCTTTATTAATTGCTGAAAAGGATATAGTTATCCTCTTTACAAAATGGATGCAACTAATGTATAATTTTCACTACATGGCACATCTGTGTCTGAATGAAAGCTTCATAGTGCAATCAGGGATTTACATGACGGATATGTTGCTTCATAAATCATCTCGGTGAGAACTGGGCCTGATTGGCTTCCAATCAAGTAGCTAAAAAAACCTAATCATAACTGTTGTTGAAAACCAAAGTGTTATAGTGCTTGCATAGCTAAGAGGGGAGGCCCAAACAGTCATCCAATATTATAAATTAGGGGCTAGACCCTCCAATGCTATTGCACTACACCCAACGGAGGACCTACCTGGTGAGCTCTTCACAAATTTCAGAATAATCTGATAAAAAAAATCTTAGATACAGCCATTTTAAGGCAGTTCCTCAAATTCTCCCCTGATGGAATCTACACACATATGAAAAACGTTCTGAAAATGCTTTTAAAAAAAGTTTTTTAAAATACATTGAATTTTCCATAAGGATCACTATTGCCATCTAATGTCCCATTGTATATTGCACTTAAAAACAGTTAAAACGTTTTAGTCTACAGCAGAGTACAGGGGAATCTCTGTAGGAACCATGGATTGATTAGTTGCATTTTTCCTTGAGCTACAAAGCACTACATTCAGCATTCCCATCTCTGTATACAAAAGCTTACAAGTACAAATCCATATTTCTTTTCCTATGTTTCATGAAAAATACTCAAGACGACATCATAAAGCATAATACAAAATCAGCACTCACAGAATACACCCATGTTGTTTCTTCAAACACAAATGTGCCCCTCCTCCAATTAAAATACTCATTTACAACAAGCAAAAGAAGCTGAACCTTACTGCAAATCTCTAGGCCGGTTCCATTTGAATGTGCCTCCCAAAACATTTACAATTCTCTCCTACCTTGCATAGCTTTTGATGGTTGGCCAACAAGATCAGTTTGAAATGTGAACACTCCAAAAGGGGAAGCAGCAAGGCCAGTACAGTTTGCAAAAAGCCACGTATATAAACAGTAGCTATACTAACAGCAAACATTCTTTGCCATTACAACAAATATGAGCAGCCTCAAAACCTCTGCATTCTGTCCTCTCTTTCCACTGGACATTAGAATGGAGCTTAGAAGCTTCAATTCTTGGTTTGTGGGAAGCCATAATTCTGTCCGAAGCTACAGTTTAGCAACCTACTTCTTACCCACTGATTCGCCCCTACAAATTACCTTCACCAGCAAATATTACTGGTATTATATTAGAATTAAAGAATTTGGGGAATGCAAACATGCTAATTTCTTATTGCCACTTGTGCTAACAACCTGAAATGGCAAAGTAGATTCTCTAGCTTCTCCCTGCAATACAAAGTAATACCCAACTTGCTAGCAGGTGAAGGGGGAAACTTAACACTGATTTCTAATAGCCTTTCCTAGTTAAATTGGTGGAAAACATTATTAAGGCTAGAATTATCGAGCATACAGAAGAACAAGCTTTGCTGAGGTAAAGTCAGTGTGGCTTCTGCAAAAGGAATTTTTGCCAAATCCATCTTTTAAAATTGAATCAATAAACATGCAGATGGAAAAAATACAATACATTTGGAATTTCAAAAAAATAATAATCTAAACCTCTCTTCAAATGCTCTTCTGAAAACTTAGTGGTTATGTGGGAAGAAGCCCAATTGCAATAATGGATTGGTAACTGTTCTGACAGCAGCATATAAATTAACCTAGAAAATAAGTAATAAAACAACAAATATTGGCTAAAAAGAGGAAAGCAGAAAGAAAAAAAAATGAAGAGATTTCCCAAAGAAGGAAAAACCAAAGAGTGAATCTGCACTGGAGCAATTTAACAGTCATACATTATTTGAAGTTGGGACAAATTAGGGAAAGACTCAAGTTTGTGAATGACACCAGATCATTCAATATGTTAAAATCCCAAACAAGCTGTCAAAAGCTCTGAAGGGGCCTCTCTACCACCGGGCCAAACAAGCAACAAAACAGCAGGCGAGGTGGAAAATGATTAAATTCACAATTATGACCTTTAGGCTAGAAAAGCGTTCAGGAAGGACAGGCGAAATCCACAGAGCGGAGATGGGGAACCTGAAGTGCTTCTGATGTTGAGGGACTCAAGCTCCCATTAGCCATTTCATTTTCATTAGTCAGCTTAACCCACAATGGTTATATTGCCCCACAGGGCAATGAAGAGTTGTGGTCCAGCAACATAGAGCTATCAGGGGTGGGGAATCTGTGGCCCTATCGACAACTGCAAGGCAGTACACCTTGCAGGTACTTCTGAAGAGGAGAGTTCAGGATCTCACCATCACACCTTCCCGTTCCGCTCATGAGCCTTCAGAGGGAAGCCATAAAAGACCAGCCTTCTGTTCTGACCTAGCAAATACAATGTTTATTTCTTCTTCTTTTTAAGACGGTCTGCTAGTACCTCCTCACAGCTGGGACCCAGGAGATGCCTCTATATAACGTGCATCTTCCATTGAGAAAGAGGGCGGAGATGCCTTTGCCCAAATTATTCCCGCCTTCTGCATGTGAGGTTCCCCCCGCCTCAAGTCCTGACGAGGAGCAGGAAGGCATCGCTTCTTCTTCCAACTAAACGTCTTTCTTCCTTTCCCCCTTCTTTGTAGCGACCCACCATTTATTAGCGGGGCTGAACAATTTTTGCGGCGAGGAGGAAAGACGGGTATGGCGAGCCTGGAAATTAAAACTCCCCTAAAAACGTCCCTTGTCCTCGACCCGCCCTCATAGCGCCCGGTTGCAAGAAGGGGGGCGGGCGCATCAGACTGAAAAAAAGGGGGTGGGTTTGGAAACTGGGGGGGGGGGCAGCAGGCGGACCCTCAACCACAACCCTCCCCCCCAAAACCAAGCATGCCTATGTGAAGAAATATGAGGAAAGGGTGTCGCAGCTGTTGCTGTTTTCCAGTCTGTGGGGAGGAGAGGGAAAGAGCAACGGGAGAGGCAGGAAAAGTTTGCAGCACGACGCCGCCGTCCCCGTTGCCCCTTCGCCTTTTCCCGCCCAGCCGTGGCGCGCGCCCTTGTTGTATTCCCACCCCCCCCCCCTGCGCAAAGTTGCAAGTTTGGGGGGGGTTTGCTTTTTGCAAAAAGCGCGTCGTCGCTCGCTACCTGTGCTCAAGTTGTCGTTGATCTTCAGAGGCACCCTCAGGACGTAGACGAGGAAGAGCATGAGGAAGAACCACAGCGACCACAGATACGTCCACGACCAGACGACGCACGACTTGAGCTGCTCCAGAAAGCCGGCGCCGCCGCCGCCGCCAGCAGCTTCAGCCATCTTTTCGCAGGCAGGGCGCGCGAGGGGGAGAGAGACCGAGCAAACGCGCCCAGCCGCGCCAGCGCCGGCCTTGCTCTCTGCTGCCACGACCTCGCGCGGTGTTATTTCTGGGATGATTCATGTCTCCCGAAGAAGTAACGTGTCTCTCTCTCTCTCCGTCCCCCGTCCCGTCCCCCCCGCCGCCGCCCTGCTCCACCTCCTCCGCCCCCTCGCGCACCGTTTCCATGCAGGCGTCTCCAGCCGGGGAAGCCGCCAATTCAAGTTGTAAACAAACACACAGCAGGCACCACAACACGCGACTAGGGTGGGTTGTGGGTTGACTCCTAAGTCGCGGGATGGGGGGGGCAGTAGGGGGAAGCCGTGGTGGTTTTTTTTTAAAAAAAAAACACCCCAACACAAGTAGCCTTTAGTGGGCCAAGCAAAATGTCTCAAAATAGTGAGCTTAAGGGGGGGACGGGGACTTACTTATACTGTACAAGATTGCCTTCAAAAGGCTCCCGGGGTTAAAAAACTCCATACCCTCCAACATTTCTTCCATGAAAAGAGGGATGTCCTAAGGAAAAGCGGGACATTCTGGGGTCAAATCAGAAACCAGGATGACTTCTCTAAATCAGGGACATCCCTGGAAAATAGGCATACTTGGAGGGTCTGCTCCCCAGCATTTCTCCAGTGAAAATAGGGAGCCCTATTCAGTTACAGGGACGCGGGTGACGTTGTGGGTTAAACCACAGAGCCTAGGGCTTGCCGATCAGAAGATCGGCGGTTCGAATCCCCACGACGGGGTGAGCTCCCGTTGCTTGGTTCCTGCTCCTGCCAACCTAGCACTTCGAAAGCACATCATGTGCAAGTAGATAAATAGGTACCGCTTCAGCGAGAAGGCAAATGGAGTTTCCGTGTGCTGCTCTGGTTTGCCAGAAGCGGCTTAGTCATGCTGGCCACATGACCCGGAAGCTGTACACTGGCTCCCTTGGCCAATAAAGCGAGATGAGTGCTGCAACCCGAGAGTCAGCCATGACAGGACCTAATGGTCAGGGGTCCCCTTACCCTTTACCTTTAAGGGAAAGCGGGACATTCTGGGGTCAAATCAGAAACCAGGATGACGTCCCTGGAAAACACATACTTGGAGGGTATGCTCTCCATCATTTCTCCAGTGAAAATAGGGAGCCCTATTCAATTACAGACCCTCCAAGTTTCCCTATTTTCCAGGGGCAGACCGGGATTTACAGAAGCCATCCCCGTTTCCAATTTGATCCCGGAATGCCCCACTTTTCCTTATGACGTCCCTATTTTTATTGGAGAAATATTGGAGTGTATGCAATTATTATTAGTAGTAGTAGTATTTTATTTATACCTTGCCCATCTGACTGAATTGCCCCAGCCACTCTGAGCAGCTTCCAACATAGGATAAAAACATAATAAAACATTAAATATGTTTTAAAAAAACCAAAAAACCTTCCCTATACAGGGCTGCCTTCAGATGTCTTCTAAAGGTTGTATAGGTACTTCTCTCCTTGGCTTGGGGGTCACATAAAGATACCCCCCCCCAAATTTTTTTTGATGAAAATAGGACATTCTAGGGAGAAGCAAGGGGGACGCGGGTGGCGCTGTGGTCTAGACCACTGAGCCTAGGGCTTGCCGATCAGAAGGTCGGCGGTTCGAATCCTCGCAACAAGGTGAGCTCCCGTTGTTCGGTCCCAGCTCCTGCCCACCTAGCACTTTGAAAGCACGTCAAAGTGCAAGTAGATAAATAGGTACTGCTCCGGCGGGAAGGTAAACGACATTTCCATGCGCTGCTCTGGTTCGCCAGAAGCGGCTGAGTCATGCTGGCCACATGACCCGGAAGCTGTCTGCGGACAAACACCGGCTCCCTCAGCCTATAGAGTGAGATGAGCACCGCAACCCCAGAGTCGTCCGCGACTGGACCTAACGGTCAGGGGTCCCTTTACCTTTAAGGAAAAGCAATATATTTCGGGATCAAATCAGAAACTGGGACAGCTTCTGTAAATCCAGGACTGTCCCTGGAAAATAGGGACACTTGGAGGGTTTGCAGATTTTCCAGTTCTCCATAACTCTGAGGGTTAAGCAAAATAGGGGGGGGGGGGTGGAGATCCTGGTTCACTGTTAAAGTTCGAAAGTCTGCATTCTCATGCCTTATGAGAGCAGTATATAGCAGATTAGCCTGAGGTAGGGAACTATTTTCAGCTTGGGGCCATATTCTCTTATGGGGAGGCTTCTGAGAGCCATTTCTGAGAGCAGGACCAGAGGCAAAAGTGGGCAGAGCGATGAATCTTTTCTACATAACACATCCTTCTGGATCCTTCATCCAGACAAGCAAGAGGCATGAGCAGAGCTCAGGCAGATATTCCAACCATGCAAAAATATCTGGAGTGCAAAACAGGGTCAGTAAGGGACAGGGATAGTTTGGCGGGCCAAATAGGGCTGCATCCAGCCCCCAGGCCTGAGGTTCACCACCTCTGCCTTGACTAGGCTCACATAGGTTTCAGGTTATACCCAGGGGTGCTGGGATAGAGAGTCACATGACTGGTACCTCATTTCTGAAAACACAAAATCCAGCAGTTCTTTAGATTTAGTAGCTCCCCTATATTTTTCTCTGCACATGCAGAGCCAGAAGCCATCCGTTGCATAAACTTATGAAGTGGCTGTTGAAGACAGAAAGGAAGTGGTAGCAAGAGTAGTCTTGCACAAGAAATAGCCTCAATGTTCATTTCATGTTACCTCTTCTTAGTACCCTCCAAGGCCTGCATCCAATTGTAAAAGAGTTGAAAGGATGCATTTAAAAGCCTTAAAATTTAAAACTCATGTGTGGAGATTGATCACTGGCTTAACGCTACTTGGTTGTCTTGAGTTCACCCACTGACAAACACAAATTGCTGCCACGTAACGTGTAAAACAGATCTCAGTAAGTAACATAATGTCAGGAGAGGAACTTGTGAGGCTAAGATTCAGGTAGGCAGCCGTGTTGGTCTGACGCAGTCGAAATAAATAAATAAAATTAAAAAATTGTCCAGTAACACCTTAGAGACCATCTAAGTTTGTTCTGGGTATAAGCTTTCGTGTGCATGCACACTCCTTCAGATAAGGCTAAGGTCACTGCCTTTTTGAGAGTTAATGACTTCTATGGCAGAGATAAAATAGTAATGGCAGATGTATTTCCCTCAGAAACAGTTCCCTCTGGTTTGTTCTGCTCATTTTAATGCATACAAAAATTCAAGGAAATCACAGGTTGCTTGTCCTTTCCATTTCTGTTATTTGCTTTCCCATTCCCCATTGTTTTAAATGGGAAGGGCAAATAATGCAACTCGTGCACAGTGCCTTTGTTTCGTCCCACAGCAAAGATGGTCACTGCTTTGCAAGAAAGCAGTTTTAGGGCCTCGGCGAAGGTAAACTTTGCAGTTTTAACATCCCAAAGATGGTTCATATAATTTCCTTTGGAAAAATATTATAATAATGAAATTCAGAGACGAAGAGAGGAATTTCAAATAAGTGTTGAGATGCTGATAAGCGTGCTAATGGGCCAAAACCCATAGAAATTACAAGGCACCTGGTCTACATTCCATCATGATGTACCAGTAAAACAATCAGTAACATAGTGTATTCACATATAACTTAGACTAGGCATGTCCAAAGTCCGTTTGGGAGCCAGTTGGTTTAATCTGGCCCCTGTGGCAGTTTATTTCCTGGGGTAGGGTAAAATCCTTAAAAAAAAACCCTCAACTACTTCAACCCTAAAGAAGCTCAACAACTTTGGGGTAAAATCATAGAAAAAACTCAACAACTTCAATCTTAAAGGTTAACTTTGGTGGGTCCTCACGGCCCTTCACTTCATCAAATCTGGCCCTCTTTGGAAAAAGTTTGGACACCACTGCTTAGACTATAAACATGCACACTGCATTTGTCTTTCAGCCCCAGTCTTCTTTCATTGCAAATTGGAGGAAATTTATGGAGGCAGTGGCTTCCTAGCTGTACAACTTTCTGTTTCCCCTATATGGTTTTATTTGTTTTAGAGAAAATGACATACACTAATAGTGTTAGGCTGCAGAGGGGCTGGGGTTCACAGATACGGACAGAAAGAGCAACACAAGATTGGGAGCAGAAAGGTACGTACTGGGGCTGAGGTGGCACAAGTCAGCAAGTGAAATGGGAAGAGTTCTCCATTTGTTTATTTACTGAACATTTATAATCCTCCCTTCTAGTGTAAATACAACACTCAGAGCACTCTGAGTAACATTGATTGGTGAACATGCCAAGTACTCAGCTTTGTGATAGATAAGCTCAGTTTTGAAATGAATGAATGAAATCCTTATAAATTTATTACCAGATTGAATCTTGACATCTCCTGTTCCATTTTCTATTCCAAAATAGAAAAACTCTTAAATCTATTGGTGTTCAGGTTATATCTATCCTTTCCAAAATCAATAAAGAATAAATTATACCAAAAAAGCTGTACTTAGTGTTTGCTTTGCGGGCTTTACTTTTGGTCTAATATACACAAACTTGCACCCTACAGTTTAAGATAAGCTATACGAGAAGTTGATTATCAGAACAAAACGCTAAGAATTTTATGTCGTTGACAAGGAAAAAATAAAATATAGAAAGGAGAATCCCCTGGATGGAAAGATCCAGGTTTCGGACATCTGATGGGAGGGCGTTCCACAGGGTGGGTGTCACCACCGAGAAGGCCCTCTGCCTGGTTCCGTAACCTCATTCTCACAGTGAGGGAACTGCCAGAAGGCCCTCGGAGCTGGACCTCAGTGTCCGGGCTGAAGGATGGGGGTGGAGACGCTCCTTCAGGTATACTGGGCTGAGGCTGTTTAGGACTTTAAGGGACAGCACCAACACTTTGAATTGTGCTTGGAAACATACTGGGAGCCAACGTAGGTCTTTCAGGACCGGTGTTATATGGTCTCAGCAGCCACTCCCAGTCACCAATCTAGCTGCCGCATTCTGGATTGTAGTTTCCAAGTCACCTTCAAAGGTAGCCCCATGTAGAGCGCACTGCAGTAGTCAAAGCGGGAGATTACCAGAGCATGCACCACTCTGGCGAGACAGTCTGCGGGCAGGTAGGGTCTTAGCCTGCGTACCAGATGGAGCTGGTAGACAGCTGCCCTGGACACATAATTGACCTGTGCCTCCATGGACAGCTGAGTCCAAAATGATTCCCAGACTGCTCACCTGGTCCTTCAGGGGCACAGTTGCCCCATTCAGGACCAGGGAGTCCTGAGGTTTTGTTTTATTTTGACACATTATCTACAAAGCAACTCTATGTATTTAAGGAAGCCTGACGAAAACGTTTTAGGAGCAGCAGCGTGTGAGCTGCTCCACTGAGAGTGCGAGAGAGATTCTCATAATAGGTAGTGCCCAACAGTAACACATTCTGAAACCGAACCAGAGCTCATCTTTTTTTCTTTTTCCTCTTGTACATAACTACATGGACTGGAAATAAAAACCATAGTGTGTAGGCTTCCTATGCAGGAATTTGCATGGTAGAAAAAGGTCAGGAGACGAGGAAGAGCCCAAGAAAATATCACTAATGCAATATCCTGCCTTCTGTTTCCTAACACAGCCAGATGGACCTTCAATGCAATGTGAACATGACCTGGACAAAAGGGAGTCATGCAAAAACCCCTGAAGGATGTAACTGCCTCCTGTTTGAACAAAGCTTCTGGACAACTGAATGAACTTCTCCAAGAATTCTAAAGAGTCTGAGGCAATCCAGAAACAGGTTCTAAAGCAGAAGTAACTAAGGCTGCAGCATACATGAGCTTAGTGGTTATTGGTTGCTTCCCCTCAACTGTGATAAGTATTTCCTCTTCTATTATCTTTCTGTTTAGGTAACCTACTCCCTACAATAAGCATGAGAAAGAAACAAGTGTTCACCCCCTCCTCAAAAACTGCAGAAAATCTACCTGGCATACTCACTACTGATCACTGTTTGCCAGTAGTGTGCTAACACTTAACAACTCATAATCAGAAACGCTATATAGGGCTGTGTTGCTGTTGATTCTGTGAAACACTTCTGCTAAAATTTTAATTACCTAACAGCAGGCTATTCATCCATGCCGTATTAGGAGTATCTGTAAATTGGAATGTTTTCTTTGTTTTACGTCACCTACGATGAGAGGAAATGTAGACACAGATTCTCATGCCTCTTATATTCTCTTGTCCTGGGAACATATGTGTTCAATATTAACTTATCGTGCAGCAATAAAGGGTGGGTGGGGGGGTGGATTGAAAAGTTCATATTCCTAGACACTGGTAACTTGGAGCCACGTTACATGAGCTCAGCCAAGGACTCAAACACACACCTGGTGGAATTTTTCCACACTATATCCTATGCTACACATTCTAAACAGGTTTTAGAAATTGTGTTTCAAAAAAGGCTTCTATGTAGTACATCATTATTTAAAAGAAGGCTGAATCTCCCACTGGTGCATAAAACTTGCTGCACATTTCAGTCCTGGGCATTATTTATACAGTGGTACCTCTGGTTATGTACTTAATTCGTTCCGGAGGTCTGTTCTTAACCTGAAACTGTTCTTAACCTGAAGCACCACTTTAGCTAATGGGGCCTCCCGCTGCTGCCGCGCCGCCAGAGCATGATTTCTGTTCTCATCCTGAAGCAAAGTTCTTAACCCGAGGTAATATTTCTGGGTTACAGAGTCTGTAACCTGAAGCGTATGTAACCTGAAGCGTATGTAATCCGAGGTACCACTGTATATGGAAATATTGCCGAAGGTGGATGACCAAGAGGGATAATCAGTCATACTAGCTCCAGAATACCTTTGCACCTCATTTCAACTTTCCTTCACTCCTCCTTTCCACTCCCTCCCGCTTTTGGAAATTCCCAAGGCATTTCCAAATTATGCCCTGTATCTGACCAAATGTATACGTCTGTCAGGGGTTCAGAGAGAGAGGCACAGGGTAGGCAGGAGATGGAGAGCGAGGGGGAGGAATTCCAAGCCAGCGAGGAAGAGGATGACAATGACTCAAGGGATTCCATGAGTCTTTCCAGCGAATCAGAGGATTCCCAGAAGGGGGCGCCGGTGGTCAGGGCCAGGGGAGCCCCAGGGGGGAAGTGTCAGGAGCAGGGTGCCAGCGGAGGATCCCAAAGTGGCAGCTGGGCGTCAGGACCAGCCTCCCCACCAAAGTGCAGCGAAGGGGGTGGAGTTTCCAGTGTGTCAGAGGAAGCAGCTCCAGCAGCAGAGAAAGGAGGGGGTCAGAGCAAGCCGCCCTCCCGGAAGGGGAGGAGCAGTGAAGGGAGTAGTGTAACTGTCAAAAGGAAAGTTAGAGGTTTGGCGCGCGCGCCTAGTTCAAATGTAGAGGCGTGCGGAAGTGCAGGGAGCCCGGAGGAGGGGCCAGGTCCCAAAGCCCGCAGGAGGGGGGAAGAGCAGTCTGGGGATTCAGCGTCAGAGGAATCCAGAAGGGGCGCAACCCCAGGGGGCAGAAAGACCCTGCGGAAAAGGAAGGAGAGAAAGAGGTGGAGCAGCGCAAGTCTCTTAAATTGGTGCAGAGGAGGGACTGACTCAGAGGGGACTTCGGCGGTCTAGCGTAAGAGACGTAAGGCTGCGCGCCTAGGATGTCAAGCAAACCATGAACTGCAATAAACACCTTTGTATTCAAGAAGACGTAGGCGTTGGTCTTTTGTGAGCTAAGACTTGAGGCAGCCTTGACAACGTCAAAGAAAGAAAAATAAAAAATGGTCCTATCCATTTTTCACACTGAGGTGCTTTTAAGGGAGCAGAGGATAAAAAGTGTACAGTTAAATAGCAAGTTGATAAAATCATAAATGTTGCTCATCAAACCCAGCCAGGGCTGATGACAGATACATCACAAAACATCTGGAAGGCACCAGATTGGGCGGTGGATTCCCAGGAGATCCATCTGGATCCTACCTTGATGATTTTTCATCATTGCCACAAGACTGTTGTTTCAACAGGCCCCCTACCCCAAATTTGAGGATTTATTTATTTTCATCTTCTGCCCCTTGCTCTTTAAGCTCATTTTTCTTTCGAAATAATAATCATAAGTAAATAGAAAATTTGCATTTTTTAATGTCACATTGAATTTTAGTACAGTTCAATCCAAGAGAAAAAAACTGGCAGACACAGTAACGAGTACAGGATTATATATATATTACAATATGCGTTGTTATAATACAATTGTGGCTGCGTGGTAAAATTAACTTGAGGACTGATGGAATCCGATCTCATTTGAACAGCTGTCAGGAACAGAGCACTAAATGCATTTCCAAAATAAGCACTAATGTTTAATTTCAACACCTTAAAAACAGCATTAGACCTTGGCCTTTTTCTTAAAAAAACAAAACAAAAAAACTTAACACCTAGCTAGCTAAGTAACTGAAAAGGTTTGGATATAGAATGCTTTCTGCAGGCTTTCATACAGTGGAGGGATAATTATTCCTACAACAATACACATGGCTAAAATCCATGTTGAATGTGAAACTGGCGATGTCCAGTAACAACTTGTTCTAGGGAACTGTGTTCTAGAAGCTGCCCTTTTGCACGAAAGCGAAGCAACAAGTGATCACCGGATGCAAAAAACATTTCTCAAATTGTTTTTAATTGAACTGAAAACTATAGGCATGTCATCATTATAAAAAAAGTCTAAATATATCAGAAGCTCTCAACATTTTCAGCTACACTGATTTTTTGTAACCTTTCAAAGGAGAAACAAAAGGACAAAGTAAAATGGTCAATTAGCTAAGCCTGTGTTCTAACCAAACTACGTACAGTGATTTTCAACGGCAAATGCCCATGCTGACTGGGTGACTTTAACAATTCCGAATACCTTTGCAATCACTTTAATTTTGTATACAAGGACACCGAAAGGATCCAGCTTTGCAACCTTCATTTTAGGCATTCTGCATTTCTTTCCCGATCTTGTAGCTAAGGATCTTGTTCCAGTCAATCTTTGTGCGAGTAACTGGCAGTTGTCGTCGTAAGGCCTTGAAAGTAGTGTCCGACATAGTTTGATAATTTTCACTGATAGCAGTCTGTTCACGGAAAAGGTAGAACATGTAGATTATAGAAATACACAGTTTGATGTGAAAACAGATATAACAAGAACTAACCTGCAAAAACAAAACCAGCCCGCATCTGAAGGAACTTATTTCGACGTTGATGTAAGAAACACATGTGCTTCAGATGGTGTAATTAAATATGGATAACATAATTAGCTAGAAATCTTACTTTTGACATCCTTCAACTATGGAAGGCACAAAAGAAAATACAGAGAGGGGAGCATATTCCCCTAAAAAATGCACATCTGTTTACTGGCTTTTATGAATTAATTACACATGCCCTTGCTGTGTTAAACTGAATTGGTTTCATCACATACAAAAGAAGGAGGGGGAAGAGAACAGAACCAAGCAATTCCTTACTCTTAACTCCTCAATCCATTCCAGGAAAAGAAAACACAATGTCTGGGCTGAACAGGTTCATTTTCCATCAACAAAAATAGCTGTATTCTAAATGGGTATTCCCAAAAAGTAAAATTTGAAATTCGTTGCAGACTATACAATGTTTTCAGTTCAGAGGACTGATTTAAGACAAGCATTTTCTACAACCACAGATATTTATTTAAAAACAACAACAACCTTACCCAGAGTTAGGCTTTAAAAAGTAGTAAGGCCCCATAGTAGTGCCCATTACTTGAAGTGGCCTTTTGAGCATCGTATATTTGAACTCACATTCTGAAATCCTCGGAAAGAGGGTGTGTATCCGTTTATTAAGTGGGTATAGAAAGGTACATACCCAGCAAAGCTTTGCCCTTTCTCTTCCAGTAAGGATTTCAGATTCTGAATATTTCTACCCATTTTCTGGCTGCTCCTGAACACATATTGTAGTGAGAACATTGTCAAAAAGATTCAGGAAAGTAACTACATTGTATGTTGCAGACTTATTACATACCTGGTATTCATTTTCTGCAGCCTCTACGATCTTTACAAATTCCTTTGCTGTTTGGGTTTCATTCTAGGGTAAAGGGGAAGTTTTTTTTTAATATTGCACTGAAACAATCATCTCCTGAAGACAGTCATTTCAGACATTATAATGAATATAAACAATTACATAGGTTTCCCCCCCACTATTCAAGGGCTTACACGTTCTCTGTGTGTTTTGCAACAAGCCTGTAACCTGTCAGTATTATCTGCAAAACACAGGTGTCATCTATGGGGGTGCTTGTCATGAGTTGTTTTTTTTACTGGTAACTTACAAGCTCAGTACTAATTCCTATACTTTCTCATCTTGTCAGAAGTGGACCTTGCGGGACTTTCTGCAGTTTTTAAACTTCCCTTCTGGAAGCGAGTCAAGAATCTTTTTCGGACAAGTCAGAGAAAAGAAGGGAAGCTCAAGTCAACTACGGTTTCTGTTCCCCAGCTTATCATCACTCAGAGGACAACTCTATGCAGATTGTCAACTCTCTTACTGAGGTTTCAGGGATCCAACACTCATTAAAGCTCCATTTTTTGAGCTCATAAACAAGGAGCCAACTGCCCCTTCTGCATTACACATTAGAATGCATATGTTTAACATAGAAGGCTAGAGCTGGGTTTAGGCAGATCGTGGATTGAGATTCTACTCTTTGATCTGCCAAACAAGAGCCTGATTATGTACTTTCCACCAACATAGGACCATGCACTAGCGGGAAAATAGTAAAGACACAGAAAGAGTATTGACACAAGTGTCACAGCTGACCATGGTACTTTAGCACAGCTCTCATTCTGTTTGAGAGATTTGCTCAGTTTTCCAGCAAGGCTCCTGAAGCAGCTGTGACTTAAACTCAATACTAAGGGCTCTAGAACAGGCGCCCTCCAGATGTTTATGGCCTACAACTCCCATGATCCCTAGCTAGCAGGACCAGTGGTCAGGGATGATGGGAATTGTAGTCTCAAAACATCTGGAGGGTTGAGGAAGCCTGCTCTAGAAGCTGTAAATTCCACTAATGTTGCTCCTCTAATCACCATGTTTCCAAATCAAATGGATTAGATTTGTGTCTTCAATTCACAGCGTTCTTAACAGACTAAAGTCTTGTTACTTGGCCTAGTTTTGCATCAAAATGAAGCCATCCGAAAAGCCATTTAATTTCCCAAGCATGAATTCCTGTACAGAAAATAGTTGCTCCATCATAGATCGTGCAGGCATGAACCAAAAAAACACCAATATATCTAGTTCTGCATACTGAAGTGGGCATTATATTTCGTTTCTCGAACAGAGCACCCCATTCTTCATGGCAAACTGTTGTTGTTTTTCTATTTTAAGAAATGGGGTTTTCAAAACCAGTTGTATTGTGGTGTTGGGGTCTGAGGGGAATCCTTGAAAACCAGGTGGAGGCACCTTCCACAAGAATTACTCCCACACATAGAAAGTGCCATCACCTGTTTTTTTGAGGACCCCTCCCTTCAACCTGCACCACTATATATCCTATCAAGCGGAGCCCCCGCCCCTGGGAGCAAATTTTCAGGGGAAACTAGGCTTGTCACACATACATTTAACTCTGGAGTCAACCTTACGTGACTAATTAAAAATGTTTCCTACAAAAGAAAGATACTCACAGTCACTGTTAGAGAATCCTGTATGTCTTTATGACTCACTAGCTGAACATTTCCATCTTCATAATAATGAACCTACGTACAAAGTTAAACGGGATAAAGATTACCGCATAGGGATAACGGCACTGCGTATTAGGAAGAGTGAGCAATATTACACCCCATTCAAAACAGTTGCGTAAGAATTAGCACTTATGGTTCTACCCAGCATTGTCATTCTGCTGATCAGCAGAATAGGGAAGCCCTTTCAGTATTTCCCCCTCCCCTGCAGTCCCTCATGCATCTCCTAAGTCTGCTCTATAAGGTCCCCTAAGCCCTAAACGAGTTCCCTTTCCCATTCCACTGACAAAACCTTCTCTCAACAAAGCAACACAACCTTTAGTAGACTGAAGGTCTACTAAAAGTGTTTGCATTTGTGTCTTTTCCCATTAGTTTCTGCACAGAATAGAGTGCATGTTTTATTTGAATAATATGGACTGCAGATTTAGATGTTTGCTCCTTTTGTTTCACTTCTAGTTTTTTTCCATTTCTTTTTGGGGAGGGGCGGATGAGGGAAGTAAGGAGAGGGTTTTGAAACTCCAGAATACATATTTTCAGAATGTACGGAGAGGGAGTGTAAAGGGAAGATTTTGTTGAAAAACCTGATATCCACAATTACTGAATTTGCCTTTATTTTTATTTCTTTAGATACTTAAAAAAAATAGTAACAACAATTTATTTAGACAATTAGCCAACTGTATAGCGGAATAAATGCTTAGAACTTCAAGGTGTAGGCTTTTAATTACAGTGGTACCTCGGGTTAAGAACTTAATTCGTTCTGGAGGTCCATTCTTAACCTGAAACTGTTCTTAACCTGAGGTACCACTTTAGCTAATGGGGTCTCCCGCTGCCGCCACGCAATTTCTGTTCTCATCCTGAAGCAAAGTTCTTAACCCAAGGTACTATTTCTGGGTTAGCGGAGTCTGCAACCTGAAGCGTCTGTAATGTGAGGTACCACTGTACTGATTCACTGATAAATCATCACTATAATAGTTATGTAACAATTTGTTTCAACAGAACTCAAAGTACTGGTTCTCAATGATAAAGTCCTGAATAGACTGGGATTAGAATACAACTTCTTCCAAATAAATCTGCCTGGTTACTGAAATTATCACGGTAGGCCAGATGTATCTGACTTCAGGTCTTCCAGGTGCTGTTCATATTTCAAAAAACATCAGCCCCAGCCAGCATGGCCAATGATCAAGAGCCCACAAACACCTGGAGCATCACAACTTAGTCACTACTCTTATTATGTTCTCTATGGGCACTCTTGCCTTTGGCAGTGATTGGACGACTACCAAAGAGGACATTTTCCATGGTTGTACCCTATTTATAGAAATCCATCCCTAGAAAGTTTGGCTGACACCAAGGAAATTTGGTTGACTGAGTGTAAGCTGGGTTTATTTTTAGTTCTGGACAGCACTTAGTGGTTTCCTAATGCATCTACTGCTGCTTTTGCTGTGTTTTACTGTATAGCTCTGACACAATATGCTTTAGTATTTGATAAATTCTCTTAGTTAATCCATCCCAGGAAGCCACTAATAATTTTGATTTGCTATTGTGTAATCATTTCTTTGATTTATGTTATACATTTGTAAGCTTTGTTGAATACCATCAACGGTAGAAATGAAGAATATAAACGTTAAAAAAGAAAGTGTTCTGAGAGTTACGTGGGATTTATCAATCAGACACCATAAATTAGAGACAGCCTACCTGAATTTTCAAGATACCAGCCACCTGAGTGGTTGAAGGAGTGATTGTAAACTTCCATTCTGACCGCCAACGACCATTCCTTAAATGAAATAAAACTTTAGGTAAGCAAACATTGTGGGGAATCAAAATATTGAGTTTCACGTCCTTTAGATTTAAAAACTATTATGAAAAAGGATGCTTTGATGGGATATTGAAAGCAAATTGTGTAAACAGAAAAAAACTTAGTTTGTAAACAATATGCAGAAAGTTGCAACACAATTTCCATGCACATGAGATGAAATCTATAAAATCGACCAACATGTTGAAAATACATTTTGGAAATGGATTCCTATCTAAGTAAATAAGTACTGCAAATTTGCAATACTTATATTTTCCCATACCTGTGTATTTTGGAAATGTATCTAACGACATTTTTCACAAACCCACTGTTTGTCTAAAATATTTTTCCAAATACATTCCCATTTTCATTTTCACAGAGCATAATTGTGCTCAAAAGTTGAAATCTGAATACTATAGCTCCGTAATTCCCAAAACATTTTTTCTCTCGTAGATCACTTGAAAATTGCCAAGGGTCTTGGTGGTGAACTACTTAATAGTTTCTCTACTGTTATAGCAATTGCAATGCTACATGACTTTTGCTCAATGCTGTATGACTTCTGATCGTATATTTGCAGGTATACTGTGAACCACCTGAATGAAGCTTGTAGACTACTGGTTGTCTGCAGACCAGAGTTTACAAACCCTTGCTATAGCTTTAGTGCCATGAATATAGGTTCTAAACACTGAATATGCTGAAAATGGAAGTCCAATATAACTTTCAATGGGGTGAGCAAAATAAAATAGAAAAGAAACCAATTTACAGATGACCGATATGATACTTACCAAAAGTTTTTTGCTTGAAACTGATGGCTCTCTATGCATGCAATAATTGTTTGATGCCCATCAATTGTTTTTCCATACACCTTGCAACACAAATGTAAGACAGTTATGCCACAGTCTAAATTCATTCATTTATTACGTTTGTATACCAGCCATATATCTGAATTCAAGCCAACAGACAAAATAATGGTTTTAACCCACCCAAGCAATTTCTAGATCCTGCGACACTTACTGTGCAAACACCACTTGGATAGTGTTCTTTCACATAGGCTCTCATTGCTGTTTCTATGGAGTTTCTCCATGACTCAATTGCATTTTCAACTTCATGATGCTTTGGATCAGTAGCCTCCTTCCTTAAATGATCAAATTTAAAAGAGATCTTGTTTTTCGGGTCCAAAAATTTTCCATTGCCCAAGTCACCGTGTTCTGTTATTAAAACCTGCACAAAGAGTTTAAAGGTAATTGTAAGATTATACAAAACACAGGTAACACCATCAAATAAAAGAATGGAACGTTAGAAAAATTATTGTACCACTGTACTTTTTAATTAAAGGCATGGCACAGCAGCTCTATACATTACATTGGTTTTCAAATTCTAGTTGGGGAATCCTAGTTTCTATGAGAAACCAGAATAGTTCAATACTGTTATTCAAAAATTCTACATTTCATTTTATAAAGTGGTACTTTTAGAAAAGAAAGACACATTGTTCTTTTAAAAACCAAGATCAAGTTGTGGGATTGTCATTACAAAAGTGCACTGAGAAAGAGTAAACTAATATATTTAATCATTCTCTCTATCTCTGAAGTTCAGAGGTAAGTGTGTCTCCTCATGAGCCAATACAGCACCACACACACAAAAGGAAGGTATTAGTAACACTGATGTCTCACAACAAATGAAACGGATCTGTAGAAAACACAACTTGAAAAAAGAGACAATGCATGTATTTTTGTAAACTAAGAAATCTTTAATAAAAATATATATTTTTTAAAAGGGAGGCATTAGTTGGATAGAGGGAAACTCAAGATTTGTAGTAGTTAGTAGTAGTAGTAAAAAGCAAGATTGAGCTGCTCAACCTCACCCCCTTGCCTCAAAGGATTTGGGTAGGAGCTATTGCATGGAATGACACCAGTGAAGAACTGATTTCATATAGACATCATGTAACTTCTGTTCTAGCATTAGGTTTGAGTGTGATTTTATTTTGAGAATAAGCTACTCTGAGAGCCTCTTGGGGCTATAAAGTGAACTATACATATTCTCTCTCTCTCTACACACTCTCTCTACACACACACACACACACACACACACACGTACGTACGTACATATATATATATTACAAAATAACCCCCTAAAGAGTCCAACCCCAACACAGCCCAATGAGCACTGAGCATGCCACCGACCATTACACCAAACTTAAATTCAACCATAGTCATACCTGCTCATCATAGCCTTCTAGTTTTACTGGAGTAAACTGGTCCAAGTTATACTGTGCAAATGCACTGAAAAAGACAAAGATAGGAAGCTTCAAGTAAAAAAAATTTTTTTTTGCGACATTAAGAAACATCAAGCGATATAGAGTACAATTTAGAAACTAATCCTTTCCGCCTCCTCCACCCATTGTGCTTAATAAATTTTCAAATTGTGTTAAGGGGCTCAGAGCTTGTGTTCCTGTATAATAAAACTATGAATGTAGAAATCTCATAATGTGCACAAACCTTTGGATTCCCAGTGATCTTTAACACCATTCACACATTATATGCAGAATAAAATCTAATCACATACTTTTCCTGCCTCTTCACCCTTATCTACTCTTGTCAGTGTGAGCCGCAGGGTTATGGATGCAGCAGTGATCACACTGCCCTTTTAAGTCCTGCTGCTGCTGGCCTAGGGGCTGGGATCACTGGCCCTCCCAAAAAAAGTCATATTGAGTAGATATGTCTTACTTCTGGGAGAAGGCTGTTTTCAATCTTTCAGAGCACCAATCAGCAAGGAACACAATGAAAAAGCGGGGGGGGGGGGGCTGTTCTATCCCATCCTCACACAACCTATTAAAAGCTGCCCATAAATGCATCCGTTCAGCATTAACACATTGAAAGAAGCAATAAATGGTGGTGATACTTACTGAGCTGCTCCTTCCCTGAGAAGATTATCATTATTAAGCAGCAATCGAACATCTGAAAAATACTGAGCATTAGTACACGGTGAAATTGCTAATCGGAAAATACATGTTTTCCACGAGAGGAAGTAATCTACTACAAGACACCACGTACGCCTGTCATGATAAAGCATGGAAAAATACTGTCAGTTTTAGGGTACTGGCCATGTTCAGAGATGGAAAATAGCAACTTCCTGGGTCCTAGCATTAAATTGGTAGGCATTTAATGCTCCTGGAATTTTCCATAAACTGGCTATAACTCTGCAATGCCAACCACAGAAGAAACAAATTGGCAAAGATTTCTAGCAGTAGCAAGTGATGTTAGAGCTACTTTATGTAATGTAACAGGAGGATCACCTGGCAAAAGTTAGGCAAAAAGTGCTGATACATTTTAAAATAGGAAGTGGAACACTCTTCTAACAGTCTTGAAATTATATTAATAGACACAGAAAAGGAAACATGGGAGCAAGCAATGTGAAGTTCCAAAGTGTCATCTTGATTTGTTTTTTTCAAAAGTTTGTTTTTTAAATCCTCCATAAAGGGTAACTGAAACCATCAACATGAGAACTAGAAAGCAGCATGACAACTCACCGTTAAAGACTTCATTGAATTCCCCCGGGGGAGCATGGATGATAAATTTCGCTGCTATGCGCACCTAAAATGGAAACAAGAAGTATATCATACAGTAATCATAGGATAGTTTTAAATGGGAGAAATCTATTTAATTCTTTAATAACTTAAAAAGTTTAACTGGAAAATAACTGAGCTCCAAATTACATCCTAATACCACCTTAGAATGCAAAGTATTGTGTTAAAGAGAGATGTTTGGCTAAGTTAATTTAGAAGAGGAAGCATAAAATAGGTGGTGCAAGATGCTTTGTGAAATGAAGAAATACTTCTACTGCCTGTTACGGTCAAACCAGACCAATGAATTTCCAACACAAAATAACCAGCACAAAACGTTCACAAAGGTACTCTTAAAGACAGAATTGTAATAGAAAATGTAACAATCTGAACTTCACTGAGTATGAAAATCCCTGAGGCATAGCTGAAGGACTATCTTCTGGAATAGGAAACACAACGTAGTTCTGTGAAGTCTCAGCAAAACAAGGTTACATTTGTGTTTAAAAAGCATGTCCTAAATAATTGCCGGAAGCATCATCAACATATTTATTTAAAAGTATTTGTACACAGCTTAATATTTCAAAAATCTCTCTACGGCATCTTCCAAGGCAGACTGGCTTTCTGCTGAGACGTAGAGAAGCTCTGTCTCCTGACTCAATCTTGGCCAACTCTGGCTTAAGAGACGAGCTAGCCTGGGCAGGTCTATAGTTGTGACTGCACTGCTATCACCCCTAAGTCATCTCTTCCATACTGAATGTCTGAACTACTGAGCTTTATAAAACACTCAAAGCTCCTCAGAAGACAAGGGCAAAAATGCATCAAGTGCATAATAGTATATTGATATTACAAGGTGTTACTCATTTGGATTTGGATTTATACAGGTCAAAATCCCAGCTTTATACAACCAAGGCTGCAATCCTCAGCATTACTTGGGAACAAGTCCCTCTCATTTAAATGAAATAAACTTTTGAGAAGACATGTTAGCATGTATGATAAAAAGGCTTTAATTAAGAAAACGTTAAAAACAAGTATGTTCAAACAGCTCTTTCATATATAGTAATTACTTTGCATTTAAAAAGAAATAGTTAAGATAATGGGGTGGCATTTCTAAAAACCCAAAAGTCAGTTGTGTGTTGTTTCTTCAAGAATATCTGGAGTTTGTCGCAAACATACTATTCTACCTCCTCTTGAATATTAAAAGCAGGCATGTAGGGTGTGTGTGTGTGTTTTCAAGGCATATATGAGATGACATAAACTGAAATGCTCTTCTTACCACTAGCTTTCCTGACTATAACCACAACGGAAATTGATTTGGTTTAAGGCAAAAAAACAAAACAAAACCTGGCATGTACATGCCTATATAAGGCAATGACAATGTGCACATCAGCACCATTCTGAGTTCTTGAAGTCAAGCTACAGTAGTTTAGATAAGAATCAACAAAATACATGGCTATCAAAAGACAGCAAGAAAAGATCTCAGGAAGATATAAACAAAATAGAACAATTTCAAGCACAGGGGTTGGCCAGATATAAACTGGGACATGGGGTGGGGGATAATGCAAACTGCAGAACTTCCACGTACCCCAACCCACTGCCCCTGGCCTGCTATTCTTCTGGCCAGGATCATAGCCAGAAGCAGGCTCTGCTAGGAGAAAAGTTGCATCCTCTTCTTGCCTTCTGATTCTTTGCATTACACTCTGCATTCTAACCATCCCCTGCTTTACAACTGAACATGAAATGCATGCTATCATATAGTTCATGACACACAGCTAGGCCACCAGAGTCAACGCAGTGCGGTAAACACAATATTTGACTTGTGGGTGGTTTACAATTTCCAGTCAGCCTTGAAGCTCACTGAGTTGTCTTGAGCAACTCATGCCATATCAGAAAGAAAAGCAGGTTGGTCATATGCTGCCTCCTCGAACTACTGAGAGAACAGCCAGATTACATCAAAGAAAGAAGTTCAATCTTGAGCTGATTGGCTACAAAACGTGTGAAATGCTGTATCTTTTGCCCATGTCTTACATTACATACGGCTATACTAAGAACTGTAGCCTTCAGTATCTAAGAAATCCTGGATTTGGTCGTGAACTGCGTGTAACAATAAAACCCAAAAAGTCACACAAAGTAAAATGTAATCCTCCTAGTTTGTGCCACCTTGTTTGGAAATCTTTTCAAAATGTAGCCTTTCAGAACTAAAGTTATTTTCCAATAAAATGGATCTTAAAGCCTCCTTTCATAATTGCAAAAAGGCACTGTTTGAAAAAATCATTTTTGTCAGAGCTATGAGACACCTGTTTTGTACCGCTGCCACAACACTTCCGGTCTGAGATCAAGCTGTTAGTAATGACTTGCAAAGCTCTTAAATACTTCAGACCAAGATATATGAAGATGCATGTCTCACTATATTGTCCTTCCCAGATTTTAAGACTTTTTGGCTCTGGAGGTCAACCACCCTGTTATGACATCACATGATTGGCATGTGGGTTGTCCCACATACCTGGCAAAATCCCTTGTGCTGTGTTCCCAAATGCCAGCCAGCCTGGGAACCACAGTGCAAGTGGCACTGCGAGCCCTATCCATGGCGCTTTAAGAAGGACTAAGCACAGGGCCAGGAAGTGCTTCTTTCTCACCTTCTCATCAGCTGGCGTGGGGCTGCATGTTGCAAGTACTGGCTGTGCAAAGAAGAAGTCCCTCACACAGCAGATGCCTTCAAAAAATGGGAACAGGAGCACACAACCAAACCGAGCAGGATTTAACCCCGCTTGGGGTTAAATTCTGCTGTTCCTCTGCTGGGAAAAGGTGTGCACACCCAACACAGAATTAAATGTCAGCCTCCCACCATTATAAATTACACCAACAGATTTACAGATGGGTGTGATGTGAGGGGAAATGGTTTGACAGGTCAAGATTGGCCTGTGGACTGGAAGTTCCCCACCCGTTTGAAGATCTTCTGGGGAGGCTCTTCTTTGTGTCCCACTTCTAGGAGTCTCTCATTTTGTGGGGATGCAGGAAAGGGCTTTCCCCGTGGTGGTACCCTGACTGTCCTCCCCTCTGAGATATCACTGATGGTGCCAACTATTTTTATGTTTTGGTGTCAAGTTAAAACATGGTTATTTTCTTGCGCATTTGTGGGTCATTAATTGTCAGCTCAGACTTAAATAAAAATCCAATTTGCAGTGTAATATAGCAATTGTTTTAGATGCTCAGTTTCCTTATTGTATTGTTGTTTTAAATTTAATTTTACTGAACCATGACCTGAGATCTGTGATGGAAGATAATATTAAATATGTCAACAAAATCAAAAGCAATGGTCAAGAACTGGAGGGTCAATGATACAATAAACTATACTCAAATTTTACATTTGCAGTTTGTTCAGTTATGTTAAGGTACCCTATATATCTTCCAAGCTCATACAATTGTCAGATTCAACATGGGACAGGTAAGTTACATTTGCTGTAGTTCCACAGAATTTCAGCAAGTACAGCTCTGGAGTGCTACAGTGGTGGAAATTCTCCCTTCCTAAAAGCACACGGACCTTCTCACATTAAATATGACAACATTACATAGCAAATACACCAGCAATATAAATCTTCTTCGTATCTGAAGAAGTGTGCATGCACCCGAAAGGTTATACAAAGAACAAACTTATTTGGTCTCTAAGGCGCTACTGGACTATTTTTTTATATATTTCGACTGCGTCAGGCCAACACGACTACGTACCTGAATGTATAACCAGCAATATAGTTAACCATTTATCTCTATCAGCCCCCTTTCTATAGCACTTCTCCTCGCCCTGCCATGCTTGCCATGTTCCATTTATTCAGATAATACTTTAAACCGAAACACAGAAGACTTGAAATTTTACCTGTCCTAGTAACCAAATAGTTTGCTCCAGTCAGCAATCTGGAAATGGATTCTGAAAAGGATCAAATAGCAGTGCTTGCAAGAAAATGTGTAATGGTGTTTCCAAAGGAAGAATGCTCTATGACAGACACTTATAAATTCCTGGGAATCCTGGAACAGACCTTGTGAAAATGTAATTGTTGCAGTCTTTGAATAAGCACAGTGTTTTTCAAACTATATCCATTTCCTAGAAACCCCAGGATTCCTCAGTAAGATCATTTATGGGAAATGAGATTTCCTGGAAGGCAATTTGCCCGTCATGACCAATCCTTCCCTACATATCCCTTGAGTGGATATGCTGATGGAAGATATGCAAAGGTTCCTCAATATGGTATCTGCAAAGTGTAGGAATCTTTAAGTCTATAGCACTGGCAACATGCCATGTAAAAACACAGTATGCATGTTTCACCTTGATTTTGGCCACTGTCAAGTTTCCTACAACAGGGTGCACAACTCATGAAGGCGAGAAGTCCCAAGCAGAGAACATCCAGCCCACAGACCTAATTAGGCTCACCAGGCCTCCCAATCTGGTCTGCAGAATCATTTTCCTTCCACAATGCCCACTTGTTGATTGCCTGACATCAGGTACGGGACATCATAAGACAAGTGGGGGACACGTAAGGCTACGACTACAAATAAACCATCAGAAGCCTTAGAGTGCACTCCTGCTGATTTATAAGCGTGGTTTCCCTTTAGCGCTATTTAAATTTGGCACCAAATGTGCTGCTTTTGGTAGTTATCCTATCCATTCGGAAGCTCTGAAGTGGCTGGCACTGGATTCACTCAGGAGCACTCTAAAATTTAAGGTGTAAAAGTGTTCAAGAACAGAAATACAGTGGTACCTCAGGTTACGAACTTAATTCATTCCTAAGGTCCATTCTTAACCCCAAACCGTTCTTAACCTGAGGCGCGCTTTTGCTAGTGGGGCCTCCCGCTGCTGCCGGCGCACAATTTCCGTTCTCATCCTGGGGCAAAGTTCTCAACCTACTTCCGGCTTAGCGGAGTTTGTAACCCGAAGCGTTTGTAACCCAAGGTACCAATGGACTTCCAAGAAGGATTTTGCACAGCCTCTACATGGTAGTCCCAATGAATGGAACTCTGAGACGGTAATCAAAGTGCCTGCGTGAATAACCCTTTCGTGAAAAGTATTTATAGGGGAACTATTTTGATTCCCTCAAATAAACAAACAAGCCCTCCACAATTTAATCCTGGTTTACAGGGCGTAAGCAAGATGTGGTCTTCCAGTTCAGATGTAATCACAGCTAACGTTTCTGAAAACCAGGAAGTTATTCATTTAGCCAAACGTGAAAGTGGAGAGAAGGTATACAGGATTTGCTCCTGATCCTCCCAAACAAATCTTGGTTATGCCTGACCCAAGCCAGTGAAATCTGATGAGGCAGGAGAATTTAGTATACAATCAAAGTGGTGCCCCAAATTCGGAAAAACAGGAAGTTCCTCAAATTCTTTCCATCAAGCACACCCTTAACTATTGCTCAATGCATCTGCATTTCCCCTTTTAAAGAAGTGTACAGCGAAGACAGCTTATGATATTCTAAGGTAAATGAATGGAAGGAAAGTTCACAGAAGGAAAGTCTCCAGTCTCCTTGCCTCTGCAGCTGCCTTTATCATCCCGAATAGCCTCTTCAAGAGTGATGGGAGTGGCTTTCCAGAACCATGTGGCATACAAACACAGGAAGCTGCCTTATAACAAGTCAGAGCACTGGTTCACCTAGCTCAATAGGTGACAGTGGCTCTCCAGTGTTTCGGACTGGGGGGTCTCTCTCACCCATCACTTGAGATACTGGAAGCTGAACCTGGGATTTTCTGAATGCAAAGCAGACGTTCTACTGCTGATCTACTGCCCTTCCCAAAGGAGAGACTTTACTGGAGGAGGAGAGTGAAAGGCAGTTCAGCTTTGGTTAACTCCCCACTTCCTCAGCATTCCCGAGCCCCATTTATACATTGTTCAAGACCACCCCCGCCCAAGAGACTTTTCAGTGGGATGCAGATAGGCCAAAGAAAGGTATAAGAAACCTTCTATTTTCTTTTGTTCACTTATCCTAGAATCTAAGTCAACATTCTTACACTGATAAGACAAATCCTCCTCAATGGTGTACTTCTGTCTCAGCCACAGAACTTTAAATTCTGAACTAAATTTTTGTTGTAGCAGGCAAAAGAACAAGTGAACTAGCCTAGAACTAAGAAAAGGGAAATTCATAATAAAGCAGTATCTCAAATGAAAACTGCCTTGTACCAGGAGCTGGGTTCCCCAGAGCAAGCAATATAGCTTTTGAGTGCTATCATAGCCCAGTTTTCAGAGAATATCCCTTACAATGTAAATCTCTACTAATTTGGAAAGAAGTCAAATACTGCTTCTCTTAATCAGCATCTTATTTCCATTTCAGCCAAGCAGAGAAGTTTATAATTCAGTTTCCAAATGAAAATGTAAGTATTCTAGATATATTGCAGAAACAATTGCCAAGGCTCTCACTTGCTGCAGCTTCTGTCTCATATGCATTTATCTACCGGAATTCTGAAAAGGCTACAGAAAATACCTATGCAGGGTTTATTGTGGGTTTTCTTTGTTTCTATTTATACATACTTCCCTCATCAAGCTTATTTATATACTGGAATCTTAGGTTAATAAGCAATCGCTAACTGGTCATGTTCATTTATGTTTTTTGTACTACTTCCCTAAACACAAAACAAAGCAAACTAGTTGGCACCAGGGACCGTGTGATGACAGAGCAAATGTCCAATCTTCTAGAGCAAGACTGAACCGAGAGATGAAAGATAATTCTGTTGTTCTGGGGTGCACTTTCTACTTGGTGACGTACATTTGGGGCAAGATGCGTGAGATGGTGGTTACCATGTAACTTCAGATGTGCTCTGAGGAACTGTATCATCTGAGCCTATTCCAATCTAGCTTCAGGCACACTTTTGGCACCAATTGATGACCTGTGTTGGGAGAGACTAAGGGAGTGTGACCCTGTTGGTTCTCCATCTCTCAGGTGGCTTTTGATACGATCAATGAGGTATCCTCCTCAAGATGCTCAGTGATTTGGGAGTGGAAGGCATGGTGCAGTGGTGATTCACTCCTACCTTCCAGGTCATTTTGAGATAGCTGGGAGACTTCTGCTCAACCCTTTCGCAATTCTGATGTGGGGTCCCTCACGCTTTTGAACATATATATGAATCTGCTGTAGGAGGGAAGTTGCCATTGGTATGACAATGACACCTAGCTCTACATCCATGCTCTAAGAATCAGGTGAGGCTGTACAAGTGCTGGACTGTTGTCTAGGGTAAGTGATGGGCTGGAGGGCTAAATAAATTAAGCTGAATCAGGTTAGAGGTGCTGTGGGCCAATGGTTATTATACCTGGCAATAGGGAATACTACCTATTCTGGACAGGGTGCACTTTCCTTTAAAGATCAGGTACATAGCTTGGGGGCATTCATGGTTCCAGCATTTCCACTGCAGGCTCAGGTCACTTCAGTGCCTTCCTTCAATAAATTAGTTCACCAGTTATAGCCATTCATGGACTGCAATGACCTGCTGGCAGTGATCCACCCTCTGGCAGACTTTTGGTTATATTATTGCAATGCACTCTACAAGGGTCTACCCTTTAAGGTGCTCCAGACATGACAGCTAGTGCAAAATGTGGCCACTAAAATCCTGACTGAGTCACCAAGGAGGGATCGTATTAAATAAGTCTTAAAGGTGCTACACTGGCTATCAAACATGATAATGAACACAAGAGAATAAGAAGCATTACCACTGTAACGAGAACAACCTTGTGGCACTTAAAGATGTAACAGATTTAACATGACATAAATCTATTACATTAAGGAAGAAATTATGAGGCAACTTCCTTTTATTTTATTCTATTCAACCTAATAAGAAGGTTGTGTCTAGCTAATAATTACTGAAAGAAAGTGATTTCTGTAAGCAGGCATTGCATTGCCTCCTTACTCAGGGCAGGGGTGCATGTAAACAGAACTACACAGCACAACTGTATCATTAGAAATTTAAGGCAACATGAAAGAATACCTTACACAGCCAAATCTTATACTGAGTCGATCTGAGTTCAATAAGGCTAACTCTGAAGTATATGGTGGCATAGGATTGCCATTGAAGACCATGTTAGAGAAGGGAGACCTCTTTGCATGTCTTGACAAGACCTGAAAACAGAACTTAAGACTCAACAAATTTCATTTGAACTGTATGCACACAATTACCCACAGGAACTAGAATGAGTCACTTAAGCTATTTTAGTTTCTTTTTAAAAAATTTCTCCTTGCACACCAGAATTTTCTTGTATTAAGATGCAAAGCTGTAAAAAGCTTTTCATGAAGACCTACACATTTTTCTGTAGCTAGCTCTGTCTTGAAAACTTGATGATAGGAAAGTGATAGTGTAATACCTAAAGACAATGTAAACAGTGCATCATTGTCTTGTTATTTAGACCACTATCCAATAGCTCTAAAATCTCTTGCATTTTCAACTGCAGTTAATATGAGCTCAAATGGAGAGACGAAAGTGAGCAAGCCACTTATGTGTTGCTGTTCCTCAGCCTAGCACTTTCTCTTGAAAATAAAGGTACACATTTTTAAACAACAGGGCAGAGACATCCAACTTCCAAGAGACTGTGATCTACTCCCACTATAAACAAACTGGTAGTGATCTACCCATTGATTGGACCAAAGTTGTTGAGCTTTTTGGGGGAAGGATGAGCCAAAGTTGTGTGTGTGTTTGAAGATTGATCAGGATCATGCGATCGACCAGGATCAACAAGGGACACCCCACGATCGACCGGTAGATCGCAATCGACCGGGTGGACATCCCTGCCATAGGGCAGTGGAATTCAATAATAAGGAATTGACATTTATAGTAATTATCATGCCTTTAAAAGAAATGAAGGATTCCCCTCTTACAGATGACAATGCAAAGTAGACTCACAATTACCCTTTCCAGATACAGTCATACCTCATGTTGCGCCCGCTTCAGGTTGCGTTTTTTCGGGTTGCGGACTGCTGAAACCTGGAAGTACCGGAACTGGTCACTTCCGGGTTTCGGCAGTCGCACATGCGCAGAAGCACTAAATCACACTTTGCGCATGCACAGAAGTGCTGAATCGCAACCCACACATGCACAGACACGGGTTGCGAACCCTGCAGGTTGCAAACGTGCATCCTGCACGGATCATGTCTGCAACCCGAGCGTCCACTGTACTGTGGAGGAACTTCCATTTTAAGGTGCAACTTCAAACGGAAATCTAAAAGTACAGCAGAAGCAAGTGACAGACACCTGTTGTAAACATGTGCACATGCTACAAGTACACTTGCCAGAAAGATGGATCCACAAGTATGCTTGGTGGCAAACATTAGTTTCCTATTATGTAACATGTGAACTCCGCCTCCCCAAAGTCACACTGAGCCCTCATATCTAAGAGTCTACAGAGCATCTTTAAGTTGGGCAAGGCTGAAAGAATGAAACCCATGAATGAAGAAAGAATCAGATGCTTCAAAGCCTTCGGCTACTCAGTGCTTGGGATAAAGAAGCACAAACCACTCCAACCAACCCTTCCTCAAAACCCGATTTAACAGGACTAGGCCCTAGAATGTGCGACAGGGGAGACAGACGGTGCCCTTTCTTCAAGCAGAGCTCTTACACCACACACTTGAAATGAAATTAATTGATCATGTATTAATGAATCAGAAATAACCCATCCTTCTCAGGGACTATAGGTAAAATGCATCAGAATTTATCCATGAACTAAACATGGAAGAAAAGGGGCAGAAGACCCACACTTTATAATAAAAAAATACCACTCCAACTGAATACAGCATGCAACCTGCATGTGCAATCTGCTCTGATGCTGCTATTATTTCTCTTCCTCCCACCCCAAGTGCTGCGACTAGATAATCCTCAGGATCCCTTCCAAATCTACAATTCCATGGGGCGGGGGAACACCCTATGACTATTTTTCTTCCTCCCTACCCCCCACCCCAAGTGCTGCGACTAGATCCATGGTTCCCAACGTGGGGCACAATTTGGAAGCTTGTCTAGACCAAGTTAATGGCCTTTTAGGCTTCCTCCACGTGAATAGTTCACCTTTTGAATAATAAGAATTATGTGTCATGGGGGGAGGGGCATCAGGATTTTAGAGATGCTTAGGTGGGGTCCGTATAGTTAAAGCTATGGTTTTCCCAGTAGTGATGTATGGAAGTGAGAGCTGGACCATAAAGAAGGCTGATCGCCAAAGAATTGATGCTTTTGAATTATGGTGCTGGAGGAGACTCTTGAGAGTCCCATGGACTGCAAGAAGATCAAACCTCTCCATTCTGAAGGAAATCAGCCCTGAGTGCTCACTGGAAGGACAGATCCTGAAGCTGAGGCTCCAATACTTTGGCCACCTCATGAGAAGAGAAGACTCCCTGGAAAAGACCCTGATGTTGGGAAAGATGGAGGGCACGAGGAGAAGGGGCCGACAGAGGACGAGATGGTTGGACAGTGTTCTTGAAGCTACTAACATGAATTTGACCAAACGACTAAACAAGAAGGTGGGGGCATGGCAAAAAAAAGGGTTGGGAACCGCTGGACTAGATGATCCTCAGGATCCCTTCCAACTCTACAATTCCATGAAGAAGACGACGAAGAAGCAGAAGAAACACCCTATGATTATTTCTCTTCCTCCCCACCCCAAAAGCCCTCGACGTGGTGGCGGGATTTGCCCTGCCCAACTCGCACCCGGAAGAGCCGGCCGCGGAGGAAGAAGAGGCAAAACCCCTTAGCCCTCCCGCCCCCTCCACCCATCAGCTCGGGCCTTCAGAGAAGGGGGAGGGGGAAGCCGAGAGGAGGAGGAGGAGGAGGAGGAAGAAGAAAGCAGCCGAGGGGAGGGGAGTCTCGCCCAGCAGACACCGGATCTGCCCCGCCTGCCTCCGCAGCCCCAGCCCGGCGCCGGGAGCCTATTTTCAGCGCTCGCACCGTACAAGGAGCGGCGGGAAGGGCCCTCGGACAGCAGGAGGAGAAAGAGGAGAGCCGCCTTCCTCCTCTCGCTGCCCGGCCACCGGCTGACAAGGGACCCATTTCCTTCCTCTTCACGGGGCCGGGGGAAAGGAAGGAAGGAAGCCCCCCTCAGGCTGAGGCGCAGCAACCGCCGCCCCTCGCGACGCAGCCCCGTCCCCCCCCCCTCCAACAGGGCGACGACACCCGCCTCACCTTCTCCTCCTCAGAGAGCTGGTCTTCCAGGTCCGCCATCTTCGTTTTCTCCCCTGTCCGGCCACGAGAAGGAGGAGGAGGAAGGAGAGGGAGAGGGAAAGGCGGCGGCAGCGGCGGCACCCGAATCCGCAGCAGCAGCAGCGGCAAGAGGAGGAGGAAGAGCGGCGGCAGCAGCAGCAGCAAAGGCCCAGCTCTACCCGCCTCCGCCCTTCGCTCAGCAGGAAGGGCGGGGCTCCGGGCGCGTCCCCGAGAGAGGCGGGGGAGGGAGGGGAGGCGCGGACGCGGACGGAAGCATGCGCAGAGCGGCCTCGCCGGGAGGGGTACGGCCCCTTCTGCTCGGGAGAAAGAACGGGGCGCCGCCCCCGCCCCGCCAAGGGGATGTTCACTAGACGTACAACACGTTTAATGTTTTATTATGTTTTTATCTATGTTGGAAGCTGGGGCTGGGGAAGCCCAGTAAGGTGGGCGGGTAGTAGTAATAATAATGATACATGAATGAATTGGACATCTCTATTTTCATTGGAGAAATGTTGGACGGCATAAAAGGGCTTCGATAACGCTCCAGCCTCCTGGCTCTGTAGCTTCTATTCCTCACTCCCCCTCCTACACAACTCCCCAAGTTGTCAGCCTTTTGCAGTTTCAGGGTTTTTCATTTCTTATTCCTTTGATTTTTTGCTCTTTCGGCGCTTTTTTCTCGGTGGTTGGGAACACCAAACAGGGAGGAGTTGCTGCACACCCTCCAACATTTCTCAGATGAAAATAGAGACACCCAATTCTATTATTATTATTATTATTATTCTCTGGGCAGCTCCCAACATATATAAAAATATAATACAGTGGTACCTCGGGTTACAGACGCTTCAGTTTACAGACTCTGCTAACCCATAAATAGTTTCTCAGGTTAAGAACTTTGCTTCAGGATGAGAACAGAAATCGTGCAGTGGGAGGCCCCATTAGCTAAAGTGGTGCTTCAGGTTAAGAACAGTTTCAGGTTAAGAACGGACCTCCAGAACGAATTAAGTTCTTAACCCGAGTTACCACTGTACAGTGGTACTTTGGTTCTCGAACTTAATCCATTCCGGGAGTCCACTTGACTCATGAAACCGTTCGAAAACCAAGGCATGGCTTCCGATTGGTTGTAGCAGCTTCCTACACTGCGTCGGACGTTCGGCTTCTGAAAAACGTTCACAAAGCGGAACACTTACGGATTTGCGGCGTTTGTGAGCCGATTTGTTCAACAACTAAGCCATTCGGGAACTAAGGTACCACTGTAAAACATTACGCATTAAAGGACTGTTTCCAATTTGATCCCAGAATGCCCCACTTTTCCTTAGGATGTCCCTGTTTTCATTGAAGAAATGTTGGAGGGGATGCAATTATTAGTAGTAGTATTTTATTTATACCCCACTCATCTGACTGAATTGCCGCAGCCATACTGAGCAGCTTCCAATGTAGGATAAAAACATAATAAAACATTTTTTTAAAAACCTTCCCTAGACAGGGCTGCCTTCAGATATCTTATAAAGGTTGTATAGTTACTGAGCTCCTTGACTCGGAGATTGTATAATTCCATATCGTTGAACATTTCTCCAATGAAAAATAGGGACATCCTAAGGAAAAGTGGGACAAATCAGAGACCGGGGAGCTTCTGTAAATGTGGGACTGTCCTTGGAAAATAGGGACACTTGGAGAGTCTGTTGCTGTTGGGACCTGAAAATTGTTCCTCCCCACAAGGAAAGAATGGGTGAAGAAAGTTTGACTTTGGGAACAAGGCAGGAAGAAATATCAACATCGGGATCTGCTGCCCTACTGAATTGGCATCCTAAGGCAGTCGTTGCACCTTGCCTCATGGGTGGGCTGGCCCTGGCTCACTAGGAGAAGAGGATGCTGGAGCTGTGGGGGCCTTTGTAGTCTGTTCCAGCAGGGTGCTTTTCCTCTCCTCCAGCAGTGTTAGAAAGTCAGATATATAGGCTAGGCCCCAACTGGCTCTTTAAACCAAGGTTGCAGCTGCCAAAACAGAATGTCTAGTTACCATTTGGGGGCAAGATGGATCTAAAGTCTTATTTTTCATATGATGAACTGACTGTGATTGATTATTTGTTAAACATCTGGCTAGTTCAGATGGCAACCTTGAGCTAGGTTTGAGAACTTAAAAAAGGAAAGCCATTTTATCCAGGGACAGTCTACATATATCCTACCTTCTTAATGGTGACATGGACCATTCATAACAGAAGAATATTCTTCACAATTGTGAGCGGGGCAGGGGGATGGGTTAAGTGAAGACAAGCTACAACAATTAATTATAATGCTGTTCACCACTCCTGCCTGCTCAGGCTGTGCAGAAAAGGCAATTTAGTTCCTGAACTTCATTCTGATTGTGTAGATAAAATATAACTGATAGAATTCTACAGGGTGTGGTATTAGTGTGTGAAAACAGTCCAGATCCAATGATCCACAGGCATGCACCTCCAGATGGTGGTGATGTCAGGCACCATCCTGGCACCCAGACATCTTTGCTTCATTGAAAGTGGCTGGTAGCCAGGTGTAAAATGCACCTGGTGCATGGCTAATTTTGAACACTGTCCTCAAGGGATGAGGAGAGTCTTCCCCAGGAGTCATTTGTTCTTACACCACACCTTTTTGGCAGGAAAACAAAATCTGCCTCTTCGTACAAACATGCTACATTTTCTGTGACACCTGGGTTTAGCTGATAAAATGGACACAGATTTTAAACTGGCAATTCTTTTCGTTTCTGTTTTTAAAAAGTTCACCAACACCCTCCCTTAAACCTTCAGTGCCAATCCATGGGCATTTTCAGTTTTCCATACACTTAAATCTCTTAATCCGCAATCCTAACCCCACTAATCAGGGAGCAAGTCCCATTGAATTGAATAGGGCTTACTTCTGAGTAGACATCGTTTTGTTACAATACTAGTTTCTGTATATTAGCATAATTTATGGCCACTAAAGAGGGAAACCTGAGAGATGTGTTCACTCGTGTGGAGTTAAATGTAGGGTTGTAAAGCAGCCAGTATTTCACTTGTCTGGTCAGTAAGGCTATGTTTGCCAAATAATCAGTATCTGGGTATGAAAAGCCGTTGAATTCCAGACGTAAACTTTGTGTTGTCCCGCTAGCTTTGGCAGCCCACCAACCAGGTAGGATCTCACTCTTTTTTAAAATAAAAGGTTGCCAACCCTACTTGATTACAAAGCGCATCTTGCTCTCTAGACTGAGTTGCTCTATCGATTAACTTTGGGTCAGTTGGAAAACTTGCAATAAGTTGAAGGTTGCCTCACACATACTTTTCCCCCTTAATTTCTATATAGGAGCATGTGCATCACAAGGAAGGTACAGTGGTCAACAAAACAAGAACACTTCTGATATGTAACTCATTGTACAATTTTTCTATTAACTGTGTGATGACTATATATAATGACTATATTCAGAGTCATTATGTCTCTGAATACCAGTTGCTGGGGAACCAATTGGAGCAATCACAGACCAGTGTTTCCCAGTTGTCGGTGCTTATACTACTTTTTTTTAGATTTGCCTTGAGAGAGGCTTTAAACCTCTTTTGTGTGACCACCAGCATTATGCCGACAACTGGGAAACACTGCCCTGTGAGTGCTCCAATTGGAGAACAGCCTTTACCAAAGGTGTCATGAGCTTTAAAGATGCACTAACTCAGGATGAAAGGGAGAAACATGCTAAGAGGAAGGCACGCTTGGCAAACCCTCACCGTGACCAACTCCTGCCTAGACATAGCTGTCAACTTTCAGATTTGAAAATAAGGGATCAGCAGCCTCACCTATCCTGGGGACAGTCTACGGGATATCTAACAATCTGGGATAGCAGTGGGAGGCAGCGGAATAAGGGAATTTCCCGCAAAAAAAGGGAAGGTTGACAGCTGTGCGCCTGGAGAACTATGTCCCCACTGTGGAAGGACGTGGATTCAGAATTGGCCTCCACAGTCACTTACGGACTCACTGTTAAAACCATGTTCGTGGAAGACAATCTTACTTGGCTATGAGTGATCGCCAAAGAAGCAGCAGCAGCTGGGGAGCCCTGGCAAGGGGGGCGGGGATGTTGTTGTGCTCATGTCTTGGTTGCGAACTTCTCACAGGCATCTGCCCACTGTGAGAACAGGATGCAGAAGTAGATGGGTCTTTGTTTTGATTCTTAATGTACTTAAGGAAGCGCACACCTAAGCTTTTTTTTCCCTGTGTGTCATTTTTGTTTTACGAGCTATTTTTGCTCATGCCCTAAATCAGTAAATCTGAATATAGCAGAGTTTTGTTTATCCCATCTCAAAAGGGGTAGACAACTGTAAAGGTTGCAGAAGCCTGCTAAATGATCAGAGAAATTCGGAAGGGGGAAGGTCTATCAACAGCTATTGGCTGTTGGTAACTAAAGAAAACCTAGGTTCAGAGTTATTGCCTGTGTATTGCCAGTTTCTGGCAGGACAAATAAAGGGAGTGGACTCCTGCCTTCTTTCCTTGGTTGCAAGACTTCATGAAGGGGTTGGCTGTCCACTGCTGATACAGCTTTTCTTATGACACAGATGCAAAGTAGCACTATTCAGCCTGCAAGACTGTTTCACTGCAGCATGGTGTGTGTATTTGATAGAAATCAGTCCCGAGAAGAGAAAGACTACAACTTGTCTCAGGTAATAAATTTCTGGCATTTTGAGGAAGATGCTTCCTATAGGCATCTGTAGAAATGGATAGGCCTCTGATCTGATCCAGATGGTCTGTTCTTCTGAATTCATCATGACACACACCACAAAATACTACATAGCAATTCCTAATGTTGAGTTTAAAACTGCAGGTAACCACCATTATCAGTTAGAACTCAACGTTTGGATGCTACAGCTGATACGAATTAGGTTTGAATTTTGGCGTCATAGCTTCTGCCTTGCATGCAGAAGATCTGAAGTTCAGCACCCATGCTCTTTGGGAGAGACCCTGTCTGAAATTTTGGAGACAGCCACATGGACCAATGGCTTTCTGTGTTCCACTGTGTTTTTCAGATTGTGCAAACAGAATAAGGTCTGTCTACCAGGTAGCTCAACAAGGAGTCATACAGCATCTTCATCTCAGCAATTCAGTGGCTTGTGAATCAGTATCAGAAACTGTTAGAGAACTATGTGGTAGTTCTAGAGATTCAGGCTGTGAATTATAGATTAAGCGCCTCATGCTCTACTGACAGCTATTTCATGTTGGATGCCCTGATCATTTACTGGTGAGCACTATTGATTATCCTCCTTTAAAGAGGGCAATGGAGGAGGGTGATTGTGAAACTGTTGAAAATTTCTGATGATGAGAACTCCTTTTTGTTTTCATTAGTGGATTAGTTCAGTGCTAATGAAAGTATTGCCATTGTATTTCAGATCATACACTTTATCAAAGTGGCATTTTGCATCCTACAGAAAATATAATTTTGCTAAAAATATAAAAAGGAAAATGACATTCCATAGAATGTAGCCCAGCTGCCCACCGAAACCCTTTTTGAATCCTACTCATGATTTACAACATTTTAGTGTGGAGATTATGAAGAAAAGATGTGTATTCTCACCATAGCTCATCAACCTGCTGCAGATACCTTGGAAATGGTGTTTCCAGATATATTTATTATCATTTATAGGTGTTGACCCAGACATTTTTGGTGAAAACTCTTTTGGAAAGAACCATTGTCCGTGTGATTGGGCCATATATTTTCTCCCAACGGCCAGACAGCTGCTCACCTAAGTGACTTTACATGGCTGAGGGAGCGTCTACAAAACCACTGACAATAAATGTGTGTATTTTGAGCATATAATGCAAATTCTGTCCTGACTGCATTGGCTGCCAGTTAGTTTCTAGGCCCAATTCAAAGTGCTGGTTTTGTCCTAAAAAGCCTTAAATGGCTTAGGACCACAGTACCTAAAGGACCTCTCCCCATATGAATTGACCCAAACCCTGTGATTATGATCAGAGGCCTTTCTTCATGTGCCTTCTCCACTAACAGTTTGGAGGATAGCAACACAAGAATCGGCCTTTTCTGCGGTGGTTCCCCATGTGCAGAATGCTGTCCCCAGGGAGGCTTGCCTGTCTCCTTCATTATGTATATTTAGGCACCAGGCAAAGACATTTCTCCCAGGCCTTTGGCTAATTAGAATAATCCATGGCTTTTTAAATTGAGGGATTTTTATTGGTTTCATTTGTTACTGTGTTATGTATGTATGTATATATATATTGTAATATATATTATTGTAATATATTATATATATTGTAAACCTCCCCGTGATCCTCAGGTGAAGGGTGACATAGAAAGTTTAAAAATAAATAAAAACAAACAAAAAAAATCACTTTGAGTTAAGGTAGCCAAAATGTAGTGAGCATTAAATTCCAAGTGCCTAGTTCTTGCAGTGCAATCTGTGAGCCAAGAGATGCTTAATTTGGGGTGGATTATGCCCAATAATAAAGAAGAAGGCAATGATGTTTCTGTCTTGTTTTCTTGGCAAAATAGCTGGTTAAAAAAACAAAACACAAAACGTTTGTTGTGTGATTGTGGTCTTCCCTAACTCAAGAGTCCTCAACGGAATGCGAGCGAATTGAAAGAGGACTGCCATAAACCAATTACTGTATAGCAATGGTAAGAATGGAGACATTTGCTCACAAGAGCAGCTTAGGACAAAAGCCAGTGCCAAGTAGAAAGGTCAAATGATGCTTATTTTGCTTCTGCCAGCTTTAGCAGCCAGACAAAGGAATCAAATGAATACTAAAAGAAATCACCACAGCCATGCTCCATGTTTTAGCTGTGTTAAGGCTCTGTGTCTGATCTAGTTGCAAGCAAAAGCTGCCTATCTTTTAAGTATAATTAGATGGAAACAGCAACATGCCCAACAACCAACTGAAGGACCAATAGGTTTTGTTTTCTTCAACAAAGATTTTTTTAATACATATAAACTCATTTAGCTGCTACAAATAGATTCCTGATGATTTCCCCATTTGGTTGTCATCATCTCTGGGACTTTGGGCTGCGATCTTCAAACGGTATACATGTCTTCTGAATGCAGCCACACAATGGAGA